GGTGACTGGAAAAAGGGAAACATCACTCCCATTTTTAAGAAAGGGTGAAAGGAAAACCCAAGGTACTGCACGCTGATGAGCCTCACATTTGTGCCTGGGAAGATCATGGAGTGGATCCTCCTGGAAGAGGTGTTAAGGCACATGCTAAATGAGGAGATGATCTGAGATAGTCAGCACAGCTTTACCAAGGGCAGATTGTGCCCGACCAATCTGGTAACCTTCTATGATGTAGTGACAGCTTTGGTGAACAAAGGGAGGGCAACTGATGTTACCTACCAGGGACTTGGGCAGGGCATTTGACATGCTCCCGTACCACATCCTTATCTTCAAGTTGGAGAGGTACAGGTTTGAAGGCTGGACTATTAGATGGATAAATAATTGATTGGATGGTCATAGCCAGAGGGTTGTTGGCAATGGCTCTTTGTCCAGGTGGAGGCCTGTGATGGTTGGTTTCCCCTGGGGATCGGTCTTTGGACTGATGGTTTTTAACATCTTTATCAATGTGAATGATGGGATTGAGTGTACCCTTAGCAAGTTTGCTGATGACAGTAAGCTGAGTGGTGCAGCTGACACCATAGAAGGAAGGGATGCCATCCAGGAAAGCCTGGACATGCTTGAAAAATGAGCCCACGAGAACGTGATGAGATTCAGCAAGGCCAAGTGCAAGATGTTGTGCTTTGGTCAAAGCAATCCCAAGTATACATACAGACTAGGAGAAGAACTTGAGAGCAGCCCTGCAAATAAGGACTTGGGAGTCCTGATGGGCAAAAAGCTGGACTTGAGCCGGCAACGTGCTTTTGCAGCCTGGAAAGCCAACAGTATACTGGGCTGCATCAACAGAACTGGGGGCAGCAGGTTGAGGGAGGGGATTGTCCCCCTCTGCTTTGACCTCGTGAACCCCCATGTGAAGTACTGAGTCCAGTTTTAGGGCCCCCAGCACAAGAGGGATGCAGAGCTGTTGAAGTTGGTCCAGAAGAGGGCCATGAGGATTACGAGAGGGCTGGTGCTCCTCTCCTATGGAGAAAGGTTGAGGACATTGAGTTTGTTCAGCTTGGAGAAGAGAAGGCTCCTGGGAGATTCTTGTGGCCTTCAAGTACTTGAAGAGAGCTTACAAGCAGGAGGGGGAAGTGACTGTTTACATGGTCTGACAGTGATAGGACAAGGGCAAATGGCTTTAAACTTTAAAAAGAGGGAAAAGTTAGGTTAAATGTTACAAAAGAATTATTTACTCAGAGGGCAGTGAGGCCCTGGCACTGTTGTCCAGGGAAGTTGTGGATGCCCCATTCCTGGAGGAGTTCAAGGCCAGGTTGGATGGGGCCCTGGGCGGCCTGAGCTGCTGGGGGCAAACCAGCCCATGGCAGGGGATTGGAGTTTGATGATCTCTAAGGTCCCTAAGCCATTTTAGGATTCTGTGATTCACCGTGGGGTTGGATTGTTGCCTTCAAAACAAGGTCAGGTTAAAATTGGCTTCTAGCCGTTCTCAAAGTAATATAGAAGCATAGAATCATAGAATGGTTTGGGTTGGAAAGGATCTTTAAGATTATCTAGTTCCAACCCCCTGCTATAGGCAGGGACACCTCCCTCTAAACCAGGTTTTTAACAACCCCATCCAGCCTGGTCTTGAATGCTTTTGGGTAGGAGGCATTCACAACCTCGCTGGGCAACCTCTTCCAGTGCCTCACCACCCTAACAGTAGAGATTTTCTACCTAATATCTAGTCTAAATCTCCCCTCTTCCAGTTTAAAACCATTTCCTTTCATCCTGTCACTACCTGCCTTGTAAAAATTTCCTCCCCAGCTTTCCTGTAGGCCCCCTTCAGTTATTGGAAGGCCGCTATAAGCTCTCCTTGGAGCATTCTCTTCTGCAGGCTTAAGAGCCCCTGCTCCCTCAGCCTGTCCTCATACGAGGTATGCTCCAGCCCTCTGATCATCTTTGAGGCCTCTGTCTGGACCTGCTCTAACAGCTCTATCCTTCTTGTTTTGGGGGCTGCAGATCTGGACACAGTATTCCAGATGGGGTCTCACAAGAACAGAGGACAGAATCACCTCCATTGTCCTGCTGGTCACAGTTCTCTTGTTTGACCCAGGATACAGTTGGCTTTCCAGGCTGCAAGCGCACATAGCCAGCTCATGTTGAATCTCTCATCAGTTGACACTCCCAAATCCTTCTCCTCAGGCTGCTCTCAAGCTGTTCTCGGCCCAGCCTGTATCTGCGCTCTGACCCAGGGGCAGGACCTTGCACTTGACCTTGTTGAACTTCATGAGTTTGGCAATGGACCACCTCTCGAGCCTGTCCAGGTCCCTCTGGATAGCATCCCTTCCCTCTAGCGCATCAGCTGCACTACGCAGCTTGATATCATCTGCAAACATGCTGAGGGTGCACTCAGTCCTGCTGCCCATTTCGCCTACAAAGATGTTAAATAGCACTGATTCCAGCACTGATCCCTGAGGAATGCCACTCGTCACTGGTCTCCACTTGGACATTGAGCTGTTGTCTGTAACTCGCTGAGTGAGCCAGTTCCTTATCCAGCAAGTGATCCATCCATCAAATCCATTTTTCTCCTACTTGGCAACCAGGATGTCATGCAGGACATTGTTAAGATGCTTTGCACAAGTCTAGGTTGATGTTGTCAGTTGCTCTTCCTTTATCCAATGATGCTGTAGCTCCCTCATAAAAGGCCACCAAGTTTGTCAGGCATGACATACCCTTGGTGAAGCTGTGTTGGTTACCACCAATCACCTTGTCTTTATTTTCCATTTGCCCTAGTAGAGCTTTCAGGAGGATCTGCTCCATGATCTTGCCAAGCAGAGGTGAGACTGACAAATAATAATCACATTTGCCGCCTCTTGGGTTTAGTGTTGGTCATAGCTTGGTGAAATTGGAGAATCTGCACTTTTGGAACTGCATGTTTTTATATCTGTTGGTATCTTCTTCATCCTCTGTTGTTTGTCAGTGTGCAGAAAATCCTGTCACTGCAAATCTCAGTACAGGTGGAGGTGTTGAGGTGTTAAGGTGGCAGTCTGTTGTTGGAGAGCAGTGGTCTGCACTCAAAATGCAGGTTTGGCTAACACTGCAGGTGGCACCACAGTAGGTTGTTTCCATTGTGCTGGAGCACAGTGGATGTTTCGGCTAGCTGCACCAGCTTACATCTGGGAAGTATCTATTGGATTAACCTTCCTTTTGCATTCCTTTTGTTTTTATCACCAGGATAGACACTTGGCTCTCTGATATATCCCTTGTAGTAGGAAGCCATTAAAGATTATTGTGCTGCAAACAGCTTACTTGGAGAACACCTTTTTTGGTTCTTGTGGAAGGTGTAGTAACTGATACCTTATACATTTACTTGTTTTAGCTACAGATGCAAATTAACACAGACCTGCATCTGCCTAGCTGGCCATCCTGGCCAAGTTTGGCCCTTCTTGCTGCCTAAGCAATGGCCAAAGGTGAGCTAGGCTGTTCTCAGTGCAGAGCTGAGCTGTGCCTGGCTCTGCTGTCCCCTCCCAGTCTGCAGGACTACCTGAGCTCAGCTTGCTAATGTGACAGCATGAGCTTCTGGGTGTGCAGGAAAGGTGTAAATAAGGTAATACCATACTTACATAATTGTAAACATCATTAAAACTTCCCTTGTTGTCGTACTGTTCTTTGAAAGAGTGATTCTCATTCCTTATGCTTTATTCAAGAACTTCGTAATGTATTACGGGACTGGAAAAAGCCAATTTTTAAAAACACACTTATCACTGTTACTGCATTGTTTCACTTTTGGCTGTCAGGAGGCATTCTGTTTGTAATTAAAAGTTCAAATTAACTTTTTATAATCAGTTTTTATATAAAAAAAAGTCCTGGATATATTGAGAACGGGGAACTTGTTTAGTACTTCTTTAGAAGTGATTTCTTTTAGCCAGCTTTTCTCATTAGGTAGCTCTTGGAACATTTTAGACATCACGTCTGTCTTATTTCTGATATAACTCGAGGACAGAAAATTAGAAATTAAAACCTTATTATCTGAGCAAGAGAGACTTTATTTCTGTGCATCAGCAGAAAAAGTTAGTGCTTTTTTTTTTTTTTAAAAAAAAAAAAGGAAGAAAACTAAAACACCCTTCTGTAAAACCTTTTTGCTGTAAACGTGTTTACACTTTATTCAACAGATTACCTTCCAAACGACTGTCTGAATACCACTTTTGTGCAAGAGGAGTGTTTTAGCCTAGTGTTGAGCATGTGGGGTTATGTTCTACATGAGCAGAGAGCAGAAGCAGCTGAAGTCACTGCAGGGGAGCACTTGCTTGGGCACTAGGAAAAACATTCATCTCCAGTAGGAGTGACTCTGGGTTTTCAGTGGTTGCTCCTCCAACCACCCATAAGGAGCAGAATAGGTGGGGCTGATCAGCTCAGCTCCTGTTCAAGGAAGGAATGGCCTCAGTGAGTCTTTAAGTTCCTTGTATCGAATAGGAGAATTGAAAGACCATCAGAAATACAGCTTTGGGATGTTGGAACACCTCTCTTTAAAACTGCCGTCATTTCTTACACAAGCAGTGCATTTCATGTTATTCATTTATTTCTGAGCACCCTAACTGCTCTTCCCGTTTTGGAGATGCACAGGTACCTGCCCTTGCAACAGCCTCCTTATGTGCTTGGGGTCTCCTGCCTGGGTAGACGCAGGAGCTCAGCAGCGCCAAGCCCTCGTTCGTCGGGGCAGGAGGAAGCGGGAGAGACGCTCTGCTGACCCGACCGGCTGCCCTGGGCATTCCCAGCTGCACGTCGGGTCCCCCAACTTGCCCGTCCAAGGCCGGGCGAGGTGGTGGGGGCTGCGGGAGGGGGGCTTCGCGCCCGGCCTCGCCGCGGGACGTTGGGCGGGGCGGGCCCGCCTGGCGCCCCCCCCCGCCCGCCCCTGTCACCGCCTGCCGGCGCGGCTCGCGGAGCCGGAGCTGTCCACAGAGGGAGGTGCTGAAGGCAGGGAGGAAGCGGAGGGACGCGGACATTTTCGCTCCCCTAATTTCCTCCCTGCCTCCTGCAGCCATTTTGCACCACCGAGGCAGGAGGAGGTGCAAGGAGGGGGGGAGCTGTAAGGAATGAAGGGAAAGGGATAAAGAGTTATGGAGAGCCAAGAGGCAGCTATAGGAGACACCGACTGATATGTCTGCAAAGACTGGCTCATAGCAGCAGCTGTCATCAGCATCATGGTGAAAAGGAAAAGCTCAGAGGGCCAGGAGCAGGAGAGCGGCCGTGGTATCCCTCTGCCCATCCAGACCTTCCTATGGAGGCAAACCAGGTGAGAGCAGCATGCTTAGGATACAGCTGCAACAGGGTGGTGGGGGGGAGGCAGGCAGGCCAGCTGCTGCCCAGTGCTGGGTAGGAAGCAGTTACTGCAGCTGCAATATGAAGGCGTGAAACAAGCTGTTCTTTTTTGCACTCCATGCAATACACTCTGTGTGTATGTACTGGGGATGGGGGAAGGATGTTGGCAGTCCCAGAAAGCTGCTTAATTTGACTTTAAAATATCCATGTGTATGTGTGTGCACCTCACCCCTCCTTGCTGCTCTCTTTCTCCCTGCTTTAAGAGGACTTCTGGAGCTCAGGTGCTAGAAGCAGTGCCCCTGGTGCTGCACTGGACTTGCGGTTCTGCTTGTATCTGTTTTTGCAGCTATTCTGGAAGTGTAATCTATGTGTTGAGAGGTCAGCATGCAAACAGATACGTCAAAGTCTCACTCTGTTTCATTGGATTGGAGAGAAATGATGTGTGAGGGGCAGGCTGAATGTATAGTAGGGACTTTGTGTTCCTTGTGAATGCTGTCTGTTTCCTGTCTTGCAGGAATTTTCAACTGAAAATATCGTGGGGGCTGTGGGAGAGGGTGGAAGGCTTGAAGGTTGTGACTCTAATTTAAGATCTCAGTCACAAAATCCCATTATCCCACAGTTTCATCCTTTAAGAAATAATATATAATAATGTGACCTGATTTATGTGTGGGGATTGTTGGTTTTTTTTTTGTTGTTGTTGTTTTTTTGTTTTTTTTTTAAAGTGTGTAACCAATTCCATTCCGGAAGGAAATGATAGCAGAGGGTAGATATTCTCTAGCTACAGGATGAAGGCCTGCTTTTCATCACAGGCCTTTCAAATCACTGATTGTGGAGGAAAATACTTAATAGAAAACTGACAAGTTATTCCTTAGCTTAAAATATATGCAGGGCAAAGTTGAGTAGTATTTAGCATGTTAAGTAGAACATTGTGGAAATCTTTCAGTGAGGTAAAATGGCTGATAACTGTCTAATGGAAGATTTAATCCATCCTCAAGAAAGGTCCTGAAAGATAATAGCATTTGGCAGACGTCATCAACAGGTATTAGGACATTATTTTGGCTTCATCTTCCTCTATATTACAAAGTTTTCAGCATTTTGCTAATTTTCTGACATGAGAAAAATCCTGAAAGTAACTATGCAGAACTCCTGCTTGAAGTGCTGGGCCTCTAATACTTTTTTCTTTTTTTCCTTCAGTGCATTTTTAAGACCTAAACTGGGGAAACAATATGAAGCTTCCTGTGTGGTATGTACCTGTTTTCAATTCTTATTAGTAACTAACCTTTAATGCAACTTGACCTGGATACGGTAGTTGGTCAGCAAGCCTTTCAGCTTACAGGAGAGACCATTTAGCTTAATTTTATACTTTTATCATGCGAAGGATTTGAAATCCTTTCCCACCTAGAGAATTTAGAAATCATGTCCACCTTTAGACATGATATATGTATTTAATGTTGATATTAGTAGTTGAACTGACACAGTGAAGTACAGTGAGTGCAGGCTGAGCTTAGACAATCTGGGTCTAATCTTGCAGTTTGTCATGGGTGTATGGGCTTTTGGATGAAATTTGTGTCATTTCAGTTTGTGATTTTTGGAGTTAAAATACTAAAAATCTAAAAGTTGCTAACAGCAAACTTTAAAATTACTTACTTCCATTGTGCAAAATGAAAATGCATCCTCTATTGGAAAAGAGAGGACCGTATCTTAGCGTAATTGAAGGGATTATTATGCAGATGCTGATAATCCTTATTTCTAGCTATATTTAGTATAAAATCTCAATCAAACATGTGAAGACAGAAAGGGAAGACATGCAGTAAGTTAAAGTAAGATGGTTATCTAGGGAGCTGCACAATTTCTTCAGCTGTTGCTCATCTTTGGTTGACTTAAAGTACATTAAGCAGTTGCAGCCAAACCTGACAGACTGGAAAAATGCAGTCTGGACATGTATCTTAATAGTTTAAAGTACTTAGGTCTCTCTGCAGCAATTTTCTGGCTTCCTTCTCACAAGACATTAAACTGGAGAAGCCTTTTGCTACTGCTGACTGGATTTTTCTAGGAAATCCATAAATTTTTCAGGGTTATTCCTAGATACCAACTACTGACAGAGGACTTTTGTTTTACTTTGTTTCTGGGTGAAATGTGTAGCAGTTCTGGCACAGTAAGCTCAAAGCATCCTTGCTGGTCAATACCAGGTACAGCTCGGAGGATATAAAGTGGAGCTTGTTGCCTTACATCATTGTAGGAGTCTCAGAAGTGTGCAAGAGCTGTGCCTTGATGAGCCTCTAATTTGAGATTATAGCTCCACCAGTGAGTTAATGTTCTCTGTTACTGTTGGGTAGAGGGACAGAACTTCCTTCTCTCTTCTACATCGACGTGTCTGTCTGCTTGTGACTTGTTGGGATTCATGCTATGCTATTGAGAGCAGATATTCTCTGTCCCTCAGGTTGCTTCCAAATCCTGTTTCTTTTATATGCACATACCAGAATTCACTAAGTGAAAAAAACAGCAAGAGAACGTAAGTTACAGTTTCAGTTGAATGAAAAGGACCTCTGAAAAAATGCTCAGGAAAGAGGTGGTCTTTGGGTTTGGGAGTGGTCCTGAAGTGTTTTGGAGGTACAGTTAGTACCAGGACAATCAAACCATGCCTTCCCTGCAGGTCAGGGGGCTTGCTTCAGCACATGCCTTGGAGTACTCAGCCTGGATTCTGTGCCAGCACATTTATATATTTACATGCTGTAGTCCTGGCAAAAAACTTTGGAGCTAAAGAGTTACAGCTTGGGCATGGATGGATTCAACATCTTTGTTTAAAACCAATTGCATAATAGGGCCCATGGGTCATGGTGCCATGATTTTTTAGAAGCCCCAAGTTTTGGGGCAGTTTAGTGTCTCAGGAGACAGGGAGAATAAAGAAATATGTTCACGGTGAATGCACCGTGAGACCGTATCAGTATTTAGAGGCCTTTTAAAAATATGCATAGCTCTTGCATCAAAATTCTTTGTCTGCAACTTTAACCAGTTTTGATGAAGGCCCAGTCTGCTTCAGCTGCTTATATAAAGGAGAATTTGATTCTTCTCCATTTCTTAATGCAATCATTAAATAAGGCTAGAAAGTTACCGAAGGTGGGGCTCAGTTTTGCAGAAATAATGAGATGCAGCCTGAGCTGTTGCATCTGCCACTTTTATTTGCTCTTTGGTTTCCTATCCCTGGCAGTGTACAAGGACGCTTGCCCACATCAACACCTTTCATGTAATCCAGCAGGATAGCAGAATGTTGCATGCATGAGTGAGATAGAAGATATCTGGAGCTTGACAGGTAGTTGGCTCATCTTCTGAAACATCAGGCTGATTATTTAAAACTGCTGTATTGACTAGCATGTCTAGAAATGTGGTGCACCTGATGTATGATCTGTCGTCTTTAAATTCTCTTGCCAAAATTGTTCTAGGCAAGACTATAGGCCGTTAACTGCCTGATACTGCAGCACAGTGTTGTCACATGCATTCTGTTATTATGCTTGGCTATAAACTTGCTGCACTAGATTTTGCTGCATATTATGCATTGAGGAAGCAGATGTTGGAGATCCAGATTCGGTCATTACAGGATCTGGTGTAAGAGCTGTTTGTATTGGGTTTTTGAGCTTTTCTATACAGTTCATAATTTTTAATACTTGTGAAAAACGTCCTGTTTTTCTTATCTAAACAATCTCACTGACTTCAATTAGTTTATAAACACTAGCCTTAAATGTGAAGATAAATAATCTTATTTTGCCCTGTGGGACCCCCCCCACCACATTGTTTTACACTGTCTAAATGTCCTTGTACCTTCATATGGATTAAATATTCTTCCTTCTCCCCTTTCTGTAGTTCCTCTGCCCTGATTCAATGTCATTTCTAAAGTGCCTGACTCAAAGCTGTAAATGACCTCAAAGGGAGTGTACGTGAGTGATATACAGAACTATTGTGTTTTTTGGGAGTGAGGGTAAGAGGATATAGGGAATATATTTTGAGTTTTTTCACTTTGGATTACACTGGTGTGTGATCGACATTATTCTCATCTAAATCCAAAACATAGAGCCATACCAGCTAATAGAAAGAAAATTAACTCAGTGCTGCCTGAAACTGGTACACGATGGGAGAACCCAGATGTGTTCTGGAAGATCTTGCAAATTCCAAGTTTCTTTTAAAATACTTTTCTTTTTCCCCATGTTTCTGCAAATATAGTGATACATTTCTGTTGTCACAAATGATTAAAGGATAGATGTGGAACAACATTTAAAAAAAACAAAACAGTAGAAATGGTTGCAAAAGACTGAGTCTTTGGACACAGGAATTTTCTGTGAATAAAGTAGTTGGCATCTGTGCTTCACTGTCAATGTTTGTACTATGTTTAATTGTCTCTTTTGCTGATTTTATGACAGTCTTGCATTCATAAACAACAGAACCTGACTCTCTTGTTCTCTGAGCGCCTAGATTCACGTTTTAAAATTTCATATACTTGTTTACTTGGAGGACCTTCTCTAGGCTGATAATACTGTTTGCCTGCATTTTAAGTTATCTCTAGTCTGTCTGAAGTGACACTAGTACTAGTTCTCTCTACCGTGATTCAGCCCAAGCTTTGGATGAACAACTTAGTAGGAATCTAGCTCTCCTGAGGGAATGGAACTGGGAGATGCCTTATGCAGTCTGCTGCAGGTATGGCTCCTCTGGCCTTAGAGCAGGGTTGGCTCATGTGACTTGAGCAAGGCGTATAGGAAACCATGGCAAAGACCAGCCAGAAGCTACTCTATTTTGTATGCCTTCAGGGCATCTACCAGTTCCCTGTCTAGCAGGAAAGTGACATGCAGACTGATCCTGGTCACAAGGTATTTGACAGCCCCTTTGTTTCTTGGTTGGAGAAGAGAGTAAAAGGAGAACAGCGGCAGTGGGAAGACAGCCAGACAAGACTGACCCCTATTCCCTTTGAAAACAGATGGCATCACCAGGCTAATATGTATATGTACATACACATATGCATATGTAAGTGGAAATGTGCATATTTGTGGCCACACATACAGATCATTCCAAAAAGGGACTACCTTTTTTTTAGCCAAGACATAGCACTGACTGTCACTTTGGCTAGTGTTCTTTATCCTTCTTTGACACATGGTCTGTTGCAGTCAGGGACTAGCTGCTGCAAAAACGTAGTTAGCTTCTTAGCTTACTGGCAGTCCTGAGATTGCAACTCTAGACGTCCATAACATTGCCATACCCTTTATCTGGTGGCAAGAAAAATAATTTCTTTAGGTAAGCCTGATTAGATGCTTAACAGGCCCTCCAGGGAGCTAATTCAGCTTGCTGGCCTGGTAGAAAATGCTTCCTTCTGTGCTGAACTTCATTTTGGCCTGTGTAGAGGCTTGACTCCACTCAGCAAGCACCAGAACTGACATAAGAATGAGGTGGGAGCATGTGACTGCAGCAAGGGGAAAGGAATGAGGGGTGACACTCTGACTCCTTGTGACAAAAATGGTATCATAGTTTTCTGTGGCCTTTTCAGGTTCTGTTTTGATAATGACCATGTGTTAGAGACTCACTTTATCTTTCTTACTTTGCCACTTTGTTTTCCTGTTTGTTAAGTAATCCTGACTTGGGATAGTTCTATACCTCTGTCCTAATGCACTTGTGATGCGTTTCTTCTATGGTTTAATGATGTAGTTCCATTTTTGACAGTATACCCAGACCATAAATATGAGCACCTGGCTCCCCCCACCCCAGGCTTTCAAACCATTTGCCATCCTCTCATCTCAATGGACATCAGCATTCTCTTGGGTGTGCTGCCAAATGGCTCCTAAGGAGCCAAGGCTCCTGTAACAATACTGCCTGTATTCTTGAACTGGTAGGAATAACTGAGTGTTTTCCATCATAGGCAGCATGACATCCAACAGATCTCTGACTAAAAGTGATCTCTCACTGTAAGAGTGATTTGGGTCTTTCTATGGTAGCCATGTTACCCACGCCTGGTGCTATGTGCATGTTGCCAACAACCTAATCCATAGCCCATTGTTTCTGAGTAATCATTAGTTTCACCCATATATCCACATATTTTAACTAACACTTTGCAATTTCTGCTGTTGCTCCACAGTGAGCTCAGAAACTGAGGATTTCTAATAGGTTGGCAGAGCAACTTTCCATGGAGTTACATTTGCTGGCAGCTCTATTATTTCTTTTTTAGTATTTCCTCATGTTCAATTTGTGTAACTACAGCTTAGTTTTTTATAAGCCCACTCAGTACTGAATATAGATGTATGTTTTTCTACAAATCACACTGTCTCCCCTTCTCTTACTCTGTTCTTGGAGCTAATGGGGAGCTTCAATCATAGGCTGTAGGTACAGATAGATGTGCGTTTCTCTGCCTCCGTGCTGGTTAAAGCAGAGCCAGCTGTGATGGGGATGCTGTATTCCCATGATGGTGTGGCACTGTGCACGCGCTGGCACATCCTGCCTCTCAGCACATGTGGAAGCAACCTGAGAGGACAAATGCACACTGGCTTTCAAGCTGTTGGATTATGCAGAAGAGTGCACATTACCACTGGTTATCATGCTGTGCATTGAAGTAGCTGAGCTGGTCATTTAGAAGAGAGAGTTTACTATTGCTGCCCTTTTAGCTTTTCTTTTTCTGTAATTAAGTCTATTCCTATTGCTACTGCACTTTTACAGGAGAAATTGTTGTGACTAGTGTTGAAAGATAAGCTTTATGAATCTGGAGTGAGAGCATTTGAAGCACCCTTTAGGTCATGAATGCCAGCAGTTACTTGCTTGCCAGGAGCCTGATCAAATTGGTGGAACAGCTTGTGAACAAATAGGTAGCCAGGAGGCTAAGCTAGTCTATGACAAGGACGTGCATTACCAGTAATGTATTTCTTAGCTTTAGGAACTTCAGTGAAGGAGTATAACTGCTTTTGTGACCTATAATGAGATCTTTGTATCTGGTCAGAGAAAGAGCTTATTGAAATAGTTGGAGTAACTAACAATAAGGAACTTCCTGGGGGATTTCAGAGGCAGATCGTCTTATTTTGTATTGCTTGAGGTGGAAATAATGAACTTGCTGCAGCCATCAGCTCTTTTAAGCATTCATAAAACCACTACATCATGGCTCACTGAAAATGTTTGTATGCTATTTTTTGTGGCAGGGTGTGAAAACAATTCCTGAGGCACATATACCTTTAATGGATTGCCCTTTATGTTACACTAAACTGAAAGAGCATGTGTGTGTGAGAGAGAGTAGTATAACCAGCCCTCAGCTCCACAAACATAGGCTTCATTAGATCCTGTTACTCCCAACAGGATCACTGGCATGCCAGATTAATACCAAGCATAAGCGTAAGTCTGGTTTGATGTTGGTACTTATATATGCATAATGTTTGCTTTTATTCTTTTTCATTATTATACTGAGTTTTATGTGTATTTGCTTGTTATATAGAGTGACCCATTAATTTCCTAGCTGGGTATGTCCATGTATATAGTGAGCTTTAACTGCAGGCTGTATTTTACATGAAAAATATTCTAACTTACATTATAACTGTGTAATGAAAACTTACAGGTTTTAAAGAGAATGGTGTATGTCATAGAAAGTATGTGCAGGAAGCTTTAGTGTTTTTTTTTTTTCTCTCAACTGCAGTCTTTTGAAAGAGTTTTAGTAGAGAACAAGCTTCATGGCCTTTCTCCAGCTCTCTCTGAAGCCATCCAGAGCATTTCTCGCTGGGAACTTGTCCAGGCTGCGCTCCCACATGTGCTACACTGCACTGCAACATTGCTCTCCAACCGAAACAAGCTAGGTTAGTGCTCATGTGAGTTTGTTTTTCCATTAGTGAAACATAAATCAAAACATGAGATTGATGCTCAGCCTGCCACGCAACATATCCTAGGTCTGGGATTCTAACTAGGAATTCCAGTTCATTCTGTGTGTTACATTTCATGATCTGTTCTCATTTATAACAGAGGAACCTGGGAGAGCTTTCCCAGTGAGGTCGGTGGTCTGCTAGCTTTAGAAATTATGAGCTGAAGAGTCAAGTAGTTCAGTGATATTTTGCTAGTCATTTTTGAGATACGCAAGAGCTTAGTTTTAACAAAAACCTCACTGTGCTTGCTTACGTTTTGTCTTATTCAATGAGGTCAAACAGGCAAGGCTTTCAAGCTACTATCTTTTAGGACCATGCATCAGTGTCTCTGCCACTGACATTTCAGTGTCCAAACTGCAAATGCTCTGAAATAAATGAGACTTGTAAATTAGGAGGTTTCAAACATTACAAAACATAATGCTGTATAATGGTATAACTTTAGTTTTCAAGCTCTCATTGTGAAGTTGGATGCCCAGTTTCCTGTGTGGTTCTGAAATTCTCAACAGTTCAATTTAATGGAAAGCCTGTGAGATACTGTGAGGTACTGTTTTTCCCTTCCAGGTCACCAGGATAAACTTGGAGTAGCTGAAACAAAGCTTCTTCACACTCTTCACTGGATGCTGCTAGAGGCCCCTCAGGACTGCAGCAATGACCGATTTGGAGGAGACAGAGGTTCTAGCTGGGGAGGGAGCAGTAGTGCCTTTATCCACCAGGCTGAAAACCAAGGATCACCGGGACATCCCCGACCCAGCACCACGAATGATGAGGAGGAGAACAACAGAAGGAAGTTCTTCCAGAACTCCATGGCCACTGTGGAGCTCTTTGTGTTCCTCTTTGCTCCTCTTGTTCACAGGATTAAAGTAAGTGGGATGCCAAGGGAGTGTTTGTGTGGAGATACCTCTGAGTAAAGAAAGAATGATTCTGCCTCTGTGATTTTTTTGAGTCTTACATTTAGTTCAGCCTACAGTGTACATTGGTTGACCACTACAGATGTTTTATCATGCTGGTACAACACCAGAAGGTACAATTGACATCAGAAGGGAATCCTTCTAGCACCATGAACAATCACTCTACCATGCATGCAGGCACAAAGGCAAATGAATCTGAAGTGAGGCATTTCTACCCTAGGAATGTCAAAGATCTGTGGCCCATATGAATTCTGCAGAAAAGATGGCAAGCTTTAATGTGCTCTTATGACTCAGTTGTTGCTCACAGGGGCCTTGCTAGCTTTTCAGAGATTCCACTGTGGAGCTGCTGCTGAGGTTCATTGTTGTCATTACTAATCATCTTGATGTTGATTACCAGGATTGCTTTTTAGTGGTATAAGCATGGAAGTGGCAGAGGCAATTAAGCATTTCTTTGTTCTGAAGTTAGGAGCAGTCTGCAAGGCTTCCTGTCTGCTGAAATCCCTCTGTTGGTTTTATGCTGAGTGCATCAAATAAAAAAAGGTGGGGTAAATGAGGCACTAAACTGGCATGCTAAGTCAGCATTGTCCCATCTGTGTTTCATAGAAGTACAGGTCTCAGGGAGGAATATGATCTGATAACTAAAATAATGCATGTTCTCAAGAAGGATGGTACATTTGAAAAAGAAGCCTAAATGATAGAATTTTGTGACTTCTGAGGGAGTTTGTGCATTTAGCAATGCATTCTTAAATGAGACTTTTGGAGGGTGAGGTGTAATCCTATAATTTAACAACTGTAGTTAAAAGTGTTTGCAGATTACCTAAAGCTGGCGGTGCGAAATAAAAATGCAGTACTTTATTGCTGGCACTTCCAAACATTTTGCAAGAAGCTCCTTTGGAAAAAAATAAAACACAGCTAAAAACAAGCAATTTATAACAAGGCTTATAAGTCCACTATTATGAAATGGTACTAAAAAAGAGTAGGGAATGAAAGGACGGGGGAGTGGTGGGCAGCCAGCTCTTGCCATTCTTTTACCTGTCTGCATCGCTGATTTAAGACTTTGAGGCATGTGAAGTTAAGTTAACAAGACAGTGGTGCAGCTATAATTATTCTGGTATTACCAATGTCTGTGTGTGGCTTGTGGGGGATAGTTGGACTACATTAACTCTATTGACTTCTAATGTAGATCTGATTTTTGTCGAGGTAAGTGCACTTTGATCCTTCTAATATTTATTTGTCTGCCAATTTTTATAATTTCAACTGCTTGCTTATGTAAAGTGAAGTTAACTCAAGTGCTAGTAGTTTCAATGTCTCTAGAGACAGATCTCAAGTAGTAGCAGTCCTATTATTTAATAACAACATCATTGTATGCTATTATTTCATAATAATTTGATACGTTTAATGTTACCTCAATTTCTAATCAGTGTTTTAATATTTATTATCCTTTTTGGAGCAGTTCAGAGATGCAAATGCTAAGGTTATGATGAGATTGAATACTAAATATGAAGTTATATGTGATTAGAGAGGATGCTAAGGCTCTTCACATAAAAATGGCCTTTCTTCCTATAGCTAAAGGTACTGAAAAAAAAAAAAAAAAAGAGTTCACTAACTAGTATGAATATTTAACTTGAAAAAAGCTTTTATATATTTTTGTATTAAAAATTTTGTTTTTTCCTATGATGAGAGGTTGAGGGATCTGGGATTTTTTTAGCTTGGAAAAGAGAAGGCTCTGGGGAGACTCATTGTGGCCATCCAGTACTTGAAGGGAGCATACAAACAGGAGGGGGAAATGCTGTTTATGAGAGTGGATAGTGATAGGACAGGGGGGAATGGTTTTAAACTGAGACGGGGGAGGTTTAGGTTGGATATTAGGAGGAAGTTTTTCACACAGAGGGTGGTGATGCACTGGAACAGGTTGCCCAAGGAGGCTGTGGATGCCCCATCCCTGGAGGCATTCAAGGCCAGGCTGGATGTGGCTCTGGGCAGCCTGGTCTGCTGGTTGGTGACCCTGCACATAGCAGGGGGTTGGAACTACATGATCATTGTGGTCATTTTCAACCCAGGTCATTCTATGATTCTATGAATTTTCCCCATTGTATTTTCATACCTGTGCTTGAAATGTATTAGTGTTTGCTCAGTGGCTTCAGCAGCCATTCTGTGGTGGCATATGTTAACTCAGTGGCATGTAATGACATTTACTTTGCATAAGATCTGTGTATCAGAGAAAGGAAAATCCCTTTAAACTGAAAACAGTGTTTGTTCATGTGAGCTATTGTGATTCAACCTCTGTTTGTCTTTTTAGGAATCTGACCTGACATTTCGATTGGCTAGTGGCCTTGTTATTTGGCAGCCAATGTGGGAACACAGGCAACCTGAAGTGTCTGCCTTCAATGCCCTTGTAAAACCAATCAGGAACATTGTTACAGGTCTGTGACTTTGCTGTACAGATGGGAAACCTTTTCTTTGTTTGGTTGATACTATGTTATGTTCTGTAGCCATCATATTTGAGGAATATGCTGATACTGAAGGAACTAGTCAAGCTTTTGCGAGTAGTTTCAGGCTGCTTCTCTTTGGAGTCAAGTATTGTTTGCATAATATTTAATTAAGAGATGAGAGAGAAATCACACATAGAAAATGAGAAACTCTCCAGTAAAGTTATTGCTTTCTGTCAGCTTCAAATCTCTGTTTCACCATGTCTTCCTTAGTTGCTAAGAAGAGTAAAGACTATATCCAGCAGCAGTCCAACAGGGGAAGGTTTACCCCAGGCTGCACTGTATGTATTAAAAGTGAAAAGCACACAGCAGTCTATGTTCTCTTACTTTCTGAAATCTTGGGTTTCACCATGTTATGAAACTAAAGAAGGTAGTTTCAAGAGGCTCCAAGGCAGACTTAGGTTGCAAATTCACTTCTGTGTACTGGGAGAGTTGCTTCTCTTTTGTAACTCAGCCATAATGGGACTGGAATGGGGTGCTTAGGCTTCCAGCCTCTCTATCTGGCTTGGTTCTAAAAGTGCTTTTTTACTGTTGCATTTGAGATAATAGTTTTGCATAATTTGTACAAACTAGTGAATTGTGATTGTGCCGGATATATTACTGTGGCATTGCTTGCAAGCTATGAAAAGCACTAAGTTATAATTTTCACAGTAGTGAAAATGTAGTTAGCTGAATTAGATTTCTCAAATGTAATAAATCACTTTGGATATTGTATATTGTTCTAAGGGCTCTGCGGGCCTCTAGGACAGTCTAAAATTGAGAAGAAGTTTCTCAAATGATTTGAAATCATCTCTACCTATTTTTTAATTGCAGAAGATGAAGCTCACTAAAGATTTTAACCCTGGAGATAACATAAACAATTAGACCTAAGTTTTCTTTGACCATTGGGTTATTTTTTTAAAAAGGTTTGAGGTATGGTCAGAAAATGCCTAAAGTATAACTTCAAGATAAAGACTGTTATGAAAAATATTTTCAACTGAATAGAGATAGTCACCAGAATGAGGTTCTGTATGTCAAGGAGGATTCTAATATTATAGTGCTCTGGTCTCAAATTGTGACCAAAAAAAAAAAAAAAAAAAAAAGAAATTCTTATTGGAATGGGAATTAAAAACAAATCTAGTGCTGAAGATTTATGATGTTTTGCTTGGAGTCAATCTGGCACTAAGTAACACATGGATAGCTTGCAATATGACAAGATTTCAAGAATTGTCATCCACAGTACTTGTGGTGTCCTTGTTCCTCTGCAGTATCACTGATCAAACTTTCTGTATGAGATTCGTATGCAATCTTTGATGAATATGTTTGTCAAACTAGAAACCATTGCGTATTCTGAGAGAGGTAACCTAGAAGGAAACCTGAATATATGTGGAAATAGGAGGAGGAAGAGACCCTAAATAAAGTGCACTAGCATGCACAGAAAAACGCAGTCTAATGCCAAATCAACTTATGATAAAATAGGATTTCAAGTTTTATTTTTATAAAAATGAAATTTTCATTAAACAAAGTTGTTGAAAATACAATTAAAAAAAAAGTGTGAAAGTTAAAATAAATATGGTTGGTTTTTTTTAGTAGCCATGGTTAATGCTAGGAAGTCTGTAAGAGGTATACTGCTTTGTTTTTTGGTTTTGTTTTTTTTTGTTGTTTGTTTGTTTTTTGACTTTTTTGTTTTTTTTCCCCAATTCATCCTTTCAATTGGTAAAGTTTAAATGTTAGAGATGATTTCTGAAATGAAATTTCATTTTATTTTTTCAGCTAAAAGAAGTTCTCCTACCAACAATCAGAGTGTGACTTGTGAATCCCCAAATCTGGACAGTGGTCATACAGAGGTGAGCTCTATACTTGAGGTTGAATGTGCTTGAGTGAGCAGTTGAGGGAAGAGGAAACTGAATGCTGAAACAGCAGCTGTGCTTATTACACTGAAGTAATCCGTGTTCAGAAATTACAGTTTGTCACAATTTTCCTGAAGGCTCCCAAGCTTGTCTGCAGAGAAACCCAAGGATATTGATACAGTTGTTGTGATCTCCTTGGCAATATCCTGTCTTACAGGATAGAAGCCTGATCTTATGTCTGTTCTTGGGTTAGAGCCTTGCCTTGACCCTTGCTTGTACGGTTCCTCGTACTGTAAAGCCACAGCCCTGATTAGTTTCTCATGTTATTATGGTATAAGTAATAGTCATCTAAGCACAAACTGCGGTAAGAAAACTAATACAAGACAGATCAGTGTGTTTATCTACCTTTTCTTTTTATTAAAACTATCCAAAGGGGCTACAGGTGGTCTGTGAGACAACCCTGCCGGATTCTGTACCTCCAAAGCCCACTGTTTCAGCATGCCATCGTGGAAATTCCTTGGAAGGAAGCGTGTCCTCTCAAACCTCTCAGGAGAGAGGTACTCCACATCCCAGGTACAGACAGACTATTTCAGCAGGAAGTTAGATTGGTATAACTCAATGATTGAGGTCACAGTAGTCCTTATCTCTGTTGTCACTGAACACTGAGGGTGATGGGTGTTTATCTTGAACTCTACAGATCTCAGTTTTGGGAGCTGAACAAAGTGGTGACAGTGCCACTTTCATTGGAGAAACCTCTTTACCTGTTGTGACAGTTTATTTGGTCTTTTCTAGTGTGCTGGCTTCTCGTAATTAAAGAAACTAGCAAATAATCTGCAGGTTCAACTCCTCTTAGCTGGATTCAGTCTCAGGGAGCTAGTATGTTTTCTGGCTTCCTTCTGATAAAATTTTACTTGCTACCAGAAAAGGATTTTTGCAAGCTTCTCTCCATTGCCTTCGTTATTCCTTCTCTGCATCATGTTGATTAGACAGCTACTGTTAGGTTCCTGACCAAAAGAAGCAGACTAACAAAAAAGCAAAGTCATTAAACCAACCTCTCATGTTGCCCTGCAGAGTTGAAGCTGCAGTTTTCCAGCATGGTGCTGCTACGCAAACTTATTCTATTCTAGATTCAGGCAGATAAAGATAGAACCAAATTTTCCGTGATGCTGGACACCCAGTACTGCCATAAGGTAAATGAAGCTGATGAATGTTTTCAGGAGCATGGATAGGAAGGGAAGCCTAGCTATATTTTTAGGTCTCTGGATTTAGGTGGAAATAGCAAAGCTGTTCTCTATGGTTCTGATCCTATCAGGAACTTTCCCTTGGGATTCTGTATCAAGCCTGCTGTCAATTGTGATTCTTTATTTAATTTGTAATAACATGAGCCAGTTGAAACTGCAGTTGGGCATAAAACTGCCTGTGTATTGAACACTGTGGCTCAGAGAGGCACAGCTGTACAAAAAAAAAAGCCTTTTAAGAAGACAGAATCAGGTGATCAGTTTGTCGAGCTGGATCTGGTGGTTGCCATGGAGATGGAGCTGCAGACAGGCATTGAAGAGAGCGTCATTATGTCTCCTCATTTGCAGGACTCATTGATCAGTTAAAACTGCACAGGGAGCTTTGGTTGCCATGCAACAGACAACTGGGAACAAATGTAGTTTGCTTACCAACAGCCGCAGTATTTCTTTGTCCTTGGGCCCTGGGTTGGAGGAAGACTGCCTTTCCGCTTCGCCTGCAGTCCCAGTTAGCTTAGAACTGAGAAAACGAACACTAGGTTTCCTTCTGAATTAGCACAGAGTTCAGTTTCTGGTTCCTCAGATACAAAAATGGCTTGTTCCTCTGACCATGGCTAATTATCTCTGCTCTAATCAGTGAAATTCTCTATTCATAGATGACCACAGCTTAACACTCTGGAGAACTTAAAGCCACAGCCTTTAATCCAGATGCTACCTTGAACATACAGCCTTGGAAATAGTCTTCACAGGATTTCAGTGGCTAATATTTCATAAGGAGAACATGACTTGCTCTAGGTTGTGTTGTGCTGTGTGTGTTGGGTTTGCTTACAGGCTGCATACAAGGAAACATGGATGACAGATCAGACACATGCTGATCTGGGTTCTGCAGAGTGACCAGAAATAACATATCCCTTACATTTGCTGCCTTTATTTTCTTTGTTGCTATATTTTTGAGTATCCCAGCTATGCTTTTGCATGGCGTGCATCTGTTTGACACAATCTTGACTGACAGAAGCAGCCTTGAAATCAAGTATATTGGAAAGACTTCATAGCGTATTACCATTTATTATTATTATTCCTCTTCCTAGTTCAATTTTGTTATGTTGTTTGTGTTTGTTGTTGTTGTTGTTTTTTTAAGAACAACTCATTTTAAATTATCAAACTTGGAACATTTTATCCTGAATACAGCACTAGGGACAAACTTGGAGTCTGTAGATTGCATTTAGTGACATGTGCTGATATAGGTGGGCTGGTCTGCAGTCACCAATTACCTTCAGCATTTGCTTGTGAAGCTGGCAGCAAACAAGTCCTGCAGTTTTGAGTCCTAGATGTGCACGTTTCTCCAAGCCCAGCCTAGCCACCTTCCCCTTGCCAAATGTGTAGTTTGGAGGAGGGTTTGTGTGATCCCAAGCAGCATCAGCATTAACTGCACACTTCTTTCTCCTTTGCCATTCCTATACCTACCTTAGATGCAAAGGGTAGATTTGTGACACTGGACAGTGACACAGCAAAGCACTTCAAGCATGTGCTTCACTCTGAGCTCTTAAAGGAGTTCAACTAGTTGGTGTTGTTGCTTCTTCTCTAATGCTTTGTTGGACAGTGGCCTTGGTCTCCTCTACTGAATGTGGTGGTACCCAGATGGAGGTAGGAGTATCCTGCCAATGCTGTTCACATGTTGTTTAGCAGAGCTGATAACGTAAATGGCTTTAAAAATAAATATTTGATATTCTTGTTGTAGCTCCCAGATGATTCAGAACACTATTCATGGAAGTGTTTTTGATTTTTATAGAATTCAAAACCCACAAAAGTTCATCGTTCATTTCACAGGGGTGTATTTCTAAGATTCTGAGTGGAAATGTTTAGATTGTGTACTTCTATGGCCAAAAAATATAGATGGGTCTCCAGAGTTCCTGCTCTATCCCCAGCATTTCACAGCTTTTCCCATACGATTCTCATTCCTCTGGGCTCCTTTCACTGCTTCTCTTCTGACACATTGTCCTTTAGCAGCTGCTGACTGTGCAGAAGGTGGATCGGGACAGTTGTACTCTGCTGGGAGAGAAATGGGGAAAAAAGGTTGGGGCACTTTATTGCAGTAGGATTGGTTCTGACAATGTTATGATCCCTTTGAAATCTGGAATCTCTGGAGTCTTAATTTCTGAGGCTTACCACAGACGTATTGGGTTTGTGTGTACTGTGCTGAAGTCTACAGATGGCAATACTGAGAAATGTTAGGAAATGACACCACCTGAAAGGTAGGAAAACCAAAGTAAAAGTAAAATGTTTTCTCTTTAGCTAGCACACCTTGGCAAGGAGTGTCCAGAACAGTAGCTTTTACTTGTATAAGAATCAGCTTAATAGGCCAACTCGTTAATTAGCTTAGCTGCCCTGTCTATTTGTTCTCTGCTAAGGTCTGCTGTGTACGAATGTAAACAGTTTCTAAATACTCATTACCAGTATCAGAACAGCAGATGCTTCTGAGTTGTCTGTTTCCAGCTGAACAAATCATTCAGTTCACACAGATGCCAAAGGCTTATTTTCAGAACACAGTTTAAGAAAGCAACCTCATCCAACAAAACACCTTTAAAAAAAAAAAAAAAAAAAATCCATCACAAAACAACACTGTGCTTGAGCCCTCTAGGGAGCTGAAAGTTAAATATCCATTTACATGTCATCAGTAATGCTTTCCTCAGTCAAGGCCTTAGTCCCAAAGGGTCAGTGTCAAATATCCCTGCAAGCTGAAGCAGACACAGCTGTGTGCAGTGTGCACATCCTGGTGTTTTCTGCAGATGGCAGGAGAATGCAAATGGCTTATAGCTCTCTGCAACTGGCTACATTTTAGGCCTCTTAGGAGAGCTCTTGCATCTTTTGGAGCAAACCAGCATGTGTGCTAGGACAGAACTGGTTTCTTCTTCTAAAAGAAAATTTTATGGCATTGGGTGACCCCTTAAGGAAACACAAGTGTTAGGAAACACTTCTTTACAGAAAGGGTGGTTAAACATTGGAATAGGCTCCCCAGGGAGGTGGTTGAGTCACTGTGCCTGGATGTGTTTAAGAGCTGTTTGGATGTGGTGCTCAGAGATATGATTTAGCAGAGGATTGTTAGAGTTAGGGTACTATGGTTAGGCTGCGGTTGGACTTGATGATCCTTGAGGTCCCTTCCAACCTGAGTAATTCTATGATTCTATGATTCTTAAGAACAGTTGAACATATAAAATGGCTGATGATCCTTGTGTTTTCTTTATTCAGAGAACGCAGTATCTAAGAAGGGCCTTAGGAGCCTGATGACTAACGTGTCTTCTCTTATTTTTTTCAAACAGAGTGTCTTTGGTGATCCCACCATGCCAGAAATCTCGCTATGCCACTTACTTTGATGTGGCAGTGCTGCGCTGCTTGCTGCAGCCTCACTGGTCTGAGGAGGGCACACAGTGGTCACTGATGTACTACCTGCAGAGACTGAGGCATATGCTACAGGAAAAACCTGAGAAACCACCTGAACCTGAGATCACCCCTTTGCCGAGACTTCGCAGTAGCTCCATGGTGGCTGCTGCACCATCTCTGGTGAATACCCACAAAACTCAGGTAAGCAGTTGCCACTGATATGAAACCAGTGTGATTCTCGGAAGTGGTGGGCAGATGGCTTGTGAAAACCTTGGTGTTGGTTAAACTACCCAGAGCTCAGATACGTGCATTGATTCAGAAGGAGAACTGGAGAATGATGAGGGGTTTGGAGTTGGAATCTGACTCAGAGTCTGAGCTGGCAATTGCTGAAAGCTTGAAAGCTGGTTTGTGATAATTAAGCTAGGGAGGGTGCTGATAACATTAGTTTTTAATGTGAGAATATACTGACAACTTTGTCAGAAGAAATCAGGCTGCCTTTCCTGAGCTCTCTTTGATGTTACCCTTCAAAAGAAAAGGAATTGTGCTTGGTACAGCATTGCACACTTCAGACAAACACTTGTGTTAAATATCAGAATAGACTTTCGAAAGCTGAGACAGTGAACCCTCCATGTTGTTACTTCTTCTCATTATGTTATTCTTCTTGCGTAACTTCTACCTTTATGTTTGCTAACAAAGCCTCAGTGGACAAACTGTCCTAGTAGATGTCAAAACTTATTCCCTGTTTTGCTAGAAAAGGAACTCCAGATTCCAGACCTTGATGCAGTAAAGATCTTTGTCTTAGAGCTTAGTTGTTTTGTGGTTGTGTGGTTTTTTTTGTTTGTTTGGGTTTTGTTGTTTTTTTTTTTTTGGATAGGTCATAGTTGATCCAGGGATGAAAAAGGGACGTGGCTGCAGTTTCAGTTGATCTCCTTGTTGATTTCTGATACTTTTAGATTGTGTATTCCTTTTCTGTCATGTAGGCTTTTAACAGCAAATTCTGATTTACTGAATTAGTAGAACTTTCTTACAAGATTTAATACAGGATTCTATTTTTGCAATCCCATTCTATGACGCATCTCAAGTAAAAGGCTCTATCTTCTGGTGATGTTCTTGTCAAATGTCTTTTTTTACTCAAAACTCTCAGAATTAATTCTTGTTTTTTTTTTTCTAAATCCCTGCTTGCGGTATTCTGGCAGTTTCTGACCTGTTATTTCATAATGATAAAGAGTGAAACATCCTGCACAGCCAGAAGACAAGCATAAACAATGTAAATGTTAGTATTTTTATTTTTAGTCTCAGGGTGTTGCAGCCATTCTTATGGTGTTTATGAAGTCCCATGTCTACATATGGTTTTCAGGGCTCAGCAGCAGCAGTACTCTTTAAATTGTATTATATGTATTATATATTTCTATAAAATGTTGCCCATTTCATCCCTGTGAAAGCTTTACATATCTCTGTAAAGGCCAGGTGATTAGAATTACTATTCAGTCTTCATCTACCTTTGCACGGGGATCTCATAGAATTGTGCATGTACAGAAAATCCTCCTTTAATATCATCTCCTGGAGGGAATGCCAGTTAAATAGAATGGTACACTGAAAGTTATTACTCTGTTCATGTGATTCACTCTTCTTGTGTGTGTACTTTTTGTCTTTGCTCATAACAGCCCAGTTATTTTGCACATGAATATGGTAGCTACTAGTGCAGTAGCACTGCAGTCAGATCTTAACATAGCAGCAGTGTGCATGAGATTGTCCTCCACAGGCACTGCTTGCATTAGTATTCTGCTGGTTCTTCTTTAAACACTTTCCTTCTTTCACACGCGTGGCTATTTCTTGCTCTTTCAAGATGTTTCTCTTGCAAAAGGTTCCTTTACTCGATTGCTCTTCACTGACATTTTTCTGTTAAATCCATTTGGCAATTCCACTGGGTACCTTCTAGCTGCAAATGTGAGGACTCTGTCCAGGGCATTCTTCCCTCCAGGGCTAGATTTGATTGCTTTTGGTAACCTCTGTGTCAGTCCTGCGTATTTTTACTGTACTTCATCAAACTGGAATCCTGTTTAAAAGTGTTTCCAATTTGTTGAGCAGAACAGCTGTGATGGAGGAGGTCAAACAGTCCTCCATGCACCAAAAGTTTCAGCTCATTTCACTCTTTTTTACAGCTCTGAGGGCTGAAGACTGCAACACAGAGGCACCCAGACCCTACGGTTATCCCAGCTGACTGTAGGCTCTTAGCTGAGGATCTTAAATTGTCTCATCACCCAAGTCATCTGCTAGTCAGAGGAGAGAGACCACCTCCAAAGGACAGAGACTTGTCATTTCTCTTTATCAACAGACAGGATTGTACATTGAGATGTCACCAGCTCATCAGTCAAGATCTAGGTCTAGATCTAAATTCCTAGCTAGGCATCATCAGGTTGGTGAATATGCTCTCAGAAATATTGGCACTCTTGTATTTCAGTGGGTTAGATTCACAGTGGTTGGCTGATTAAACTGCTCCAAGATAAAAAGTTAGCTACATGTAAATCAGCTTAGGGGCCAGCGGATTTTTCTGATAAATCCATGTTCTTTTTGTTGTTCAGCATTTTATCATGGTAACCTGAATCTCCCCTGGTCTCAGCAAAACTCTCAAACTTCTTGTTGGATTCTGTGTGCCTGAAATCACATTTTAAATATTGTCTTGGGCTGAAGAAGTTGGTATTGTGAGTTGAGAAAACACAAGAAACATCCCTCGTGTATTGCCTAATAAAATGAAGAGTAAAGTGGAAAAAGATTCAGTGCAGCATGCTAGCACTCCTTATTGCATAGCGAATGGGTACTGGCTACAATGAATAAAATTAATACTAGCTTCCTCTAGAAACTGACTTTAATCCAAACATATTTCAGACCTAGGAACACATGATAAGGGAAGCCTACTTTGTACCTATATGCAGTGAATTTAGTGTAAGGATGGGTCTAGGAAATGAGACCTTCAGAGGCTCACAAACCTCTAGTCTTGTGCTAACATTGCTAACATTGCAGGGGCAAAGAGCCAGAGCTTAAATTAAACATCAGGCCAATGCAGCTGTAGTGACTCACAGCAATACTAATATAAAAGCAAGAGTCTAAAGTGCAATACCTTGAGAGGTGGAAGAAGTCCTAGTGAGCTGCTAGCTTTACAGTCGTGCAGAACAAAGGCAATAGGAATCAGAAGAAAATCTAGAGTAGCAGCTCCAAAACTACTTAGCTTTTCTGTCCATCTTATGCATATCATAAAACCAACATAATCTACTGCACAGGTCAGTCTTCACAAGGAGTATTATTTTGATTCTTTAGAAAGTCATATATCCCGCTGTAGATTAAAGATAATTCTACAGTTTGGTTTTCTAATGTTTCTCACTTGACACCCGTCCTAACTGCAACTCGTACTGTGTCTTTTTGCGTTTGTATAGCTTGTATCATGGTAGGTCCTCATCCTCACTCTGTAATTTTGGTGAATATTTAGGCCACCTAATAGAACTCTGATTTAGTAATTAATGTACAAAAGGTTGTGAAACTGAATTAAATTGGCACGATGTTTTCCAGACAGATGAAGCTAGAGAGCTGTAAAAGCTAAGAACCAAGCCATATGAAGTAATTGCTGGCTTCACTGTTGAGAGGCTTCTGGGGTTGAATCGTCATTTGCTGTTTGATGGATTTTGCATATGAATCCCCAATCTTTAGTATATTTCAAAATGCATAAAAGCATACCTTGCCTGAATGTGACTGTAAACAATTGTGAAGCAGAATTCTTTCTGTTGTGTGTCCCCTCCATTCTCATATTGGTAAAGTAAATAGGAAGGGTTTAAGGGTAGTCTTTGATTAGCATGAGAAGTCTGATCTCCAGTATCCCAGTACTGCAAACTGTGTAACTGGTCATTACACTTTTGGCTGCAGAGTGTCTCTGGCTTTTGCAGAAATTTCATATGCATAAAACTGCTCATTTGTTTGCAGAGCTGGGATCTGATTAGTCAGGATCTTCTTTATATCTTCTATACTGTTGGAGTCTCCTTATCTACTGATGGCATGTAGCTGTCAGGCTTGGAAGGGAAAAGGTATTTTAATACAATCTAGTTTTTTAGCACAACCTTCTTAATGAGGAAGCAAGGCAGAAGACCATATCCATTGGAAACAATCTGATATTTCAGCAGAAGAAAATTATCCTGAGGGGCTTTGGTCAGGTCAGCTGCACAAACATCTCATGAAAAGTGGCAGCATATCTTTAATGAGAACAGATGGTCAGGAGCTGAGCGTATGCCACCCTTTGTACCAAAGCCTTTCTTTGCAGTAAGTAGGCAGCTGGAATGTTTTGTTCAGTGCAGAAGGGGAGCAGAGCGCCCTCTTCTGAACTATTGGTAAATTAGTCTCAAAGTTTTCCTTGTCTTCGGACGTTTGATGCAAGAAGTTAAAGGGGCTTTAAGAAATATGAGAAGCATGGTGTGGAAGGATCTTGGAGGACTTGTTATTACAAGTGCAGGATTCTTACTGATGTTGACATCTTAGGTTTCTTTATTTTATAGATAAAATTAAAGATGAGTGTTGCTCCAATCCCATCTTCCTTCCGTCTGCCAAAGCAGCCCACCATGGCATCAAAAAAAGGCTTGTAACTTTCATAAGGAGACTTGTACTTATGAAATTGTGTAATTAAAATATTTTTTAAAATAAAATATTTTGAAGTGACCATGCTGCTTATTGCAGCTTAATTCCAAAATACATTATTATGGGCATACATTGTTAAGAGCAGATTCTCTTAGGTGTTAAAACATTGCACAAAGAGTGGTCTCTGTGATTGCATATAAATGTAAACCAAGGCCACAGGAAGATCATCTGCCAATCGGGGTCATGCCTCAGAATCAAGTTTAGCTGACCATCGGTCTTCTGTGCCACTAGACCATGCTGACAGCAATGCCTGAGTCTGTCTTTGGCAGCACAATGCCTCACTCATCTCTCTCTTTTTTTTTTTCCTCCCAATGACAAATACGTTACTCAAGATCAGTAATTGTAGGAGTCTAAACATTTTTGTTTGTTTTTCTTTAAATGTGTGAATAATGCTTTCTGTGATGAATAGATGGTCCTTTTCCTCTACAGTGCTCCTCCAATGAGAGCTCTTGGAAGCACTTATTTTATTAAGATGCTTATCCTCTATTTCTCCTTGTGCTTATTGTCTTCTTCTGGGATCTGCAGGATCTTACAATGAAATGTAACGAGGAAGAAAAATCTCTAAGCACAGAAGCATTTTCCAAAGTTTCACTGACCAACTTGCGTAGGCCAGCAGTTCCAGATCTCTCCACAGATCTGGGGATGAACATCTTCAAAAAGGTGAGTGGAAGAAAATTTTCCTTAATTTACCTATGATTCAGCATCTGAATGACCCGGTGAGTAGCAGCTGAAGGTTTGCTTGGACTGTTCACTCGTGCTATATAAGAGATTGTCATCTTCTTTTATTGGGAGTAATATGATGTGTTATTGTTTAGGTATTATGCAGAAATTCAAATCGCATTACTAAATCCCAGGCTGGATATGGCTCTGGGCAGCCTGGTCTGGTGGTTGGTGACCCTGCACATAGCAGTGAGGTTGAAACTAGATGATCATTGTGGTCCTTTTCAACCCAGGCCATTCTATGATTCTATGAAATCGTTATTCTGATATCTGTCCTGCTAAAACTATATGTGGGGAGGATACCCAAACAATGTCTGGATTTTTAAGTACTGGTGCTCACTGTAATTCCAGCTAATTCAATAAAGTTTTTCTGACTTTTTTTAATGTAATGAAATTCTGGGTTTGCACTCATCCAAGATACTTAACAGAGTTTTGTGGATTCTGCAAATTTACTTCTCATATCTAAGCATGTTGGGCAGTTATTCAAGGGCATCCATCCCAGCCTGTGGTAAAACTGAGTTCCTTAAAATATTCATGTGGTCCTTGAGTGTAGATAGTTTCTTTCAGGATGAATGACCAAGACAAAAAGCTCAGCGCATACAGTTGCAGTTGGGCCACATACTGCTTTAATTTTTTGCCCCTAGTAGTAGTTAAATGCCTCAATGCCTCTACCCGCTCTCATCTTCCTTCTGCAGTTTAAAAGCCGCAAAGAGGACAGAGAGCGTGAACGCAAAGGGTCAATTCCTTTCCACCATACTGGGAAGAAGCGTCAACGGAGAATGGGAATGCCCTTTCTTCTCCATGAGGACCATTTGGATGTTTCACCCACTCGGAGCACTTTTTCATTTGGCAGTTTTTCTGGCATTGGAGAGGACCGACGTGGCATTGAGAGAGGAGGATGGCAAACCACCATATTGGGTGAGGCACTGCTATCTCTGCCCCATGTTCTGTATCATTCCTGTCCTGAACATTTAGAGAACAGCAGAGGCTTTTTGTTTCTTTGTCTGTTCTATTACAATCTTATGTCCTTTGTTCTGTTTTCAGTATTAAACATCTGTTTGCAGAAGTGGCAACCATGCTGGCAGCAGACCTTGGATGACTTATGCTTCACTTTTTCCCTGAAAACAGTCATACAGTGTAATAATAGCTACTAGTGTAATAATAGCTAACTGATAGTCGTGGCTGTACCACTCAAATTCACGTGAGGCTGCTTTATCAACTGCAGCTTAAATTAGATTCAAGGAATGTTTACATCCTTTTCTTCTGCAGAAAAATATCTGGAGAAGCAGCAATGGGGTCATTAGGAGCATAGAAAAGAATATTAACAATTTTCCTCAAGTGAATTTTGGATGTTAAATGAAGTATTGCTTCAGGTAGTTTAGCTTTCCCTATCTTGGTATTACAAAGATGTGGTGTTTAAATATTGGTTCCTTCAAGCTTCCAAGTGCACTGAACAGATTTAGGCATGGTTTCTTTTTCACAAACTTTTAATGTCATGTATTTTCACCCTCGCATCCTTTCCTGAAGATGATAGACTATGTTTTCATGATATTTAGCCAATCTTTACATCAGTGAGCCTCAGGAGATATCCCATTTTAATTTGTTTTGCTGCACTTCACAGCGTCATGGAAGGTCATGGCTTCTGACTTCAACCTTTCCATTTCTGTCTTCAGCTACTGTCTCTTAGAACCTCCAAGAACCTCTCAAATGAGTAAACCTAGTATCAAATTCTTGTCTTCACCCTAGGAAAGTTCACCAGACGGGGGAGCTCTGACACAGCAACGGAGATGGAAAGCCTGAGCGCTAGGCACTCGCACTCTCACCACACTCTTGTCTCTGATCTGCCAGACCACTCAAACAGCCATGGAGAGAACACAGTCAAAGAAGGTAAATTTAACACATCAAGAAAGAAAAATTCCACTGAAATATAAACTCCAAGAAGTTGAGGAAGTGTTACTGTTTCCATGTATATGACTAATATTTTTTTTCTGTTTTTTGTTCTCTGTATAAATATTTTCCAAGTCTTTTGTGTTTATCTTGTGCACTTTACAATATGTGTGTGTGTGTGTGTGTAGGCAGCCGTTAGCATGGAGAAGAGAGAGGTTATGTTGTGTTTTTTTAATTTGTTTTCTGTTATTGTTGTTCTGATATGATGGTGTTTGGTTTTTTGTTTGTTTGTTTTTGTCTTAAGAGTACATGGTGCAGAAACTTAGTATTGCTTCGCTGGTTTCACGGGAACTTTGTGATACTTAGTGCCTCATCTCAGTCCTCTGTTGTGCTGAAAAATCCTTTTTTTCCTAGTTTCTCCTAATTCAAAACAGAAGCCAAGCTTTGAAATTTGCTCAGTCACCCTGGGCCCATCTGTCTTGGAGCCCTCTGCAGAAATAGCAATGCCAAGTATGGCCACTATGAGAGAACCCCTGGTGGGATGAAGTCTGTTCCATAAAGAAGAGTCTTTCTGTTGGCAGGACAACTCCACCTTTGTTAAACAACATTAGCTGTGCAGAGGAAAGTTCTTTTCTGGCTATCTGCGCCAGAGGGCTTTGCTGGCACTACTCCTGCTGCCTAAGCACAGCAAATCTTTCTCCCTCCTTTGTAGTGCTGCTAGCGAAACCTGGCCATGCAGATCAGGCCTCAGCTGTGGCAAGCACAACCTTAAACCTTCATGAGGGAAGAGGATATCACACACTCCATGGAGCAGGGCACAATCTGTCTGCATAAGCTGTCAGGCAGCATACCAAGAAGGATACTCACATTTTTATGTGCTGTAGCCCTGGGAGCTCTCAAAGATCCATGCTGTTTTAGCACAGCAATTCTGAAAAGCATGAAAGAGAATGGATTTACATCAGCTCTAATTTAGTATGGACACTCTTTTATCCCTGCTCTATGAGTCTGGGCAGAGTTCTGCTCCTGAATCATTTTTGTGTAGTCTATGTTCATGATCTATATTTGTTCTGTAGGAGAGTGATCCCACACACCACACCAGGTTTCTAGCCAAATATTTCTAAAAAGTTGCCATATATAATGCGTTACTGTCTGTACCTAGGGTACAATTGTGCTGCAACTATTTAAGTAATAGGACAAATCGCACTGTTTTCAGTGGAAGCTTCCAATTTTGAACAAAATGTTGTGTAGTTGAAGAATAAGTACAAATATTAACTATTATTTCTTTTGTGGCCAACTATATCCAAGCATTCTGGTCATTCCTAATTTCCCGTCTGTTGTCTAATTTCCCTGGCCAGGAGAAATTTGCTAATAAACATTTCTTCTGGCTGACACTTCATCAGAGATGAAGAATTAGTTATGTCCTGTGTAGATGCTGAAGAGGAGTCATGGACGCACTTGCTGCAGGCATCTATGGGTATAGATGAAGAGTCCTTAGTTCTCCTTGTCTGCCTCTAGGTCCCATCCAGCAGTCAGCTCTGTCAGTGATAATGAGATAAAGGTTCAGCACAGAAAAAAAATATTTTGTGTAGATTTCGGATATGTTTTTTTTGTTAAACTAAGCAAAACCTCAGTGAAACAGAAAATAATTACTCTTGGGTAGTCATCAAACTTGGTAACTCAGGAATGAAGTTTCCTAATTTCATATTTTCCTTGTTGTCTTCAACATGCAGATGTCTGTGATTGCCACTGAAAAGTCACACTTGCTGTCAAGTAATCCTGTTACTTTAGGTACAACAGTTACTTCCTGTACTGATCATTAACCACTTTGTGACCTGTACTGAAGCACTGCCATTGGCCTTTGAATGAGTCTCTTAATAGAAACTGCTCATTCGGTGCTGGCAGGGTTGTACAGACTGCGCAGACATGTAGTCACCACTCTGACAAGTTGTTATTTTCAAAATGTAGCCAATCCATTGCTGAGTCAATTCTTGAAGATTACTAGATTTGTTATTTTATTAATTAGAACACTTTAAGTAGCCTTAGGCAGAAGTTTGTTGTTATTCCATAGTGCTGTTACCATACTCTCCTGAAGAAGATGGTCCAATCAGCAATGTGGGACACGTGATTTTGTTACACTGTTGAGTGCACAGACCTGTTTACAAAGCAGTAAGCATAGGAAATTACTCATACTGTGTGCTAGAGTTCAGTATGAGCGTTTAATGAAAATGGCTTGTATTGCCAAAATGCTGTCACTAGCTGAGCTAGCCAGTTTAAAATTAGACTTAGCTATGTCACGATGTCCTTTTTCTGGGTACTGTGAACTTAAATGCCACATTACCTTTCTCATCAGTCAGTTTTACATGTTGGTGATGTACTATTGCAGGTAGTGCTAGGGTTTTTTTTGTTTTCTCAGACAGTCTGACTAAGAAAGCTATTTTAACTTGGTGTTGCTAACCTGCCTTCACTCCATTCAGCTGCTGAGTGCTTATTCTTTCCCTTGCTGTGGTGTTCCTGTTTCTGAGACCAGGCACTAGATCAGTATCAGGAGTAAAGCTAACCAAAATTTAATCCTTGTTTTGGATTAAGTTTAAATTGTCTGGACTCCCTGGTTAATGACCTGTAGTCTCAGATCAGTTTATGCTGCCATGGAACTATAATGCTAGAGCAATCTTGGGTTCTAATTTGCAGTAGCATAAAGGAAGAAATTAACTTATGCTTTTACCCTTGCACCCATTATAGGAATTAGGAACCTGCCTTGTCTTTCAGCATTGTGAGTTGCATTAAGAGCTGCACCCTTCTTGTAAACAAGCACAGCCTCGGTTTGCCATTTTCTAACTCTGGAGATGGAAATTCACAGGTAGCCATTTTCTTCCCTGCAGTTCGGTCCCAGATCTCTACCATCACTGTGGCTACCTTCAACACTACCCTGGCTTCGTTCAATGTGGGCTATGCCGATTTCTTCAGTGAGCACATGAGGAAGCTTTGCAATCAGGTGCCCATCCCTGAGATGCCTCATGAACCTCTTGCGTGTGCCAACCTCCCACGGAGCCTGACAGACTCATGCATCAATTACAGTTGCTTGGAGGATACGGATCACATTGATGGAACCAACAACTTTGTCCACAAGAACGGCATGCTGGATCTCTCGGTAATTGGCAAGGAATGAGGAAAGCCAGGTCCCTCTTCTGTCAATATAGTGGTACCATTGAGATCAGGGTTTTGATGGGCTTTTCCTCCACCTCTTTATATGACTTCTCTCAGCAGTACATAAAGGTCAGTCAGATACATTTGTGCATATCGTAAAAGTCTCCTTTGAGATACTACAACTCCTATTACTCCTTGCAAGGAGTGCATGTGCATGTGTAATGCACACATCAGATCTTAAGTGATATTATTTAATTGCTGTGTTCCTGGAGCATGCACTGAATTCCCTATAAAACAGCATAAAACTGAACAGCACCTTGACGGCACCTTAAAACTCACCCTTACTTCATTCCTCTTAATGACTTGACAGCACCTGGTGCACTGAAGCAGTGTTCTCAGGCTCACAGATGTCATCTCATGGTTTCCTTTTCTGCCTGACCTGTGGTTTCTTCTTTTACACCTAGTTTGTAGGCTCTTGGGATTGAGGGTTGTGTTATTCATTCTGAGTTTGTACTGTGCCTGCTATAATGAGTCTTTGGTCTATGACTAGAATTTCCAGGCATTGATTAGTATTAGGAGAGAAAATTATTCTAATTTTAAATATGATGTTTGATTCTACCAGGTAGTCCTGAAGGCTGTTTACTTGGTGTTGAACCATGACATCAGCTCCAGGATCTGTGATGTGGCACTGAACATTGTGGAGTGCTTGCTTCAGCTTGGAGTGGTGCCAAGTGTAGAGAAAGTCCGGAGGAAGAGTGAGAACAAAGAAAATGAAGCCCCTGAAAAGAGACCAAATGAAGGATCCTTCCAACTCAAAGCTTCTGGAGGTTCAACTTGTGGGTTTGGGCCTCCTCCAGTCAGTGGAGCTGGAGATGGAGGAGAAGAAGGAGGTGGTGGAAGTGGTGGAGGAGGAAGTGATGGAGGAGGTGGAGGAGGAGGGCCGTATGAGAAGAATGACAAAAACCAAGAAAAGGTTTGTTTTGCTTCCCATTGTGCCACTCCATAATGAACTGTGATATCTGTTAAGACAAAGTATGAATGTGTATGCAATTCCCCTTCTGTTTGCCTTCTTTTTTCTTTGCACAAATTAATTTCTTTTGTTCTAGTGCTCACTATAGTTGTGCTGAAGAAACATGATTGGTAATTCAAGTACTGTAACTTCTCCAAAAGCAGTTTGTGAGTCTTACTGGGACAATTTTAATATCCTATCAAAATGCAAAGCAATCATTATTTCTTTTAAGGTTCATCATGTGTAGCTTATAAGAAAAACCAAAATTCAGTGTTTGAACCCAGCTTGTTTTCTTTGATAACCAGAAATCATAAATTTTTCAATATTGCTATGAGAATTGGCTGAGAAAGGCTGTTGCTGACATCCAAAGTCACACCTTGTGGTAGTATAATACCAAAGATATTTAAAATATGTGGTTGCTTTTCTGCCCAAGCTAGCCAGCTCTCTGTTTTCAGGCAGAATTTTTTGAAGTAAACGCTGAATGATGCTCACGGCATCCTGTTAGTGGGTTTTGCATTTATAACAACATTTTTAAGGGGAGTTTAAAGTGAGGAGGCTGGTGCTCTAACTTGAAAAGTAATTGCAATACACATTTTTAGAGTTACAACTTTGTAACAGAGTGTCTGAGGGGAGAAATGGGCTACAGTTTGTTGAAAGTAGAATGCTAACAAAAAGCCAGTGGTTTTGCTAAGGTTTCACACCAAGTTTCTCTCTGTGACTCAGGATGAAGGTCCGTCTATCAGCACCCATAGGCTGGCACTCACAATGCTTATCAAAATTGTGAAGTCCTTGGGTTGTGCCTATGGTTGTGGGGAAGGACACCGAGGGCTCTCTGGAGATCGCCTGAGACACCAGGTATTCCGGGAGAATGTAAGAGAATTAAAGCTCATTAAAATGTTCCCCTTGTACTTTTGACATCAGCTGCTGAGATTTCTGTCTGCCCCTCTGTAGCTTTTTTTTGTATTGAGTACAAATGTGTTTCTCTTTGTCTGAGCACATAGACTGTGTTGCAGCCCAGCTGTAGCAGATTTTCAACTTCCATGTTATCTTCCGTACCCTGGGACTTGCTATAAGAGTACATCTGAGGCCCAGGTTTCGTTTCAGCACTCAGTGCAAAGGTGTGAAAAGTCACAAATACACTGGAGCAAAGCCCCATGTGTGCTGTTGTAAGTCACTTTTTAAACTGATGAAACCCCAACAGAGTATGCTGTTTACAAGAGGTGAAGCTGTTTTGGGTTGCATATCTAAATCCTGAAATCTAAGTAGCTATGTCCACCTTTCCTAATTATAATCGTGACTGGTTGCTGCTGGGCTGCTTCATTAGCTCATGATACTGAAGTGCACTGTGCTTGCAGGCATGTTCTTGTATCACAAGAAGGTAGAAGATTCATGCCCTTTTGAAGGACAAGGCGGCTGGTTACCTTATACTTCAGAGTATGCTCAAACTGAAGCACTGGAAAGTGCCCAGGCTGTAACCCAGACATTTGACTTCAGTCAGAATTTGACTCCGTGAGATCAGTCCAATGCCCTGTCAAATGGGAGCCTTCCAAAGGTTCTCTCCAGCACATACTTCCTCTTTACCTTCTGTGCTTGCAGCAGATAGCGTTTTTGATGACTGCAATGAGAATTTACTCAACCCCTAACCATAGTGGGCATGGGAGCCAGGTTTTTCTGCGTGGCTTTGATTAGCCTCAGCCATGCCAAGAGAGCTATAACTTGGTGTTAGAATCTGAGCTATGTGGTTTGAAGGTGGATTAACTGCCTCTGTATCAGTCACCATTGTTCTGTTAGTTAGCTAGACCCCTGGGTACTGAGGAGACTGCAGCATTAATGTTAGTTGCAGACACAGTAGGGCAATGGGATAAGAAAATCCCAGTGGTAACAGCAGAAAAATTCTGTACAGAGCACTGGTTGAAAATATACTATATTCAGCAAAATGTCAGTTAGGCTTTTACACTGCCTTGGAGCTGAGCCAGCAAAACATTGAGTCCAGGGCATGACATTATACATAAATGAATAGATCTCTTGGAGCTGAAGTTCCTATCAGGTTCATTAAACTAGGTCTTTATGGGAAGAGATATCTACGTGTCAAAGTCTGCAGCTCTCTCTGTGCGTTTGTCTAGTCAGACTGCTTTGCATGCACCATTTGTGTTGGCTGCATGCACAATTCACGTCTGAGTTACTGGAAAGCTAAGCGCCCTTTTGTAGGCAGCAGAAGAGTTGATGCTCCCTGTAAGAGCTGATATTTCAGACTTGCTAATATCAGCCTGCTTGGAGTCCCAGTGGGATGGGTACTTTTCTGATAGGAAATTGAATACCAATAGCTTTTAAATAAGCAGCTAATGATACATATTGACCACTGGGTGCAGGTGGGCTGGCTTGGATCTGAGCCATCAGCTGAAAATCAGATGCTTGAATCTAAGAAATTTTTTCAAGGCAATAAACCTTGACAGGGGTGGTACATTCCTATTTCATTCATGCTTAATGAGATTTTACCTTTGGGGGAAGCGGTGGGAGTAAGGCTTTCAGATGTGGCTGAGAATGACTTCAGCACCATCTCCAAACAGTGGCACCCATGAAGTGCTGAATTTCTTGTTTGCTTCAGGGGTGAACCTGTGTTCTGTTATAGAACCTAAATATTCTGGCTCCTGGGGAAAATTACTTTAGATAGAAAGGCAGAGCATTGACTAAGAGCAAAAGAGGACCTCAAAATACCCGGCTGCTATCAGCAAAACTCAAACATGTAATTTGATGTGATTTGATCTGACGGATGTCGTTTCAGGCTCAGAACTGCCTCACAAAGCTGTACAAACTGGATAGGATGCAGTTCCGCCAAACCATGAGGGATTATGTGAACAGAGATTCTCTTAACAATGTGGTGGATTTCCTTCATGCTTTACTGGGATTCTGCATGGAGCCAGTCACAGACAGTAAGTATGGCTGGCATCAGAATTTCTTAATTGAATGTTCCTAAACTTTACCATCAGAAAGAAACCATGCCTTTTTCTTTTTTTTGTCTTAAAGTAAATATATTTTTAAAAAAGTGAATTTCTATCCTCAAAACATACAGATTATAATTCTAGCAAGCACAGTCAGCAGAGTTTAAACTCATCCAGTTTTACCACCTAGTGATCACATGTAGTGATCATGCAGCACTCAGTGCACCTGAAATTGAAAACTTCTCTTTTGATTCATCCTACCTGTTGTTCATGGCTTTCAAAGAAAATATTTTCATTCAGTTATGCCTCAGGCTGGAGGTTTTCTGCTTCATGGCATGAGCAGACACTAGCTGACGTGGCCTGTTTAATCCATGGTTTATTCTAAATGGAGATATAATTGAGCATTAAAACCCTCTGTGGTGCCTCAGGTGAGGCAGGAAATAGCAGGAACAGATTTCATAAACAAGAATATGAACACAGAGATGTGCATACCTGGTGTAGGGATCCTGCTACCTGGTGTAGGGATCCTGCTTTGGCAGGGGGGTTGGACTCGATCTCTGGAGGTCCCTTCCAACCCCTACGATTCTGTGATTCTGTGATACCTACAATATAAGTGTGTGTTTATGTATATTTTTCTTTATTTTTAGGAAAATTATTCCAGATGCTAATAGAATGTCTGGACATTTCTGCTTGGTCACTGCTTGTGACAGCAATTAACAGTCATTGTTTACAGAATAGAAACAGCTGTTTCCCAGTATTTAGGGAGTCTGTCTGCTCTATTAGATTCTCTCTGATCTCAGGCATTTCAGAGACTGCATCAAAAAAAGAGTAGCAGGCTTTTATGAAAAAGATGTTCACAGGAAGTTTCCTCAACATTCACCAATTATTATCAGGCTTTGAAGAATGGCAGCTCATGCAGCTTTTGAAAAGTCTTTCGTCTCACCTAATAAAACTGGGATATTTCTTGTCTTATAAATGTGTAATGCTTTTTTGAATTTTTGACAGCTTGGTCTTCTTTTGCACCTTGCGAGAACAGCCTTCCTCTAATTTAAAAGATTGTCTTCTCCTGGGCATTGTCACTTTTCAGTTTAATCAAACATCTCCTATTCTTTAAAATAATAAATAGAAAAGCCAGAAGTATCATTCAAATTTTATGTCTTATTTTATACTTTTCTAAGTGGGGGATGTGGATAAACAGAAGTCAGACTCACCCTAATCTGTTTGATCTTTCTTTGTGCTACAACTATTTCTGGAAAAATTACATCCTTTTCATTTGTTTCCTCCTCCTCTGCCAATTTTTTTTTTGTGAGGTGGGATTGCTAGAACTGAGCATAAGACTTTAGGTGAGAACTAGCCCTTGTCCTATGTATCTGAATACCATAACATGCATCTTTAAAGCCATCTTTTTAAAAGCATTCTAAACAAGAGCGTTTGTTTGTACTTCAATTTCACAGACAAAGCTGGATTTGGGAATAACTTCACCACAGTGGACAACAAGTCTACAGCACAGAGTGTAGAAGGTATTATTGTGAGTGCAATGTTCAAGTCACTGATCACTCGGTGTGCTTCCACTACACATGAGCTGCACAGTCCGGAAAACCTTGTAAGTACTTGATTTCATATTTGCAAAGGTGCTTCTTCACTTGAGTGTGACTAGTGAGGCTTAACAGAATGGATGAATTCAGTTTAGTCAAATACTAGGGATGTAGCAATTTTTTTTTTTTTGGTTGAAAGCTGGCTATGCACTTCCTAGCTGAGAATTTTCAGAATAATACAAGATCACAAAAAGTTCATAAATTGAAAACGAGGTCTTATAACCCTCCATCCTCTTATCCTCAGAGGTACAGGTGACTTGTCACATTGCTGCTATGTATGAATGTTCAAAACTAAAAAGAGCCGTAAGTGTAGGAGTAGGTTGGAGAATGAGTCATTCCTCTCTCTTCCAATGATGTAGAGCTTTAAAATAATTAGGAAAAATCCCAAGACACCCACTGGTTTTGAAACAAACCTTGCAAAGTTTTTATGCTTTTCTCTCCAGCCCATCATTTTGGCTTTTTCATGCCTTTTTAGATTATAGATAAATGGGATAAAACAGGCTTTAAGTCATCTTTGCAGCTTCCTCGTGTAGCCTCTGATACCTCTACATTTGCTTTAGGCCACTGCAGAGCATCTTCTATAATAATAATGATCCTCGCTATGCTTCTTCCAAGTGCTCCAAGTGGCAGCTTTTCTAGCTTTTGATCTCAGCTGGAAAACACAAACCTTGTACATTAAGATTAGATCAGACAACAATCAGAGGAAGTAATGGCCTCCTGAAGGACCCTAGAAACTATTGATTCTCACTGCTTCTTTACAACCTGCAGACTGATTTTTCTTTTCGTGATGTCTTGCTATCCAGGGCTTGTACTGTGATATCCGTCAGCTTGTTCAGTTTATCAAGGAGGCTCATGGGAATGTCTTTCGGAGAGTGGCACTCAGTGCCCTTTTAGACAGTGCTGAGAAGTTAATACCAGGAAAAAAAACAGAGGAAACAGAGCAAGAGCTGAAGTCTTCTGGCAGCAAAAGGTTGGTGTCTGGGAAGAAAAAGTTGAATGACTGATATGGCTATATAACTATATGCACTGAACACAGATGTGGAAAGTCCAAGGGCTTGTGTGTTACGTCTTCACAATCTATACTGGTTTCTGGTGTACAGAATTGCACTGTGGTGGCAGCCTCCTTTAAAATTTAATGAACTGAAATGATCATAGATTTGCAGCAAAAGATGTTAACCCTTTCCTACAGGAGACTAAAGAAAACAAAACAATGGAAACGCTGGAAGAAGAAAGACTAAAAAAATTTTAAAAGCACAGTGCAAGTCCCACAGTGCTGTATGGGTATAGTTTTTAATGTATGTCACATCCTGTGGGAGATCAGTGTTGTTTATCTGACAGATAAACCATGATATGCAAAACAAGTCCCAGAACAAATATAATCCTGACATGCTTCTTAATCAAAAATAAACATGCTTTGAGGTTTTCTGGGGAGAAGAAGTAAGGAAGTTGAAATATTCCTAAAAACCTTGGCTATTCTCAGAGCTATTGCCTTTTACAAAAGTGATACATAGGGAGAGGCAGTAAGTTAGTAAACTGAGAGTGCATCTCAAAAGCTGTTTGATTGCTCAGCAGCACTGATTTCCTTGTCAGGTAGCTATGTGATGAGCATGAGATGAGCCATCCATTCATGGTATCTGATGATTTACATTGTATAGATCTGAGATGGGAAGCGTCATCATCGATAAAGGTCAGGCATCAGCTGCACCCGATGAATGTCGCAGTTACATCTCAAGCCGCCCGATGCAAACTCCAGAACAGTAAGTGAATATTATTTCATTATGTTATTGCTGGCAGCTTCTGTCTGGGTTTAGTACAAATTGGGAGGACATCAAAGATGCACCTGAATGGTGCAATAAGTGTGTTGCAGGTCTGAGGATCTGCTGGTTGCATCAAGGTAATGCCTATTTTCAGTGCTGCCAACTGAAATCAGCTTGATTTTCATGGGCAACCACCAGAGATTGTTTAAAGACACCATAGTAACTCATCAATATCACTTAATATCATAGCCTTGAATATCGTGGTAAGTCCTCAGGGCAGTCGTTACAGCTATTCTTGATGCTTCATTTTTACTTCTGGGGGGTGGCTCCATTTATTTTATAATTCTAAGTTGTTGCTAAGAGTCATTACTCCTTTACTACCCCCCAAGAACTCATTTTGGCCCCATAGTCTCTTAAAACTGTTGTATTTCCCTTAACAGTAGAGCTGTGTTACAAGTTTTCTTAATGAGTGAACCAACCCGCTGTTAGGCATTACACACCTGAAGCTTCTGTTGTCCAGAGAACTCTGAAATGTAATACCGAGTTTCAGAAAGTTTAGTGAATGGCTACCGGTCTCCTGAGTTACTTTGAACCAGTCATTTAACTTCTCTGTGCCCTGAATACCCACCGTCTTGCTAAACTGCTTTGAGATGCACAAGTGGCAGAGCTCTATATTACATTTTTTCTGTGTTAACTAAGCTTGCAAAGTTTCTCCTTTGCTGAGACTGCAAGGATAATAAAGCCTTTGATTGCTGTGCAGAATTGAAGCAAGCTGTTCTACTCTGGGCCCTACCACAGCCACAAGAGATTGCAAGAGTAATATGGGAGCAAAATATGTTGTTCTCATTCCACATTGCAATAAGTTAATAAGAATTGAGACTCCAGCAGGTTCCCATATAGCTATCATGATGTCTTAAAGCTGTTCCAGTACACATGTGCTTGTCAAAAGCACCAGCGTAGTCTTAGCATTACAAATCATTTTGACCTAAAGAAGATGATGTGCTTTTCACTTGTGCAAACAAAAAATTGGAAGGACCCATTCTGTGGGCTTCCACTCTTCAGAGTGGAAAAGATACTTATTTAGTACCTTGAACAATATTGAACATATTAAATTCGATTATGTCCCACTGAGAAGAGTATGTTTGAAATTCAGAATATAACAACTCCAAAGAATAGAAAGGTCAATGTGGGCTGCTGGAGGAGGCCTCATTGCCCTGAACATCCAGACTTCACTGAAGTTCATGTTTGTTTTTTTTTGTTTGTTTTTTGTTTTTTCCAGTGATGAGCAAAACCAAGGTGCTGTTCTGGGACGTAAGGACTTCTGGCGAAAGATGTTCAAATCACAGAGTGCAGCAAGTGATACCAGTAGTCAGTCTGAGCAGGACACATCTGAATGTACCACTGCTCACTCTGGGACCACTACAGACAGACGCTCCCGTTCCCGTTCTCGACGAATCTCCCTTCGAAAGAAACTCAAACTCCCCATAGGTAAATGTATGTCTATTCCTATTCTATATACATATTGCATGTGCAGAGAAACACAGATAGATATATCTCTTGTAAAACATGTTTTATCACAGTTCCTTATTGTCCAAGTATACTCGATAGTCTTGCTAGTGAAGCTGAAAAATGCTGCTTTCTCCACTTCGTAGGTGGAAAACTAAGGCAAAGGGAAAAATAAGCAAATTACCAAAGGTAACAATGTCTGTGGCAAACGAGATCTCCAAAGTAACAGGTTAACACCTTAATCTCTCAAGCTTTCTTCCTCTATCTAAAAGAGAAATATCCAAATAGCATTTAGATAGATAAAGCATGCATCATTTACAGGTCTCAAGACCTGGCCTTGCATGGTAGTTAATGCGCGTAACATGACACGGTTGCTTTCTCCTTACCTCCTGTTTTACCATACCCTGGCACAGCCATTTCAGAGAAATATGCAATGATTGCTAATAAATAGGTTCTACCTGGAAGCATTTTCAGAACTGTTCTGAATAGCTTAATCTGCAACAGGGAACTGGCTGAAGCGCTCCTCCCTCTCTGGCCTGGCTGATGGGGTGGAAGATCTCTTAGATATCAGCTCTGTTGACCGTCTGTCTTTCATCAGACAGAGTTCAAAGGTAAGTGCTTTGGACTCCATTTCAGAGAGCTTACAAGGACAGGATCTGACTTGTTTTACCTGCCCAAGGAAATGCTGTAATCAACGTCGGCATTGCAGCCAAACGTATGACGGACTAGTAACAGAAATCTAGCGAGTAGATTGCATGGCAATTTGATACTTGACTTTTGCAAAGTAAGGCAGTCTAACTTCTGAATGTCAATCCACTCCTTAGAGTAATTCATAGATATTTGTGCCAGGTACTGAGAGTCCTCAGAGTAAGGACCAGGAGAAAACTATTTGTCCTGGCAACAGGTGTCACAGCACTTGCTGATTCCTGAAAGCAAGAAAGTCTTTTTTTTTCCTCACTCTCTTTACTCTTTCCTGTTCTTCAGTCCTTTCATGGTTAAAAAACCTAGCTTTTACTTAATAGTGCATGTATTTGATCTTCTACCAGCTGATTACTTGCTTCTATCTGTGAAAAAGCTTGGTGGATCTGCACTATTTGCAATTCCATCTCTGTTGCAGAATTTCCACATCTGGTCTGTCCCTAAAAGCTGATGTGTTGCCTCGTCCAGCTCCATAGGAGCCTTTTTATAGAAAACAGCAGCTTTTCCTCTTACCTTTAAATAGAGATGATGTAGACTGTAGACAAGCTGTACTTGGGCACCAGCGGTATCTTTCTATTGTAACGTATTGTCTAGTCTGTCCTGTGCTGCATAATACTGGAAAAACACTGAGGAGAATCTTTAGTGAAGCACTGTCAATGTATGGTGAAGAATGAAGAATATGTTGTTGAGAACAGTGTGTGCTGTTGTAAGGGTGTTTGGGAGGTATGACTGAAACAGTAGTAAAGTGTAGAATGCTTCTTGGTAAAGGAGGGAAAGGATGTGAGGTGTTAGGACCTTGTCAGAAAGAATGCTGGAGCCTTTTTCTCTTCTCAAGGGACGTGATAGTGATGGCTGTGGTATGTGAGTAGCTGCCTGTAGTCTCCTTTCTGAAACATGAAGAAGACTAGGTAAAACCTCTGCTGTGCTTGTCTGCCTATCCTTGTTCATGGAGAAAGAACTTCACATCCTTTAAATACCTGTAATGTTTAACTGTTGGTCACATTTCTCTATGCTTCCTTTGTGCCTTTACAGCCTTTTGTGAAAGACCAGTCATTTAAGCAGAAAGATTAAAAGATTAAGTATTTCAGCATATGTAAGTCTCTGCAGACCCACTTGTGTTGCTATGGTGATTCACTGTGCCACAGCACTTCCCTAGGTGCTTTATGTCTAAGCAAGGACGATCAAGAGGAATAGCATTGCACGAGCTAACCTGCTCTTTGTCTTTGCACAGGTGAAGTTTACCAGTGCAGTGAAGCTGTCAGAAGGAGGGGGGCCAGGAGGTGGCCTGGACAATGGGCGAGATGAAGAGGAGAATTTCTTCAAGCGTCTTGGTAAATGGCGCACCTGCCGAAGACACCCATCCAAGCTTCATCACACAGAAGAAAAAGATGGTTAGAAATCAGGGTTCTCGTCTCCTTTTTTTCTTTCTTTTAATTTTCTTTTTAAATCTCCTTCTGTATTCCATCCCTTTCCCTTTTTTCTGCTTTCTCCATAGTTTTTGTATCCATTCTAGCCTTCTCTAACTTTTTAGTCTTTGTAACTGTTTTCTTTCCCTTCCTTCTTTCTTTTGTTTTGATTTAGAAAATCCTCTAGCAAAGTCGATTTTTTTTTCCAGACTCTCCAAGTAAATTATGCAAATACAATATTTGGGCTTTTAATATCAAATTGAATTTGAACAACACACTTGAAAAATTTATGCTTGCTTCAAAGCACTGATTCAGTTTGAAATTAGGTTTGTAAATCTTTCATTGCCTGAGATGAAAATGGGTATTCCATCCTTTTTTTTATTTTTATTTTTCCCTCCAATTTGTGACCATTTGACAGTTTTAGTGAAGATCAGCACTGATGAAATGGAAAACCCTGCACAAATCTTGTTAAAATTACCTCTTTTCTTCTGTGTTTGCATGTCTAATGTCTGCATACCATTCGTTAGGGATGCTGTCCCTTTTTCATAGTGCACAAAATAATGACAACACTACTTTTCCACAAAAGTATACTTAATTGCAATGCATTTTCAAAATCAGCAGTGTTTGAAAAGTGCCTTTATGAATACTACAATGTCCTCATATATTCTGTTTTCAGATGTCATGCAGTCATTCACCAGCTCGTGTCCTCAACTCAGACCTCATCTTTGTTGTTCAGAAAGACAACAATCTTAAGTTTTACTACTGTATTTCAAAACAAATAAAAAACAAACAAACAAAAAAACCACCACAAAACCCAACTCCCAAAAACACACAAAAAGGAGTACCTTTCCTGTTTCACCATGATTTCTGTACTGATTACAGTATGATCCATTATCTGACATTATGGTTTTCATTTTCTGACATTGCCCTCTGGCATTGCATTGTTTTCTACCATCACATGTCCCAGACATGCAATGTAATGCATGTAAGCCATTACTTAGACAAATGATACTAGCAAAGAATGAGTACATCTCACAAGTGTAGGTTGGTCATGATTCTGCCATGGTAGAAACACAGTCAGCTCTCTCCCAAGTTAAAAATATTATTCCTCTAGGAGTTTGCCTCAGCCCAGCAGTTTGTTTGGTTTTAGCTGAAGGTGAAAATCCCCTCAGTAGAAAAAATTGCATCTGCTACTTTGCACTGAAGGAGGTGTGAAATGCTTCAACTGTTCTTTGTCCCAGCTCTCCCTGGAATCTAATAATTGAGGGGCAGTAAGATTTTTAGACTGCTACAGCTGTTTCTACATTGCTCATGTTGTGACGTACTTCATATTTTCTTGCAGGAAATGTTTTCTTTTTATCTTACTAATGCTGATATTTTGCCACTGTTTGCTTTTGTCTAGGGTGCCCACATTGTTGATTTAGTCTCACAGTTCTAGTTTTGGCCCTGTGAGCAGCAATAGTCTTGCTCTGTATGTGTGGCACATCTTGTGTCTGTATAAAACTCAGATGACCTGTTAGTTATGGGCTATATGAACTTTTTAACAGTTGTCTATACTTCAGTCTTCTGTATATAACATCAGAATTGATCTAATTAATGATAAGAACTTGAGGCTTTGGATATACCTGTGAGAGGAGATAGATGATGTGTTTAGTTTTGATATATAAGTGCCTTAGAAATGCGATATTGAAGGTGATACCATGGATTAAAAATAGAGACCATTATATGTGAGTATGAGAAACAAGCCAATTGTCCAATGATGTTGGTAGGGAGAGTTATCTGATCACAAACTGAGGCAAAGGAAGGGTGTTTAAAGCTATACAGCAAAATGTGACAGTTAAGGAAATTATTGTCACTGTGTCCACATGGATATCTGGTATACTAAGAAAGCCACACAAGCAAAAATGAGTTTAGCTGTATGTGCCTGCATGTACATATCTGTATATTGAAATTCATGAGGCCTTTTCAGGATGGGAGGGCTTATGACAGTAGAGCAGGTTCATACAGAGGGCTTTCAAATTTGCAGTGCTTTTGTATCTTCCATATAAAGTGTACAAGTTTTATGTGTATACTGAGAACAGAAATCTGTTGAGGTAGATGGCTGTGCTATTAAATCCTTCAAGTTCTCACCCAGAGACATTATTTTGGAACATAATTCTACCTTTCCATTTCTGTCATTCATGACACTGTACCATTACAATGCTCATGCTTTTCCTCTTGTGTTTTTGGGTTTTTTAACACAGTAGACAAAATTAAAGAAAAAAAAAAGAATCTACATTAGAGTAAATATATATATATTTAGAAAATGACGTAATAACACATGGAATAATTTGTCACACTTTTTATGAACTGCAATTGTGAAATATCATCTAGACCACTGGAAATTTTTGTCTACGTTGGATATGTATGTATGCATATGTGTGTGTGTGTTTATTTGTATGTGTGCATGTGTATACATATATACACACAAATGTATGCACATTCATGCATTAAAATTGTTTTGTTTTAATGATCTTTTTACTTATACTAAGAACACAGCATATATACAGAAGTGAGTTACAATGTGTTTAAAGTGAGAGCCTTTGTGATCCTTCAGGCACTTATTGAAGACATTTTGATGACCAGGGGTTGTGTGGGCTTTCATGCCACAGAACATATGGCAGCATATGCTGAGGCTTCAAAGGATGATCTCATGTTCACACAGGAAGCAATTCTGGCGGGTGGGTGCATGCTCATCCAATGTCCCTACTACATTAGGTATCTGTTCACTGGATGAAGTTTCTGTGAGGCTGAATCACACTAACCCTTTGTATGCCAAAGACAGTCGCCCTGCTGATAGCAAGGCTACTCCAGGATTGATGTAGAGGACAACCATCAGCTGCCACTGAAGGATTCTGTTGCAAAGCTTCAACAAATTGAAGACTGCAAATGGCTGTAGCAATGGAGTCTAGGCAGACTTAGGCAGACTTTTCTATATCCGAAGTTCAGGTTTCTGTTCTTTATCTTACATGGGCACTCCCTTAACAGGTCCCTACATGGAGAAAATTCTTTGTACCTCAGATGAGTTAGTGCTAAAATAGCCGTAGCGGGAAGGCTCAGGCAGGACACTGCAGGCTGTAAGGAAATAGGAGGAGTTGAAAGAAAAGAGTATTTGTGCCTACTCATTTATGTAAGCGTTCTGCCTGTTCTTTCTACTTCTTTGTTTGTGTTTGTTACGTTTTGAAGTATTTCCCAACATAGGAACATTTTATTTGCTGTAAAACTTTGTGCACCTTCAGTGGGGAGAAAAAAGGTACAGCTATCTTAAAGAAATTTCTAGACATTTAGCATCCCACTGTTTTCATAGGAAAAAAAAATGAAGATCTACATTGCCTTTTTTTTTGTTGTGACTATTTGTAGTGTGTAAATGCTTTCTAAGAAATGTTGGGAACTGAGTTCTCAAAGAGATTTTGAGTTTACAGCCACTCTTTTCTGGAGAAGTCGTCCCAAAGTGCAGTAGGGCCGTTTTGCCAAGTCTTCCAAATCTACTTTGGAAGCTAATCTTCAATTCTCCATGCAGCATTTTGTTCTTCAGTGCTTTATCCTTCAGTATTCTGTAACCTTTTATACCTTCACATGTAAACAGAGAGAGTATTATGGATAAAGACAAAAAGCCCCAAAAACTGACTGTTCTTGTTTTGGCCAGCCACGTTGGCCTCAAAACTTCTTTCCTGATTTCCCTTGTCTTTCCATGACTGTCTGAACTCTGAGTAGAGACTACATAATAATCTTCTGCATTAAGAAGCATTAATTCCGACTTGCAGTGGGATTAGTCGATCTATCATGTGATCTCAGTATGTAGTTTAAAATAATGTTTGAAAGAAGCCCTAGTGAGCTTCCTAACTCCATTTTCAAAAGGAAATTTTAGAAGGGAACCTTCCATCCCAAAGAATGCAAGGCACTTCAAGGGAGAAAAGCTGGTATGATTTAAGATACTTAGAAACTGAATCTGATCTCACTTTGGGTGTTCTGGTCATTGCAGAAGATGCATACCTAAAATTAGACAGTATGTGATTCCCATATAGAATCTTTATAATGTTTGCTATTGATTTTTGTGTCCTACTACATGATACAGTATTGCTTAATATATGAGGAGTAAGATCTATGTATAAAGTTAGAAGCTAATAGATAAGTAGATAAGTGAGGTAAAAGAGTATTCAAGAAAAAGAGGCAGTAAGAGTGATCTTCTGTATTAAAGAGGTGGGGACGAAGAACCATGTTCTTGTTCACCTATGCTGGAATGGGTCTGACCCTCAGTAGGGTGGCATTGTTTTGAGGAGACATCAGTATGACCAAGACCAGAATTTGGCTTGCTATGTGCTTGTTTCACAGAAGTCACAAATGTTTTAAAAATGCCCATGTTATCTTCAAGATAGCACATCAAGGTGAAGAAGGGATTTAGACTAAAACTGTACTCATCTGGATTTTTGCACCACTTTTTTTTTTAATAGGTGAGAGAGTCTGTTTCCTTCTCCCTGCCCTTCCCTGCAATCCCCTCTGTACTCTTTACCTCTTTAGGTTGCCATAGCTTTGATGATCACTTGACCTCCAACCAAGAAGGAGGAAAATCCAAGAACGTTGTGAACCTGGGAGCAATCCGTCAAGGGATGAAGCGCTTTCAGTTTCTCCTGAACTGCTGTGAACCAGGCACTATCCCCGATGCCTCCATCTTAGCAGCTGCCCTAGATCTTGTAAGTCATTCATTGGTGTATTTTACCTGCTGAGTGAGAGAGCATGTGCATACACAGTGGTGTGTTGTCATTCACTAATGTCGGTCATGCCCATGCACAAAGCAGGTAAGGCATTACAGCATTGTCAACTGGTGATGCTTTTGTTAGCTTTTAAACACCCATGACTGGATGAATGTGCAGAGAAACTGGATCTTTTTTTGTTAGGTAGCTCCTCACCACTAGATTATTGCCAGCACAAAGCTTTTATTGTCAGACTTAAATTTTGCTCACAGCCATTCTGCGTCTGTTCCTAGTGTCAACACTTGCCTTCAGAATAATAACTGAAGACTGGATAACTACCTGGGGAGGCATAGTGATACCACACAGGAGCTCTGATAGAGCTATAAATGCGTTAGGTAACGTTAATCCCTCACCAGAGCCAGTCACTGGGAAAAACTTCAGATGCCAATGTGCTTGCTTCTAAATGTAGATTCTGCTAATTTGTAGATCTGAGTCACAGAAGTGACACAATTCAGTCCCTTGCTCCTGACACTAAGTGTCTCTATCTCCTGCCTTCCTTTCCTTGCAGCTGCTGTTTATACCGACAGTCCCTTTGATTTTTAAAGCAGTGGCTTTCGGCCTGTGCTTCATGGGCCAGTGGGACTCTTGTGTTCCTGTTGAGAGGGTTTGATGAAGACAGCAAAGAGAAGCCTGCCAGTGTTTTTAACTTCTCTGCACAGTGTTCCTCTACTTCTTTGTGTGGATGTCCACAAACCGAGAAAGGTTGAAAGCCACTGCTTCCTGAGCATCCACATCTTCTCTATCCCTTTGTCTTCCTGCTCCCCATTTCTCACCTTTTTACAGTGTTGTTGCTGTTTGGCTCATATTTGGTTTTTTGTTCACTGCTGGAGATGCCAGACCTTTGGACTCCCCCATGTTCTGCTTATGCTACGTTCTGAGCTGTGCTGCTGTCTGCTCTGTAGTCCTAGGGGTAATATACTCTGTGCACCACCCTTTTACATCATTAGATTGCAGATGCAAGCAAATCTGCACTACTATCAGCCAAAAGTCACTATTGCTAACCAGGTCACAGCTATTTTACTGTCTATCTTCCAGTATTTCTATATTTGCCATCAGTCTACAATTGTCTAATAAAGGCAGAACTGTAACACAGCATCTGCTATGAAAAATACTTACTGAGAATATTTAAAAGCTGGCTTTTCTTGCTGTTGCGGCTAGAACTGTGATAGTAGAAAAGCAATACTACAGCTGCCTGGTTCTGCTTTTCTTTTTTGGGCTTCTACTGTTTGATCTCAGAGAGGGTGTAACTTGACGCACAACTAAGGAGTTTTATGTATGTGAGTCTGTAATTCTGGAACCCTGTAGCTGGGAGCCAGATAAGCAAACTGTCCTTTAGAAGATAGCGCAAAGTGACTATGTGCCATGAGGCAGAAATTTGTGACACCTGTTGGAATGCATAGAAACCTGCTCCTTCATTTGGTCTTCTGTTGTTCTCCGCAGTCTGAGAATGAAACAACTTAAACCCCAGTTTGTCATTTCAGTGGCCATGATCTGATCTTTTTCTCTATGTTTTTGTATTGCTTTACCTGCATATTTTCTCTGCTTTGTGTGAGGTGCAGCATGCAGTGGTGTCATTTTGGAGTAGCTGTGGATGTGAATGAGACCCACACTTCTGGGATCAGAATTTCTAGATGGGCTGGATTTCTAGTCTGCAGTTAAAGATGATGCAAACCTCGTTCAAGTTACAGAGTTGGGGTACTACTTACAAGTACCTACTTAGCTGGCATTTTGTCTAAAAAATGTTGGAGATAAATGGAAGAAAAGAAGTCGCATGCATTGTGAGTTTCAAAAGATGACTACCATATCAGTGTGTTTCTTAATGACAGTGTGCTGCTATGGAAAATTCCCACATTTTATTTCAATAGAGCACACCCAGCAGAAAACCTTTTTAAAAAAAAAAAAACAAACAAACAAAAAAAAAAAACTTCTGTTTCCAGGCTTTTGAAGTAATAGTTGAAATCAGGTTTGATGCAAATTAAAAAAAAAAAAAATGTATCCAGCCCAGTTGCTATAGCAACCTTAAAAATAATTGAAGGCAAACTGCTTTTAGTTTTAGTTCTTTCATAAACTTTTTCAGTACGCTTTTTAATGCAGATTTACACCAAAAATTTCCAATCTTCTACAAACTTAAATATCTTTGGTTAGCCTCGATGCTTACAAAGATGTGTCACAGTGATTTCAGAAATAAGAACAGTAAAACAAAGGCTATACCCTTATGGAGGTACTAACTTATTTATACCTAAAATTAAGGGTTACTTCAGGTTAGAAATCATGCAGTTAATGTATTTTCCCAGAAGAACCACCCATACTTGACAGAATGCTATAAAACTGCAAGCAGTTTATGGCTTTGCAAACATTTAGTGACACTTGATAATATGTTGCAGACAGTGTCATCGCTGTCCTTAACTGAAGTCCAGACTTGGCAATAATTAAACTGGTATTTTTTCCCTTACATGAAACTTTTGAAGCTTTGTGGGCAAGGAATACGATGTTTCAGTTTTGTAAGTTTCTGCAAAGGGTTCCAAAAAACCACTGTGTAGCATTGTGTGAAGAAGTTAACTCAAGTATTACAACTAGACTAGTATCTGTTAGAATAGCTCTGTTTTGTCTAGCCATGACAAGTAGCCAAGGTGTTAGGAAAGGGTCAGTGTAGTACTTGGGGACATGGTTTAGTGGGCAGTGTTGGTGGTAGGTGGACAATTGGACTAGATGATCTTAGAGGTCTTCTCCAACCTTTATGATTATAAATGACTCATGTCAGAAAGTGTGAGCTTTCCTTTGACTATTTAGCAATGAGTGCCACTTAGCACTATTACACTTTCCCAGTACATCCTTAGCATGTGTGAGCTACTCTGTTCTAGCATGTCTATCTTTTATCCTACTAGAAATGCTATAATGGCACTGCTTTATGGCAGGATTGCATTGGGAAAGAATCTGTCAAGTCGTGAGAGTGCAGAAGCAAAATCTAAGCTGCAAGAACAAGAATCCTAGTCAGTATCCCCAGCTCTGTGTCATCAGATGTCTTAGGCAGGCTGCGTTCTTCCCATGTTCATGTTTGCAGAGGAGAAATATTTGTCCGTGGGAGGACATATTACCTGAAAGGAAACTGGAGATTGCTGTCTCCGTAATAGACTGGGAACAGAAGCAAGGAGTCATATCATAAGTTTTAACTTTTTGGGGCATGAAAGATTTCAACTAACATTTTTGAGGTAATCCTCCTAGACTTCGGTTAATAACTTGCTTGTGGCCTGTTTCCAGTTGTCACGGAATTAACTAGATCAGTTTTATGCCCGTGACAGGGGGCAGTAGGCCCCTGCCCTCCCCACCCCCCACCTGGGCCCACAAAATGGGAAGGAAGGGGGAAAAGGAAAAAAACAGCGGCAACAATCTATGGAGGTAGACTTATTTTACTAACTATGATATCGGAATACAAAATAATACAATATAATACAATCTACTTGAAATTGAGACTAATAAATCAAATAAGATATGAGAGAGAGTTCCCAAGACCGAGTCAAACCTGAAAAAGCTTGGAACGGCTAGGAAAGCACCTCCAGCACCCACTGCCAGGCAGTAAGAGACTGCCCCCCCGGAAGGGGCAGATCCCATGACTTTCGTAATGTATAGGGATAGGTACGTAGAGTTAGAGCATTAACACTTTAATTCCAGTACATGATGTTTTGATGTGGAATATTGAAAATCAAATAAGCAAAAACCAAAACCATGACACCAGTATATGTGCTTGGCTACTTCTCGTGGCTCAACAAAACAGAGCAGTCAACATCTTTTGAGAGTGCTTACATACGCTTGATTTGCTTTGTAAGTAAATTGTTGTTATTTTGCTATTTATTTATGTATTTATTCTTATTAAAGAGATCAGTAGAAATTGTTTTTTGTTCAGAGTGCCTCACAGGGTACAGAAGAGGGCATAAGGACAATTATGGTTGGTTAGACTTGTAAAATTATTTGTATTTGAAGACAAAACTGAACCTAAGCACTCCACATTCGTAAAGCTCTCCACAGTCACCTATACTTCATCAGTAATGTGATGTTATAAATTTCCAGATGTATTCCATGTTAGCTCCCTGTCACCAGGGTCGTTGCTTTTGCTACTTTAGTACAAATCAGGTTATCTGTTGAAGAATAGGAATGGGAATGCTTGAAATTTTGATAAGTGATGGAATCGTGTTTATGTCAATTCAGACCGTACAAAAAAAAAATCAAAAGGCAAAGTGATATAGTTGGTCTAATGTTAAAAGTGGACTTGTGAACTGTTTCACAGGCAGGGACCAGCTTGTAAGAATATTGCTGCTATGTTATGTTTTGACAGTGATTGTGGAAACTTGTGTTCTTTTCAGCTATGCATCGCCTGCCTGATTCATTTCTCTCCATTTGTGATGTGTTTCTCTGTGGTGTGAATCCATCCCTGTTCATTCTGTCACATCTTCATCTTTCTCTTGCTGCTGCTTCAGTTTACACTGAGCCTCAGGTAAGCTGTCACAAGGAGCATATGCCTCATGATGTTCAGAAAGTCCTCTTTCATGCAAGGGGGCATTCCAGTGTTTCTGAATTTGGAACTCCTGTGCTAGGCCGCATTCCTCCTGCCCTTCACTCCCTATTCTAGATATGCTCCCTTAATTGTATAAGTTGAGTGCTTCCTTAACCTTTAGAACGTATATCTTTACAAGATTCCTGTATACTAAGAAATCATGATTTTTGTGAGTAGTGAACTGAAACAGGATACCAAAGGTGGGACTTCATTTTCCCAGTGATTACATGTCTCCAAGTCTGGATAAGGTTTTACTGTGTGAGAATTAAAACAACAGGAACAAGAACTTTTAAATAATCTGTCTTCCATATTTCATGTGAACAATAAGCAATTTGTAATGTGATAGGTGTTAATGTGATAGGTGTTAGCTTAGTTTCGGTTGTTGATCTATCTCTGATTGAAGATTTCTGCCTTCCTGGTCAGAACAATGGGTCAACATTAATGTACTTCCTACTTAAGCGAGTGACAAAAGCATTGATGTTTTCTTCCATCATTTGAATAAAACATGAGCAAAGAGCTCATATTTTATTCAAATGATGAAAGAAAATAGTAGCCTGCAGCTTTAAGCAGCAACAAGATGCATCAGGAAGCAGTTAATGTGTGTTTTCTTTTTAGTATGGACAACATAAAATCCATCCCCTCCCCCCCCTTTTTGTTTTTTTCAGTCTTTTAGAAAAGGTGGCTTTTTTTTTTTTCCCATCTTGTCCATTTTTCCATCAGGATTAATTTCTCTAAGTTTATCTGTAGTACATTATTTCTTAAGGCAGTTCTTCAAACTTTTGGAGCATTGCTTGAAAATTTGCTTTCAACTTTTGATTAAAGCACTATTTGGAAACACTATTTAATTATGTTGTGCGTGCCATCTTCTGCAGGCCATCTTCTCTGATCTCAGGGACCATTTGTTGTTCACTGACCAGAGTTGAAGAACTTGCCCTTAAAAAGAGATGCTTATCTATGTAAATTGTCTCATTAAGGCTGGCAGCATCTCAGTGTGTGGAATATGTGTTTTTTTTACTCTGTGTAATTCTTGCTAGGGACCCTTCAAAGCCAGCTTGTAAAATGTGGACATTTTTTTTATTGTTATTGTATTTTACAACCTGCTGGCCTGGGGGCTTTTGCTTGTGGGAGTTACAGGAAAAGAGGGGGAAGATTTAATGGAAATGAAGAGAACTATTCACTTTTAGTCATTTTCCACAGTTGTTAAGATGTTATTTTCACAGAGCTGTAGACTGCTGGAAAGTAAGTTCTAAGACTCAGCTACCCTTTAGGAAACAAATTACAGAGTCCATTTTTGAACACATTTGTATGTCTCAGAAGTAGTCTGTGTTGAGCTAACTTGGGTCCTATTGGACCATTTCAGACAAAGGTATGCTCAATATCATGTCTCCCAATTAAAGAAAATGTCTCCTTCAAGTTGAGGGTGGAGGGTCCCCGTGTCAAATATACAAACTTTTCACTTCAGATCTCAGCTGGTTGATACTGTTTCACTACTAGATTGTATGTACTTGCTAAAGCTGTTGCAGTTAGGTCAGTGAAATTCTGCTGACTTATGCCAGTAGAGCATTTCACTCTTTGTATCTGCTTATTGTAAGTGCAAAACAGCACTTTTCCTAGTTTCAGCAGCCTCCATTCATGCTTCCACCCCCGAGCTGCACAAGCAAAACATAACATGACAAATGCTAGGATTCATATGTCCGTGCTGCTTGCTTTGCAGGTTTACTAGAGGTGAGAAGAAAATATGAGTCACTCCTCCAGTAGAAGTGTCAGATAAACACTTCTACTTTCTGGTAGTTAGGTGGTTTCTGGAAGAAATGATTATAGAGGGATAGTGAAACAGAAGATTGTTTATAATGTGGTTCTTTTTGCCCCTCTGGTGGTTCAACTAAGCGTAACTGCTCAGTGTTGTGGGCCTTGATTTTATTAGCTTGAGGCAGAGATCCTGGTTTCAGGCTTTGATGAAGAGATTGCTCAGTCTGTGACACTATGACAAGCTTATGATCAATTGATAAAAGCACAAAGTCCTCTTAATATTTTTTTTTTTTTGAATGTGTGTGTACTTAAAGTGATTTTTTGCAAACATTTCAGGAAGCTCCTGTAGTGGCAAGAGCAGCCCTGTTCCTTGAGTGTGCGCGTTTTGTTCATCGCTGCAACCGTGGCAACTGGCCCGAGTGGATGAAGGGCCACCATGTGAACATTACTAAGAAAGGCCTGTCCCGTGGACGCTCTCCTATTGTTGGCAACAAAAGGAACCAGAAACTGCAGTGGAATGCAGCTAAGCTCTTCTACCAATGGGGAGATGTAAGAGCTTGTTTCTCTTCTATTTACATTTAAAAACCAACCAAAATGTGAAGTTAATTTCAGACCTCCTTTCCAAATTGCATTTCACAGCTTGCCAAGATCAGCTCTTCCTCTGGTCAAAATTTATGGTGTTAGGATGTAGCAAAGACACTGTCCCTGTCTTTACAATGTTCAGCCAGAAGATCCTTTTGGCCCGCTCTCCTGACTCCATCACTTTGCACATGTGAATGCTTAATGAAGAGTAGCAGCAGTGATTTTATCTAGCTTCCAAATGTTTATTTGTAGCCTAGATGTGATGTTGTGTATTCATAACCTTCAGTGGATTTCTTTGACATACTTCTTCAGTCTCTTTTTGCACACTTATAATTCTTTGGCAAGGAATTCTGCAGAGCTACTGCATGTCATCTAAAAAGATAGATTGGCTTCTTCAAGTTTCATTTGACTGTGATCTCTTACAGTATGTGAGCATGGCAATTGCATTGTCTGGTCCTGTCAGTGCATTTGCAGTTTCTTTGGAAGCCCATACCTGCTAAAGATCTGATGCTTATTGTAAGACATTTCACACATTTAAGAATAAGTAAGTAACCAAGGATAATACATGCGGGTAATACGTATTAAGAATTCGGTTCTCTTTAGGTAGGGTGCTGTGGGATTGTGTGTGATTGCTTTTATGTAAAGCTGGAGAATAGTATAAGTAATATGTAATAGATTATTGCTCTCTGCAGATGCAAGCAGACTATTTCTTCCTCAGCAGACTGAAACATGAAAGGGAAAAAATTGAGAGATGTGGAGTTTATTTAGCAATATGCAGATTGCTGAGATTGGCAACTATTTGCATCAGCTTGCAAACCACAATATACAGAACACCTTATTCTCTTTGTGTAGCAGAATCTACCCACTTCTTTGTTGCTTGATTTCACAGGAACTGCTAAATAACAAGGAAGATGATCTGTAAATGCTACCTGTTTGTGACTGCTTATTTGCTTCTGCTTTGCTTCAGCTGAGAGAGGAAAATTACATAGTACTTGCATGAGCATCAGTCTGACTTCCAGAAGATTCAGAAATCCTCTTTAATATCTTTCTCTGAAACCATCCCTAAACCAAGGAAGCCAAATGACAAGTGCTGGTTAGAACTTCAAGGTTAAAAACACTTCCTCTCTGTTGAAGTGATATTATCATAGGATAAAATTTTACATTCTTGTCTATGTTCTCTTTACCTTTATGCAACAAAGAGAATAAAAAACTATAAAGTGTCTTAGCAGGAAACTAAACCTCTTGTGAACACATCCTTATCTGTAGCTTTGCTGACAGCAACTCAAGGACTGCTTACGTGCTGATAAGGATGCTGACAAACTATCAACAAATAAACAGTCAGGATTCTTGTAGAGAATGTAAGAGTATTCAGTGGAAATCTTTTTGCCTGTCTTTATTATATGCGTAGGTCACTCCAAAAGTAATAACTCCTACTTATTTCAGTGGAAGCTATAACAGATACGAGGAGCACAAAAGTGCTATTTGATAGAGCAAATTCTCAGCTCCTTTAAAGATGAAAGCAGACTTTCCCACTTGTGGAAGAATGGGGGATTTTTATTGGATCCCTAAGTGGCAGGATAGTTGCTTGAACTGAAGACATATGTTCTCAGTGAAAAAAATCTGTCACACATATAGAGGGGAGAGAGAATAGTGGAAGAAATTCATACAAGATAATGACTTATTCACTTTTTGCCTATCCGGTGCCATTTCTGCTCTTATTATTTTACCTGATGTGCAAAAAAAAAAAAAAAAAAAAAAAAAATTCCTCCTGAAATGTGGCAGTTTGCAAATTTGGTTGAAAAGATCACAGGGAAACAAATAATGCTTTTGGTAACAATTACTCTCTTATGATTCCTTTCTTTATTTTACTGCATTTTGCAGACAATAAATGTGAAGCCAGTATGTTCTCTTCTGATTGGAACATCTTCACGGAATGCAAGGTTGGGCTGAAATTCTCACCTTCTTATGCTTTCTTCTCCCTGTTGCAGGCAATTGGTGTCCGCCTCAATGAGCTGTGCCACGCTGAGAGTGAGAGCCCTGCCAATCTGCTGGGCCTAATTTATGATGAGGAGACCAAGAGGCGCCTGAGAAAAGAGGATGAGGAGGAAGACTTTTTAGATGACAGTAAGGAGACTCCCTTTACTACAAGAACCCCCGCTTGTAAGAACCTCTGCTTTAGGAGCACTTAATTTTTCTTCTCTTTTCATCTTCTTGCCACTCAGCTGTATTTCCCAGTCCCTCACCTCCGCCTTAGCTTCCTTCCCTGTTCTTTCTGTGCCTTGATGTACAACATGACAGATGGATAGCAGTACTGAGAAACTTTGAAGAAAAAGGAGGGGGCAAAACAGATAGTGAGTTGCAATTCCTGTGTACTGGCAACGGCAATTATATGCGGAATAATTTATTTATTGAGTCTTGCTGTCATCTCAGCGCCAAAAATGGTTCAGATTCCCATTCTTTCCAGTTATTTCTGCCAAAATATTTTGTAAGACTAGCTGCTTTTCTGTTTCTTAATCTTGAAGAATGATCTCCTTACCTGATGTGTCTTGGCACAGCTCTGCCAAAGGCTTTTAAATCTTGACTTCACTATATATTTGCCTGATTCTCAAGCAGAAGCATGGCAAAGTGGTATAAAAAGCATCATTAAAAACCTGTGTAACAACAACTAAAATACACACGTTGTGTGTGTGTGTGTGTGTGTGTGTGTGTGTGTGTACGTAAGGGTGGGAGGGTGGTGATAAATCACTGATTCTGGAAGTCTAGATAGATATGCAAATTATAACAGCTTGTGAATCAAAAGAAGTTTAGTCAAAATAGATACTGTCATAGGTGTAGGTGAAGGTGATAACAAACATTATGTCCTCTCCAGACACCATTTGTATATATGTCTGTGCTGTAATGTACCACTTCTTGTTTACATGTAGTGTTGTTTACCATTGGATGTAGTGTGCTAGCACTGTTTATGTATCTTCTGGCTTCTTATGCTGTGATCCTAGATTTGTTCTTATTACTACATGAAGGTCGGCTTTGGGATTAAGAGGAGGATCTGGAAATAGCATTTGTGGGAAGTGATATCAAGATGAGTATTAACAATGAGCTTAGACCTTCACATGTGCCACTATGTGGTGTGCCAGCACTAGAAGCAAAATGACTGTGGGTGGCTGTTCTGGATGTTTTATTGGCTCCTCAGGAGGTATATCCAAAGCAGGAGAGTGCACATAAATTTCTTCCTCTCCTGTACCGTGAATGCCTTTTAAAAGGTGAGGAACATTCCTGTAATGAAGTGATGGAACAGGCTTTCTTGTCCCAGTTCAGCGACTGATACTAGGTACTCACCAGGGTGACATGGAACTGCTTTAACAAGGCAACACAAGGTGAGCAAACAGAGAACACTCTGTGGTCTAGAAAGCCACATAAAAGCTCAAGTACTTGCCTGAAAGCCATGTTATAGATAGAAGATATACAGTCAGCTTTCATGTTGAAGACAGATTTTTCCAGAAGCTGCCTTGCACACAAAGGAATTAGATTGAGGAGCATAAAATATGCTGATGGATTTTCCATTATTCCATTCAGCTCATCTCTATTTAACAGTTCAGATTATTTTAGTCCTTGTGGAGTCCATCTTCACTACACATAGCATGTACAGAGGAATTAACAAGATTCATAGAATTAATCTGTTTTTATCTGATGCTGGCAATGCCTTCTTGTTTGGTTTGGACTGTTTCTTTTCAAAACATTGTTAGATTATACATCAGAGAAAGCAAGCAAAAACAAATTTCTCTAAAATTCCTGGAAATGGTAATATGAGGTAGCACTAAAAGATGGTTGCAGTTAATTGTTATCACAACTAATTTTTTAAATATATTTTTTTTTTACTGTTCATAATCCTAACTAGCATTTTTAAAATTTATCAAGCATTGAAGAATGTTTCATACTTTTTAAGCTTAGATTGCTTACAAAGTGTAGGAGTTTTGAAGCTGATATTCTAGACTCGGTTAAAGCAAAACTTCAAGTATTTGGGTCATCCCTTTTCCCTTTTTTTGTTATAGGTTAAGCATTTGAATGTATAACTGGAATATGCAGTTTGATTATTTTTTTCTTTAGTTATCTTTGAGTGGCATTTGGCTTCTGTACACACAATTAAGGAAGCTTGATTTCAGAGGAGACTGCATTTTTCAGTTATCAGGATAGTACTTAGTAACAGATGCAGTACTTCTTTGCTGGCTAATCATAATTCCATATATATATTGAGAAACTTTCCTATGTTTACAGTATTGCAGAAGATTTGTCTGAATGCAAAATTGTAAAGAGACAGGATACCTACTACTTCACTTGTATCAACATTAAATGAGAAGGTGTATGTAAAATACTAAAAGATCATGTTAATTTAGTAGATAGCTCTCTATACACTGCAGTATGTTGGAAAATACTGTACTGTGTTGGTACTATGCCACGTGCCAGTAAATACATGGATTGACATATTTGTACTATTACAATTCTTTTAGTGTAGGAAGAGTAGCATAGATGAACTCTGGATTTTCCCTTTTTAGTGCAGCTTTTATTGTGCACCATACATAAAAATGTCCATCACGTTTTGGTTCAACATTTTGTATCATCTCCTTGCTCACCATAGAAATATTTTTTCCTAGGCACTGTGAATCCTACCAAATGCTGTTGTCCTTTTGCGCTGAAAATGGCAGCCTGCCAACTTCTCCTGGAGATTACCACTTTCCTTCGAGAGACCTTTCCATACATGCCTAGGCCACGTCCTGAGCCTCTTGTGGTAAGTGGGCAATAGAGAACAGGAGATGTGCTGGCAAAGTCATTGTGCTCTCTGCCTTTCTGAGGAGAGATAGGCCGGGATAACTCAAGGGAATGTTTGATGCAGAGGGAAAGGAGTCATTGTCTGTTAGGAAGATGGGCATGGCACATCAAATGAGCTGATTAAAAAGATAAGACTAGAGAAGCAGAATATGTGTTTGAAGTCCAAGAAAGTTTCAAAGTAGAGAAAGCAGCAGATGGATTGAGAAACTGTTCGGAGGACCTGAGAGTGCAACAAATGACAGTTCAAGTGCAGCATAGCTGATTAGGAGTGTCAGCTGACACTCAACAGGGCAGTTAGGAGGAAGGGGAGAAGATGGTTTGCAGAGCATTTGCAGAAGCTTAAAGCTTTCACTTCTTTGTCATGGTTGCATTTTTCCTGTTCTCTTATCAATAGAATTGAAGGAACTAAGGAAAGAAAGGAAAGAAGCAAAGGATGAACTAAATTTTCATAAGACTAAGAGAGACACAGGCAAATATTAGCATGAGTAATATGCTAAGCATCTGATAAGGTGACAGCTAATTTTCTCAATGGCAGAACCATATAATTTCTAGCGGCTCATTCTTATGTGGATTTTCTTATGTCAATTAATGCATTTAACATCACCTTCAACCTGTTGTTTCATAAAATATACAGCTGTCTTCTGTCAAGTTATGTGGGAAGTGGCCAGCAAATTCAGAGGTGATGAACATAGAATGATAGCTAAGCAGTATGATCTTTTAAGCTTAATTTCCTCAGGAAATAAGACTTCATTTTTTGAAGAAAGAGTGAGAAGTCAGACTTCTAAGAGAGCACAAAGGATTTAGCCCTACTGTTCTTTTTGTTAACAAATGACTGGGACCAAATTTTGCAGATACAGTCGTTCTTGAAAGGGTGATAGCTCAGCATTGTTGTAGTTAGGATTTGATGCTGGTTTCAAAGGCTGTAGTTGAACTATGAAGAAGTGACTCAGCCCCCAGGTATGTAAGAATGGCAGTAACAAAAAGCAAAGAGAAATTCAGCATGAGTCTTCCTTAACACCTTGTTGATATTTTTACTCTGTAAGAAATGACTATATCCAAAAGTAGGGTCATACCAGGATTTAGGATTCATCTCAGCAAAGTAGCTGTCTTAAAACTAAGAATATGGTGGATAATGAGGATCAATAGAAATATGTACTTTTGTGTGATGCACTGAGAAAATGTCTTTCATTCTGTCATTTAATTTTGTGGGGGCAGCAGTTTCCAGTGTGTACACGTTGACAAACAGCAGTAAGGAGTAATGTGTTTAAACGCTTGAAGGGGGATAACTCTGACCGTACCCTAGGAATGTATCTGTACTGCTATTATGGCTTAGATTCAGATTTGTTCAGGATAAAAGCTCATGATCTCTTGCCTAAACTGTTTGTGTTGGATAACTTTTTGAGCTATCAACATGGAAATTTTTAATGCCAGATACGCTACAAACCATTACTTTAGCTATATATTATATCCCAGATTTTGTTGTTGAGCGAAGTCAAAATATTTCCCTATTCTAATCAACTGTTAGCTTTTCTGACAGTCATTATGTTCATTTTCCATGCAGATGCAAAGCTTACTGCAGATTGTTTGGGGCCTTCCACTGGCATGAAATAGACTAGTATCAGCTAACCCATTTCAACACGCTCAGTCTAGAATATGTTCAACAAAAGTTGTCTTTTTCCCCCTAAGCAGCTCTTAGAGTAACAGACTTTGTCACGTTCCAGGTAGTTCCCAGGAACTTCAGTAGGAGTTTGCATAGAAATTCCAGTAAGAGACCTCTTGAGCCTATGTAATTTTATCCAGAAATAAGTAGCCATCTGAACCATTCTTCCTGAAGTTTCTATGGTTGTAGTGGAAAAAGATGGTGATTCAAACTGGTTGCACGTCTGTGTGGTCTACATGCTGCCAACAGGATCTGGAGAGCTGTAGGCTACGTCTGGACCCTGAGATGGACCGGCACAGGTATGAAAGAAAAATCAGCTTTGCTGGTGTTCTGGATGAAAATGAAGATTCAAAGGATTCCCTGCACAGCAGCAGCCACACCCTCAAATCTGAGGCTGGCTTCGAGGAGAAAAAAGGTTTGTTGGCACAACAAGGCTTGTGTATTCTTCAGGCTTGTGAAGTGGCGCTTGATTTTATGTTTTCATTTGCATAGACTGTGTTAAAAAGCAGGAAGCCATGGAGTCATGTGGCTCTGAATCATTTCTGAGATGCTTTTTGCCTTCAGGTTTCAATATATCGAATGTGAGAAGCAAAGATCTTAAATTTTACAAAGCACTGCTATGACTGAAACCAATTGAGAGTATTGCAAGATGCCTAGAAAGGAGGATGTTTTACTTGAAATTGTATCTCAGTGCAATGCTGTTAGAAGCATCACTATTTGATACACTTCATAAATAAAGATCAAAGGTGGTTTTATTTGTTTCTTATTCTGATTACATTTTATTTTATTTTATTTTGTGAAAACCAGAGATAGGAGGGAATTTGGGGATTTTTCTGTGAAAATCTGTACTGGTTTGGAAGTCATGGCATCTCATGGAATTAGTGGGTGATCACTTGATCTCTTGAATTCTTTGCTACCACATGAAAAATACCCACATATGTGGCTTTTGATGGCTAGCAGATTAATGTTACCAACATACTGTATACTGTACAAGCAAACCTCAAGCTCACTGTGTTTGCTGAGAAAAGCAGATTGTTTCCATTTTTAAGCCATCTCATGCAAAACTCACGTACTATCTGGTGGTACAAGTGTTGCAATACAATATACAGTCATTATTTCTATTTGCAATTAGAAACTAAACTGCCAGGAGTCACCTGTAAATGATTTTCCCTCAAACACATTTTCTGGAAGAACTATTTAATCCTGTCTTATAAAGGCCATATAAAGACGCAGATGTTTGAATGATAATTTTGATAATTGTTTCAAAAGGATTAATGTTTTATGATTATTTGAAAAGGATGAAATCTGTGGCTGGTTATCCTCTAAGATCTGTACTGTGTATTGATGATTCAGAGGCGCTTTTATTCGCTTCAGAGGGCTTTGGACAAAGGCTTTGTTACCTTCAGCTGTAACCCTGCCATAATTACTGTAGAAAGTATTAGAAACATTTCTAAGATTCATGTGGTGTACAGTTGCCTCCAGATTTGTGTGTCACATGGGACAGTTACTTCTGTGAACACAGCTAGGGACTTTTTTCTAAGAAAGATCAGGAGAGTTAAGTTCATGCTCAACCTGGTGTTTTGTACCCCTGATGTAGTGACAGCTCAGAGATGCACAGCGACCTATGATCTATCTCATAATCTAACTTAGTGGGATGAGATGTCTCTTAACTATTGAGATGAGGAAATGTTTTGGGTTTTTTGAAGATAGCTGTGTAATTCCATGAAGACACTTTTCAGCCTCTCAGGCAGCAGTCTCATGAATGAGAGAATGCCTACAAGCATGTGGTGCTGCTGGAAAATTCTGATGGCCATTCTACAACTATCCCATTTTCCTTAGAGACAGTGCTGACTGAGGTGTAACTCTGTGTATTACTGTGCTGCAGGCTTACTGTAGAATTGAATTATTTTTGAAAAGATAATTGACTTTGTTTAAAAGATTTTCTTCTGCAGTTTTAGATTTTGTTTTTTTTCCCAGTTTTCCCTTCTCTGTAATCTCTTCCGTAGTATTCCTTTAATAAAGCTACTTCTTAACTACATTTTAGAGATGAGAAAGGTGATAATAGTAAGAAGGCCGACCCCTAAATATATGCTAGCAAGAAATGAAGTGTCTGGAATCTAAATAAATGCAAGATAACGTTTTAGTTAAAAATTACAATAATTATGTTCTTTTTCCTGGCCATGGCATATTCTTCTGGGGATCTACCTGGGCCACAAAAGATGCAGAGGCATCTTTTGTAATCTTTGCTTTTCTAGATAAGAAAATGTTGTTGTGTGATTATAACTAAATTTTTCTTGCCTGCAGAGGCAGGACTTTATCTCTACCTATCTGATGAGTACTAATCTGCTTTCTTTCACTTACTCTGGAGTGTTAAAAACTTTGTTCTCATTGCTCACCCCAGGCGTGACTTATCAGCTAATCCAAAAGCTTCGGGTTTACTGTCTAGAATCTGCTCCAGGTAGGTCTGAAATATAGACACTAAAGCGAGGTAGATGCAGGCTCTCACTGTATCATACATTCTGCTTAGGCACTAACATGGTATTCTACAAAATTTGGTTATAAGAGCTAAAATAGTTTGGTGTTTGTGTGAACTGAGCAGCTCTATAGAGGTTGATCTGAGCAAAATTCAACCAGTAACGATTGCTAAGAAAGTCAGCGTGATCACTTGGAGGGAGATTTTCTGGTCACTCAACAGTGATTTGCCCAGCTGATCCATGACGACTGAACAATAGCTCTCAGAACCTATCCTGTCTTCAGCCAGGGTATTAGTCACTGGAAGTGGAGTGGGAGTTGGGTTCTGGAGGAATTAGGAGCATTCTCAGCAGGAACGGTATGTGTGTTTTATTTCTCGAAGCCAAAATGCAGTTCATCTGAAATATTTTCTTACCCATGGTATCAAAAAAAACCTGTGTCCTGTTCATTCTCAACAAGACTCCAAAAGAGTGATCAATTACACATGGCCCTGCCTGATTAGATCTGCAGTAAAATGACTGAGTGTTGCAACATTTGGACTGACATACTGCCATGTACTGCCTTTGAACTAAGAGGAGAACGAAAATGCAAACGGTTGGTGCTTTGAACATTGAACCATTTCATGTCTGTGCTCATCAAAAATGCAGAGTGTTAATGGATGTTGTTAATGCCTGAAAGCTGCTGATTTGTCTGAAGGAGAGGATCTACGTGCTCCTGTTTCCTCTAAAGCATTCTAATGATGAAGAGTAACATGCAGAGACACGGATTTATGCAAATCTTACTTCAAAGAAGTCGTGTGTGCTAACCTCATGAAGCAGACTACCCTTCTGCAATCACGTGTGCTGTATGAATAGTTGATTCTACTGCAGATTTCAGTGGGTTATACAGAACCCGGTCCCACAAGAAAATAGGTTTTTCCATGGTGCCTTGTTCATGCTTGGGATTCAGCCATCTATCCCTAGCAAGAAGTGATTCTGCACTAATGAAGACCCCAGGGGCTGGCAAAGAAAACTGCAATTTACATCCATTGGACAGATTCTGTTTCCTGGCAGGAATTGATTCAAAGTGGTGTGAATCGTAGTTTTTCCTTGTCCACTTTTTGGGTTTTTGTTAGAGCAGCTGACTCTACTTGCTGGTGGTTGAAGAAGGGCTAATTCCAAATACAGACAAGGCCTGAGGTGAGGTACCAGGTCTACAGGAAAAGAGGTGCAGAACACATTTCCTTAAACTTTTACTGCCTGATTGACAGAGCTGCATTGGCGGTGGCTTTGGAGGGAGCCTCTGGCCCTATATTTCTTGGTAGAAGAAAAGATGCTGCAATATAGGCTGGCAGCAAAAGGTTGGGAGGGAGGGGTGGGCCAGGATATATTTCTTTTCTAAAATGGGGAAAAATTAAGGGGAAAAAAGTCCTCTTTTATTCTTTCAATACAGTTCCCAGCAGGAAGATCAGGATAGGAGGCTCCCGCTTGCTCCAGATTAAAGGAACCCGCAGTTTCCGGGTGAAGAAGGGGGGTTCCCTTTCCAGCATTCGCCGGGCCGGCAGCCTAAAGAGCACCAAGTTATCACGGCAGGACTCAGAGTCTGAGAATGAGGAGCTGCAGCTGTCCCACAGCAGGGACACTGTCACTGATATAGGTAACTTAGATGAGTGGGTGGAAAGGGAGGGGATGAGTAGGCAGGTCCTAAACTCTTGATGTGATTGCAGCAGAGCTAGAAACAACGAGAGACCCCCACCCCAACAGGCTAGAAAAAACCTAGTCCTTTTCATGGACTGCCAGAAGTAGGGCCTGGGTAGAATATGGTTCAAATTCTGCCGCCGAAGGCCTGGCTGCAGGGTCAGCTCCATGTGCAGGCAGACTGTCCATTCACAGCTCCGTGTTACAGCATGAACTCTTGGAATGCTGGTGTGTGCCAGCTGAATGCATGCTGTCTTTAGGGGAGCACATGCACATGTGTATATGCACATACACACCCCCCTAAATCATATGATATAAAGAATAAGGTCATATGCATATATGATATTTTATTGTCTATATTAACAGATAGGATATATATATATACACGTACGGACATGTGCTTCATATTTATGTAGTACATGATGTCACAAGCATGCCATATGGCATGTAGTATATATATATACACACCTATATGTAGAACAGAACATGTGCGTGCTACATACTATATTTCTACATATTGGCATATACGTATATTTTTACAGTTTACAGTTGCCTTCCTTAGTTTTCAAAAAGATGAATCTCAGTATATGTATGTTATGGAAACCAAATATGCATCCTGTCAGAAGAAATCTCCATCGCGGTTGAAGTTAAGGGGCTCTCTCTAATAGAGTTGTTAACCAAAAGCTAAGGTTTGGATCCATTTAGAGTGGAAACAGCATCCCAAGCTTAATAGTCATTTTTATGGTGATCAGAAAGTGTTTTATTAGGTAAACTTGGAGAGTACGGAGAGTAGCATTGCCTCTTCTGTAGTCTTTGGAAAGTCAGAGTTCACTTAAAGAGGAGAAAGAAAGCATTAACTAGAGTTCATCTCCAGTCATCCCTTAACAGAACTGTTAGCATTATAGGAAATCCACAGGTAATGAAATGGCTGCGGGAAGCACAGGGACCAGTGCTGTTCCCACATAAATCTCTCCTTTGCCTGAATTCTCTAGAACTAGTATGCTAGAATCAGGATTTTTTTCCCCTTTCATCCCCGTAATGTTAGCAGTTTCCATGGGCATTTAGCAGTTACTTGGCCCACTGGTGCTTTCAGTTGGATGCCACTTCTGGTTGGATTTTTTTTTTTAATGTTTTTAATCACAGAGCCCAGTCAATGCAGATCACTAAACCAACCATTTATAGCATCTGAATGGTGCAAAGAAGTTCTTTCTGATGTTTTTTGATTTCCTCCTCCCTTTGCACTGAAGAAAATATGTGGGGAGGGAGCAGTTTGCTACTGACGAAGATGTCCTGTGAGACGTTGACGTCTGAATTGTAATTGTCAAACCAGCATGATACCAGCATTGGGGAGGGGTGTCCAAATGCAGTTTTTCAGTGTGGCATATTCAGTGTACTGTGGTCTGTTTCCACAAGGCTTGCCTGGCTTACAAGTGCTGTCCCTAGGCTTTAAGCATATAGGAAGCAATAAAAACAACCACCTTTGGATATTTTTCTTTTGAAGAAGGGAGCCCTTGGAGCGCGAGCGAACCTAGCATTGAGCCAGAGGTGCTGAGCAGCACAGGCACGGAGGAGAACTATCATCGGAACATGTCATGGCTGCACGTAAGTATGGATCGTTGACCATGTTTTCCAAGCTAGTACCTCAGTCCCTGGACTGCCTTAATTCTGTCTCTTCTCTGTTGCTGTAGTGGTTACATGTTAACTGGAAAATCCACTGTACTAAGCTGAGTATGTAGACATGGAAATGTGTACTAAGAGATGAATTAATAGAGGATAAAGTCATCTCCCTTCCTAGCAGCTTAGGATAAAACATGCCGCCTTTTTTCAGTGTGGGAGGATGTGTGGACTGTTAAATATGAAGCATGAATGAAGGGAACTTGAGCTATTTTTCTCACTTGGTTTGATTATCCTGCTTAGGAGAAAGAACAATTTAAAAAAATCACCTGTTCAAGTTAATGCCACACATGTACCAGTATCACATAAGAACTTTCTCATTTTTGTTTGTTGGAAAAAAGGTGTGGATGGATGTTAACTAAAACTGCAGCAAAGCAAAAACCTGCTTTACTTGGCAGTTGTGCAAACCACTCAAAAGGATCATTGGTTCCAGTTTCTTCTCTGCATGCACCAACATTTCCTTTATGGCAGCCCTGTATATATGATGTCCTCACTGTGTGTCATTGTGCTGTAACTACAAGTTGCAGTGCACTCAGGTCTCAGTAGAGGCTATCCAGTGCTGATCAGATTTACCATTCACACATTCATGCAGCATTAGTGACTTGAGTTATCCCCGATTGACCCCAAAATAATGTAATACCAGAACAAGTAAGCAAAGGCAACAATCCCAAATATGCTGCTGAGACTTGTCTTAAATTAAGCTCCTGACTTTTGAAAAGCCTAAATATTTGAGAGTGGAGAGTGGTGTGGCTGCCTGAAAGAGCGGGCAGACTGCAGCTGCAGAGGTATTAAATGCATGGAAAGTGTGGGGTAGCCTCCTTCTAGTGTGGGTATTTCCACACTAGGTTGTACGATGAAGAGAAGGGTTCATAAAGGCCAGTTATAGTCTACAGTGTGAAAAGCTTGCAGATACCCCAGTGTTTTCCTTGGAATACTACAAACTGTCTGGTGTTGTCTGTGACTTGAAGACCTGTGTACAAACTGCTGCTGGACTGAACTCTCTTCTTCCAGGAATGAATCCTCTGAGGTACAACCAGAGAGCAGTCTCTGAATTGCAGACTTACCAAGGTTGCTTTTAATTGATTAGTTTAGAGTCTAATGGTTGTGTTGCTACAACAAAGCAGGGCTTGGTAGAGCAAAATACCCAGATATTTACTCTGTTTCTTAGATTGATTTTACAGCTCACTGCTGCCATATGCCATCATCACTAGAAATAGTAGCTGAGCCAGCTAACATAAAGCTAGGCTGGATTGGGCCTACCCAAGCACAGCAAGGCAAGTATGCCACAAAACATCTTGGCAGAGCTAATTACTACTTGAGAGTGTATTGAGACATTTCATTTCCCTTTCCTTGAAGGATACTAACTCCTGAACCTAGTGGGTTTGCAGCTTTGATGGTAATTGAGTAGTTAACTATTTCCAGTCTAAGTCTTCATCTCAGACTGGTGATAGAATAGCTTTTCTGTGAACTGAGAGTACTGTTTTCCTCAACCATAATTTTGCCACCAGCCAAACTTATGCATCTACAGCAGCTCTCTTCCTTTGTCTGCTTTGTTAACACCAACGTCTATTTAGCTGTGCCTAGCCAGTTCATAAACTACTTGCAGGTGTGGAGATCAGCACAGGTAGGCTTACCTTTTCAAAAAGCTGTGTTGAGCATCTTGCCTTGCCAGCTAGGCTGTGAATATCAGCTTGCCGTCCCCATCACTGGCTGCATATGCTATGCAGCATGACTCTATAGATAACTATCCAATTTTATTCCTTTCAAGGTTATGATCCTCTTATGCAATCAGCAAAGTTTCATATGTACTCACATTGACTACTGTCACCCACACTGCTACCTTCATCATAGCCGGTCCTGTGCTCGCCTTGTTCGTGCCATCAAACTCCTGTATGGAGACACAGTGGACTCTCTTCGAGAAAACAGCACATTGAACAGTGTGGCAAGAGGCAAAAAGCAAAAAGAAGTGAGTAAATGGAAAATCTATCATGTTTTTATGTTTTTTGTTTTGTTCTCTGGGCAAGGCATAAGTATCTTCAAGGACAGCATAATGTATTCAAATAATGCTCTTTCATGAAAAAAGGAACACAACACTTTCCTAAACATAGTCCTTCTGCAAAAAGTTATGAAGTCATTTAGCGTTATGGAAGGAATGTAAACTGTATTGTTCAGGAAGAATCTTGGTTGCTGATAAGGATGTTAAAATGCCTATAGTCTGACCTTAAATGTACTGTTCTTTTATGAGATCTGTTTATCAGCCCCTGGAGTCTCATTCCTTTTTTCCTGTTCCTTCTTGTCTTTCAATAAGAATAATTCTTGGAATTCTGGTAAAACCTTGCAAGATTTCCTTTAGGTCTGAGATTTCGGCTCTTTTCCAATAACTGTATGCATTGGTCTTTAATATTACAGTCTCTTTAGTGAGATGCTTTTAATGATCATCTCAGCAAGACAGTCAAAAAAGGTTGCGCCTTTTTAGGCGTATGTGCAGTGCCTTTAACTTTACTGGAAATGTATTTGTTGGTTCAGCAAAATACCCACAGAGCTACCGAATGAATAAAGTAAATATCTGGTAAATACCTATAGAGCCTCGACCACAAAAGACAGACATTCTTCTGAATATTCGTAATGGCAGAAGTCATCCTGCTAGTTAGCAGTAACAGTGAAAGCAAAAGTGTTCATGAAACTCTCATCAAGATTTTAGTTGGGTAAAGTGGCTATCATCTGCATAAGTGGAAATGAAAGACTATAAGAATAATTTTGGATGTTTCTTTATCAACCAGTGGATTGTTTGTTTCCTGTCAAGTTAGAAGGGTATTTTTATGGAACAAAGCACAGGGCAGATTAAATGAGGTAATGATTCTGCTTTCCTGGAAAGAATAATTCCCATATGTTTCCTCTGGCATAGAAAAGCAGTGTATAAATTAGATATTAAGAAAGAGAGGCAGTCGTTTCCTCCACAGAAGGCAGGCGCAAGATGAGCAGCTGGCAGTGTTCATGAAAGGTAACAAAAGAACACTGTGCAATGCTGTATATTGTTCCATCTCCAACTGCAAAACAGTATGACACAAATTTAATCATGGGGTTTGTGAGCCCCCTGAAAAATGAGAGATCCTGTTTTAATCAGCAGGCTACCAGCTTGAGGAGAAAATCTGTGGAAACAGCATTCTGGGAAAGTTCTTGGTATTGTGAACAATGAGCATGTACAGGCCTTGTCATTATCGTTTGTGCTGGCAATCTGCTAGAGACAACAATCAGGCGGGCATGAGCTCAAGTCTTAAAATGAGTTGTCACATGCTTTCCGCAGAAGATAAATGTAGCTGAGAGAGGAATAGGTGTTGTACACAGCAAACATTTCAGTTGGGAATTTTTGGGAAAGCTGTGGATTTTGTGCCACTTCTGTGTTTAAAATACTGTTCACCTAAAATACACGAGTGTCACCTATGAAGATTACACAAGGAACATTCACGGTCCTCATTTGGTTTATTGTCTTTTTCAAGCTTCTATTGAGAAAAGCAGTGTTAAAAAGAGAAGAAAATGGGATGTCATCTCACTGATACTCGGCCTGTTGCTAGCACAGGAAAGGGCTTGGTGCTGCACCTCTAGTACTGGGCAGCTTCTAGTGTATGGAAATTCCTCTTGTACATGATCTCCCTTTCCAAACTTCAGGAAATCAAAATGAGAACACTTTCTTATTTTTTCTTTTTTCCTTTTCAGTGCTCAGACAAGTCATGCCTCAGAACTCCCTCTCTAAAAAAGAGAGTGATTGATATCAACTTGGAAGGAAAGAAGGACTCTGGAATGTTAAAATACATTAGACACCAGGTACTGACTAGGCCAGGCCATACACTGGTTGGGGAGGTTGCTACACAGATGTTGGGTCAGGCTGCAACAAGAAGGAAAATGTGTATGGATCTTGAAGCCCATGTGATGGAAAGAACTGTTGTTCTTGAGTGTGGGTTAGTTCATATTTTCAACAGATAAGTAATGCTGAATTTAAGCTTTTTAGGGGAACTCCTGGCAAAGAATCCTTTAAAGATGTAAGTCTATTAAATGTTAATCAACATCCATGGCTTCTCATAGGGATAAATACATCAAGACTGGGAACACAAAAATAAAACAGAAGAAAAACCATGAATACATCTAAATGCAACCTGTCAGTGTACAGGAAGTTTCCTTTGTTCTCTCTTGTTTAGTGTTCTTAAAGAAGCAATTAACAATTCTTGGTTGTCTATGAAATTCTCATGGATTTACATCACTGTTTGTGCACCATCTTGGAAGAGTTTTCCTTTCCTTTTGTCTTCTTTATCCATGTTTTGTGACCTAAGTGACTAGCAACAGACTCAGAACCAGCTTGCAACACTGCTGCTTTAGTGTAGGTTGAGAGTAATGTTCTTCTGTAGAACATTATCTGAAATGACTGAAACTAGAAGCTATCAGCCAGATAAAGTGTTGTCCAAAACTAGGGTAATTTCTAAAAATTTTACTGTGTTCACTGAAGACAGATGGCACAGCTCAGCTGTAAGTCATGGCACTTTTATTTTTAAATATTTTTACAGGTTATGAGCCTCTCCCCTGCACCTTTGTCACTGCTAATCAAGGCAGCTCCTGTCCTCACTGAGGAAATGTATGGGGACATCCATCCTGCAGCATGGGAGCTCCTGCTCAGTGTGGATGAGCACATGGCTGGAGCAGCAGGTAAGGGAACAAAACCAGTCATGTATCTAGCCAGACAGCTGAACTCACAGCAGGTTACAAGGCCTTGCAAGACAGCTCTCTAGTGGAGAAGGTCTTAATGACATCAAGGGTTTCTTGAGGACTATTTGGTTTTCACAGACCTTCCTGTGCTTTTGTGCTCTATACAAAGGAGGTGGTCAGAAGGTCCAGGAAGACAATCTGCACAGCCATGTTTATGGCCATCAAGCAGAGAAAAACAGAACTGATAATTTGTGTTTAGCAGGATTTCTGTGCAGAGGAAATACTACAATATAATCAATGCAGAGTTTGCTCAAGTATTTGGTATGTTGCCTTTGTTTTTCTTTCATTAAGCTGTTTCTATCTTGACTAGAGACTAGGCAAGGTCAACTCTTTACAAGGGTAGATAACGGCAGGACAAGGGGAAGTGGTTTTAAGTTGAAGGAGGGAATCAAGGGGAAGTTCTTCACTGGGAGAGTGGTGAGGTGCTGGAACAGGCTGCCCAGAAAGGCAGTGGATGCCCTGTTCCTGGAGGTATTTAAGGCCAGGTTGGATGGGGCCCTGGGCAGCCTCGTCTGGTTGGTGGTCCTGCATGCGGTATGGATGTTGGAGCTTGATGATCCTTGAGGTCTCTTCCAAACTGGGCCATTCTATGATTCTGTGTTTCAAGGTTAACCCAGCACAGTTCTTTTCAGTGCCCACCAAGCCATTCTCTCACTCCTCAGCAAGGGAAGAAAGTAAGAGGGAAAAAAAGAAGGTGAAAATAAGGACAGAGAGAAATTGCTAACCTGTCACAAGCAAACAGACTTAACTTGGGTAAAATTAACTTACTTCATTGCTAATTAATAACACAGTAGAATAGTAAGTACCAAGAAGAAACTAAAACCACCTTCTCTATCTCCACCTTTCTTCCAAGCTCAACTTCAATTGTGACTTTTCTACATTCTCCTACTCCCTGAACAGTGCAGGGGGAAGAGGAATGGAGCTGTAGTAAATTCAAAACCATTTGCTACTCTTTCCTTTTCACCCTTTTTCCCATATTTCTGCACTGGGTCCCTCCTGTGGCATATAGTCTTTCATGAACTATTCTAGCATGGGCCCTTCCCACGGGCTGCATTCAAGAACTGCTCCAGAATGGGTTTGTATAATAGGCTGAGTTCTTTTAGGAATGGACTGCTCCAGCACAGCTCCTCCACGGGCTGCAGTTCCTGCCAGAATACCTGCTCCAGCATGGGCTCCCCTCCACAGGCTGCAGATCTTCATAGATGCTGCTTTTGTGTGGGCTCCCCATGGGCTGCAGTTTCCTTTAGCTTGTATCCATGTGCTGCAGTGTGGGGTCCTCCATGAGCTGCAATGTGTATATCTGCTCTGATGTGGTACACCATGGGCTGCAGGAGGACAGCATGTGCCACTATTGTCTTCTCCATGGGTTGCAGGGAATCTTTTCCAGTACCTGGAGCATCTCCTCCCTTCCTTCTTCACTGACCTTGGTCTCTGCAGGCTTGTTTTTCTCACTTATTTCTCTCGCAGCTGCTGCACAGGATTTTTACCCTTTCTTAAACACATAAGCGCAGAGTATAACCAGCTCATTGGTTCAGCTTTGGCCAGCAGCTGTAGCCCCAATCTTTGAGCCATCTAGAAATGGCTCTGTCCAGCATGGGGGTGGCCCCTGGTCTCTCTTCTCACAGAGGCCACCTTGTAGCCCCCGTGCTACAGATACCTCACTATGAAAACCCAGTGCACTGGACCAAATGTGAAAACAGGAAGAGAGGAGCAAAATAAAGAAGAGAAGCAAGCTGCCTGAGGTTGCACTATTACCTCCCCCTCTACCCCCTTCAGACTGTTTTCTAGGAAAATAATTTTGACTACTGTTTTTTCTTTATCAAAACCCTACTAAGACTCCTCTTTCTGAGGAGTGCTATTTGCCTGCCCCTCCAGTGCAGCCTGTTAGATACATCTTCCTCTTCTTCCCCTTCCTCGAGGGAGGATTGAAAGAGAGATCTACCTGTAGTAGCTGTTTAATATTGAATGATTTCAGCCCTGGCATGATTTATATTCAATCAAGGTCAAACGTGAACACTCCCAATGTTGCTATCCGCAAGCTGGATAAAAGGAAATCCTGTGTTGGTGTACAACAGCACCATCTACTGGCTCCTTTCCAGGCTGAATCTCTTATTTGGGGTTTTGGAAACCTCTCAGTGTGAACTCATGGTTTCAAATCAGTCCTAAGACTTGATGCAGTTAAAACACCAAAGAGTAGAAAGTTTCTCTCTGCTGGTGAAGCAGGAGGGACTGTACTGATTTGAAGCAGGATGTTGTAGCAGAACTGGAAGCCTCTGCAGTGCAAGGTAGTACCTAAGCAGTCAAAGGTCAGCCTTGTTTTTCTGCATGTGTTCAGATTGCCTTCTGTCAATACAGCTCTCATGCTTGGCACCTTCTAAGTAAGGGTTGAGGTGAACAAGATGGTAATTGTTCTTTTTCTACTGTGGAAGAATTACTCCCAAAGAGAAATTATCTGCAGTGATCTTTGTTCAGGTACTGGTCAAAAAAGCCGTGAGTACTTGCACATACCAACCACCCACAGCAGCACTGTTCTCTTGCTTCCTGCTCAGTGCCCCGTGGATATACACCTAAATTAATTGGCCTCCACAGGGCTGGAGTTGTTCTGTTTATATTCAGATATGCTCTAATGAAACAACAGTGGACCGCCTCAACTTCTATTCTGTTGTCTTCCATTGTGACTTTGCTCTTTGTCTCCCAATACATAGCAACACTGTTTTCTCTCGTAGGCAGATTGTAACCATTGCAGTTATGTAAGAACCATTCTTTTTGTTTCTATCCCATGAAAATTTACTTGTGGGTCTTCTACTGAGCCACTTGCTCCTGCTCTGAGGGAAAGGCTGCGTTGTTAAACCCGCCTTTACCAATCATCACAGGAAGCAATCAGAAATGAAACTTTAGAAAGCCAAGCTGAGTTAGTCCTGTTACTTCAAGAGATGCTTCTTATTTTATATCAGTTGTGACTGAGTGGTAGTAAGAAGGGCAGAGCTGTGTTTTGTTTTAAAAGTAGATTTGACAAAACTTCTTACAAGCATAATGCTGTGCGACTCCAAAAGATAGAATCACAGACATTTTTGTTTCATGGTGCAGTACAAGTTTTGCTAAACTTAGTGGATTGCTGATCTCATTTTTGGAATCAGGGTTTCTTTCTGATTAGGGTTTGTACAGCTGCAATTTTTCCTGCCAAGTAAACACATTAGTAAGGGAAACAGATGATCAGATGTTCTCTCCCTGCAGCTGCCATGTTCCTGCTATGTGCTGTGAAAGTGCCAGAGGCTGTTTCTGACATGCTGATGTCCGAATTTCATCACCCGGAGACAGTGCAAAGACTGAATGCCATTCTCAAATTTCACACGCTCTGGAGGTTTCGGTATCAAGTCTGGCCTAGGATGGAAGAAGGAGCTCAACAGATCTTTAAGGTAGATAGAACATGTGAAACACAATGTTACCATTTGTGGCTTGTCTTGTAGGATAGATGTGTTATGACACACTAACATGAAATTGCCTCAAAATCTGTTAAGGAAAAAAATGGTCATCTCATTCATACTAGAGGGATAGATGATTTAGAACTCCTGTATAAAAGGGGAAGAGTATACTGGGGAACACATAATGAGGTAAAGAAGAACAGATGAAGAAAGAGATCTGTCAATGTGGTCTTATTTTATAGTGAGGTACTCTTTAATTAGCACTTAGCACTACAGGCATTAATATTTGTGTGCTGTAACAAACTTTGTGGTTTTGTTTAGATCCCTCCTCCAAGTATAAACTTCACTTTGCCTTCTCCTGTTCTGGGGATGCCCTCTGTGCCGATGTTTGATCCTCCCTGGGTCCCTCAGTGCAGTGGGAGCGTGCAAGATCCTATCAATGAAGACCAGTCGGTAAGCAAAGATGTCATGAGAGGAGCATTGCAGTTTCTCAGTAAGGGCCTGGGCGAAGCTGAAGCCTAAAGGTGCAGGCTGAACTCTTAAGTTTTCTTGTTGTCCTTAGCTGGGGAAGATCTAGTGAATACATTGTCCATGTAGGGCACAGAATATTCTATGTGGACATAAGATTTTTCTGTCTGTTTGATCAAGGAGATGCTGTACTGTATATCACATGCCCACAAGAGACAGTAGCTCAGATGTTAGGAGCGCAATTGCTATCTCTCCAAAGGATAAGTTCACTCAAGCTGTTTTCCAGTTTTCTGTCCTGTTTTGTGTGGTGTCTCAGAAGGAAGAGGCTTATTATAGATGTAGTTCCTGGTGCATCTGTTCAGCTAGTACGAGTTTGATTTGTATTTAGGAACTGAGTTGCTGAATGTCATCAAGGACCCTAGTGGAACACACAGAATATGTGTATCATAACTTACACTGTCGAGTTATGTCTCTTCTCTCTTCTTCCTAACAGAAGTCATTTTCAGCCAGAGCAGTGTCTCGTTCCCATCAGCGAGCAGAGCACATCCTGAAGAACCTGCAGCAGGAGGAAGAAAAGAAGCGCTTGGGTCGGGAAGCCAGTCTCATCACTGCTATTCCCATCACTCAGGAGGCTTGCTATGAGCCAACCTGCACACCAAGCTCAGAGCAGGAAGAAGAAGGTGTGCCCCAGGGGCAGAAACTGCCTTCCAGGAAACTGAGAGCACCTGCTACCAACATACAGCACAGCTTAGGGATGTGATGTCCAAGAAAAAGCTGTTGTTAGTAGTAGCAAAGTCCCTGCTTTGGTATGGTCACCACCTTAGAGAGTAGACAAGTACAAGCACTGAATCATTTTAATATCTCTAGAAAGGTAGTGAACAGCCACTGGACCTAGATATGTCTTGGGAGATTGTGTGCAGAATTTGCAATTCTCGGTAAAACTAAGAACCACCAACAAAGATGGTTAATAGGATGTACATGAAGAGAAGAATATAGACACCTCAGTTAAAATATGACTCACCAAGTCACCGCACACTATTATGGATCAGTGCTTAGCTGGTTCCCAAAGCATGAGTAAAAGTACTCACCTGATCTTCATAGGTCTTAAGTTGTTCTGAGTGTTACCTGACTTGAATTTTCAATGTTCCAGTTTGGTTGCAAGTGCTCTCCTTTTGAAAGGTCTCTAAAGTCTGTCAGCTGGATTTGGACTGACATTTCCCATTCTCTTTGTCAGTAGAAGAAGTTGCCAACCTGGCCTCCCGCCGTCTCTCTGTGAGTCCTTCCTGCACCTCCAGTACATCTCATAGGAACTACTCTTTCCGTCGTGGCTCTGTCTGGTCAGTGCGGTCAGCAGTCAGTGCAGAAGGTAGGTTGAATTCACTGTGGAGTATCCTTTCCTAAAATTTCTTTCACTGGAAACCTGTTATTCAATAAAGCTGATGACATTATATTTTGCTGAATGTATTCCCAGGCTTGAGCCAATTTATAAAAAGCTAATTAAAATTCTTGGTCAGAAAGTTAACTGGAGGCTCAGTTTCTTCTTGGAGATAGTAGTAAGCTTGTTGTGCATGCACAGTGATCGGATAGCCTGCCATTTTCTGCTTATCCAGCACCTAATGCAAACATCTATCTAACCTGCCTGTATAATGTCACAGCTCATTCACAAACACTCACCTTCTGATCTTCTTTGTACTCCAGATGAAGAACATACTACAGAGCATACTCCAAACCATCATGTGCCACAACCACCCCAAGCTGTGTTTCCAGCATGCATCTGTGCAGCAGTACTCCCCATTGTCCATTTGATGGAAGATGGGGAAGTCCGGGAAGATGGAGTAGCTGGTACTGACCTAGATTACATTTCAAGTCATTCTTGATTAGAAGTTGCAAAACCTGCCAGTAATTACAATGTTTACATTTGTTAGGTGCCATAACTAGAGTGAAAGAAGTGTAATACAACCTTGTATTTGCTCACAGTTCATTGTTTGTAGTAGTCTGTGCTATATATTGTCATGAGTGTATATATTTGTTACAAACCTTGTGAGTAACCAGTTCTCACAAACTGTTCACTAATGGATGAGCAACAGAAGTGTATTTTTTTTTTTTTCTCCATTTGTTGTCAGATCTTGAAAGTTTGTTGTTATTTTGGGGGGACCTAAAAAGCCCCCAGTTCTATGAAGATGTTGAGAAGCAGGAAGGAATCTAGTGGGATACCAGAACAGAGAGAGACGTAAAACACGTGTTTTGTGAGAACCGACTGGGAAGCTGATCTTATTTTGTGTGGCAGAAAGGAAACAAACAGCTAGAGCAATGCTGCTATATAAGCTGCAACTTGGGAAGTTCAAGATGCAAATTAGAAAATAAATTCTCTACCAGGGGCATAGTGCAGTCTCATTGGAATCTCCATTCGTCTCCATCCACAGCAGGCTTTGTCTTGGCTAGACAAAGCCACAGTTGACATAATGTAATGCTGGTGACAGTCCTGCTCCAAGCAGAGTTTGAACTAGAGACCTCCAGAGGTCTATTCTCAGCAGTATTTCTTTGATCCTATGACAAATAGAAAACCAATTATACACAGCTCTAATACTTGCTTTATGGTCTGTGATTCATTTGTAAAATAATAATAGGTCCTTCTATATTTCTTTCTCTTAAATGTTTAGAGATGGTGGACTTTTGTCCTTCCTTTTTTGTCACTCATAATGTTAGCTGATTGCAAACATAACTTTATGACATTTTCTTTTTTTTTTAGCTTTGAGTGGGTATAGTCAGTCACTGAATTTGTGTGTTGTTTTGTGATCAAGAAATGAGTACTGAAAACACAACAATGAGTAATTCTCTCATGTTGTTAGTCTTCACAAGGTTACAATTAATTACACTTTGGGGAGCTGGTAATCAGCACAATTCCCTGCTGACTATCTAATGTTGTCCATTAATACCAGATAAGGGCACTCCATGAATCACCATGAAGTGCAGTTTCCATGTACAAACAAAATAATTTTTTTAGTTGACTTGTTTGCTCATCTGGAGTTGTGAATCCAAACAGTTATTTCCCTGATCACAGTAGTGAAGTGCTACCTGTCCTGTCACCAGAACCTAGGGAAGGTTCAAGTGTTAGACTTGTCATTATTGCTTGAAATGACTGCAGTGATGAGCTGGAGTCCTAATACCTCAAAGTAACTCCTGTGTATTTCAGTACAAAAATGATAAATGTAGTAGGTTAGGAACATTTGTATTTAAGTGCACCATTTCAAGGCTTTTCCAAGGGAGAGTGTTCTGACTGTGTTTTCTTTTTTATAGTGAGTGCTGTTGCTCAGCAGGTCCTGTGGAACTGCTTAATTGAAGATCCCTCTACAGTTCTGCGCCATTTCCTTGAGAAGCTCACAATAAGCAACCGACAGGTAAACGTCTTCTCTCTCTAGGAGACTTATGTATTGCTTAGAACAGGGTGCACAGCTGCAAGCAGAATCCCTCTGTGGGCAGTGACCGGAGAAGTACATTGGCTGCTCAGAATCTTCATTTGGCTTCAATTTCTGTTCATTGTTGTAAATGGGACACAGCTCATTTACCACCACTAAGGATGTGGCTTGTTATAAGTTAGCCTTGAACAGATGCTTACTGAAGCACAACTCTTTCTATCAAAGATATTACCTTCACCCATGCCACCCTGTTCCGTTTTCTCTCGAAGGTGGGAGTGGCATTGTCTGTCAGTCTGCCTGTCCTTGGCTGACTGTGAAACTCTCTTCTTGCCTCCTTCCCACCTTAAGCTTCTTAAGGAAGCAAAGTTGGATTCGTCCCCAACTCCTATCTAGCAACCACAACTGCTGAGTTGAGCTGTGCTGGATTTCACAGCTATCTTGTAAAATTTAACTAGGTAGCTGTTTGCTGTAATAAGCAAGAATTAGTATAATCACAGGAAGAAGAGTGCAGAATCAGGATAGTAAAGTCAGGATAAATGACAGTAATGTTCTTTCTCTGTTGAAGAAGGCAGACGTTGGCCTGGGTGCTGTGTCTTCGGTCTTATTTTGGGAAATGTAAGAGCAGTCACAAGCAGAGAGTTCTATTTCATGCACCAACAGACAGAACAAAGGGATAAAAAAATGGAAATGAACAAAGCTGGGGAAGACAAAAGGGAGAAATCCATTTTCTGTTTTGTGATGGAAAGAGAACAGCATTTGCTCTTTTTCCAGGATGAGCTAATGTATATGTTAAGGAAGCTTTTGTTGAATATTGGGGACTTTCCTGCGCAGACATCTCATATCCTCTTTAATTACTTGGTAAGTAGCTTGGGGGTCGACTGTGCAGCCCATAATCTTACCTCTGTCTGTGTGTGTCTTAGGAAGTTAATGCCACAATCTGCAAGGAAATAAATGGTCTGTAGCTATTCATATCTGCTCCTGGCTCTAGATGCAAATTACTTATACCAGCCTTTCATTCCTTAAAGGGAGAGGAGAAGGAATCTTTAGCTTTTCATTAACCCCCTAAACTCCCTGTCCTGAATTTCTGAGTTGAGTCAGTAATGATGAATTCTAGACAAACAGGAGGCAGAAATAATTTATTATTTTACTTAATTTTCATTCAGAAAGTGCTTTGGTTGTGAATGGTCTCATTGCAATAAATTATAAGCTTCTTTTATAGTCATAGAAAATGCATTTGTTGGAGTTCTTTTGATTAAGTGCTGAAAAAACAGACAGGATATATGCAACTGTAGGAGCCTTCCAGTATTTGTCAGGTGTCTGTGTGGCACATAGAAGCAGAAGGTACATTGAGTCTTATAATGGAGAAATTTTCCATTTTCCTCATTCACAATGGCTTTTAAGACTGGGTTGCAAATTGCACTTTTTCCCACCACTCCTCATCCTCTACAGGAAAAGAAAGAATAGTAGAAGCAAATTGTTCTGTATTATGTATAAACTTTCAGGATATAATTTTAATTTAGAGTTTGTCCTCTGGATGAGGACAGAAGAACCATGTTCTTGTTCTGTGTTTATGGAATGCCCAACACAGTTAGAGTGTGTATTATCTGATCCTCCTCCTATTTATTACTTGCAGGTGGGACTGATCATGTATTTTGTACGCACTCCATGTGAATGGGGCATGGATGCCATTTCTGCCACGCTAACCTTCCTCTGGGAAGTGGTGGGTTATGTTGAAGGGCTTTTTTTCAAGGATCTCAAACAGACTATGAAGAAGGAACAGTGTGAAGTGAAACTGCTGGTGACTGCCTCAATGCCAGGTATAAAAAATGAGTCTTTAAGCATCCTTCGCTTCCAAGTTCACATGTTCCTACCAAAAAATAGATCTGCCAGTACTGCATGAGACCTGCTCTGAAATGGCTGCATAAGTCACTTTTGCTTGAGTTGAGGATTCAGTCAGTAAATTCTACTCTAATTCCTCAAGATTCAGAAGGCTACTTTAAGAGTTCTGAAAGAAACAAACGAAATGAATGAGAACAGTCTTTTTAACTCAGAACTTTATGCCAATTGGGCTGTGAAAAGCTGGCAGGATGATTATTGTAAAATGCAACCTCTCATTTAAGTCTCGTGAGAGCCCCAGAAGAGCATACTGTGAGCTTAGGACCTCATGAGTCAGGCAAGAAATTTCTTGGTGAAAAACACATTCAGCATTTTAGGCCTGTTCCTTTCTCAGAGTTGTTGCTGCTAAAGCTGCCGGCTCCCTATTTTAGGAACAGATCAATTTCTCATTAACTGTAGAATTGTGAGCCTATGCTATCACCACATAACCTGTGCCAGGCAGGACTGGCATTATCTGTCTGTCTGTCCAGGAATTAATTTAAACTGTTACTTTTCCTACATGGCAGTCTTTTGAAATGGAGTTCATTAAAGAGACCAGGGAGAATGCAACTGCTTTTCTTCCTTTAGGCACAAAGACCCTTGTTGTGCATGGACAGAATGAGTGTGACATACCAACTCAGTTACCAGTCCATGAAGATACACAGTTTGAGGCTCTTCTGAAGGTGAGTTTTTGAACTGAATGGACTGTTTAATGTGTTTTTTTACTTGCCATATCTGGATGCCAGCAATACATTCTGCCTGAGCTTCCCGATTTAGTGTCACATTTGCTGTGACAAACATTTCTGTGTCCATATGAGGAAATCTTGGTTGCATGAATACGGAATCCTATCTAAAGGGTAATAGAAATGTGCTGACATCACAGCCAGCCAAAAGTACGTTTGAATACATTGCAGCTTGTTATCCCTTGGATAAATACAGAAGTAATTGAAGTGACTTTTATTTTATCAACACTAAAGAGAATGATTAGGATCAGAAAAAATAGAAATGATGATTTGGTAGCCATTATGATATGTTAGGATTTAGGAGATGTGAAGTCAGTTTCCTTTTATGCCAATTATTTCCAGGATTAACTTAACCAAGCTACATAAGAAAAAGACCTCTGATTAATGGGAATCATGCATCTTAGTGCTTTAAAGGGTCTGAACTGTAGTGTCTCTGTACATCCCCTATCTCTAAAACTTGATTAAAAAAGTAGCGTGTAAATAGAAGCTACAATACCTGTATAGGTAATATGATTGGACAAATACATGCAGTATGAAGACCTCAGAATAAATAACATCAGTATTCAGGATTGTGGTATCAGTTTGCCTTGACTGTTGCCAATGTACCAATGTACTTTATGGTTAAAAAAAGAATGAAGAATTAATGCGAAAAGAGCCACAGAGCCTACAAGGTTGACAGACGTTCAGTTTTGTGCCTGTATACATTGTTAGCAGAATATTCTTCTTTTAGACATGAAGATGTTTGTACAAGACAGCTAATAAGTAACAGAAAGTTTATTTTCTCTTCAGGAGTGTTTGGAGTTTTTTAACATACCTGAAACACAGTCTTCTCATTACTTTTTAATGGATAAGCGATGGAATCTTATTCATTACAATAAGGTAAGGCAAAGGTCAGGTACAGATAACTTAGTTCCTTATATATCATCCCTTATAAACATCAGGATTATCCGAAGGGAAACATGGAACCATAAGCAGAATTCTGTCCTGCAGGCACCACATCTCTGGTATTCAGTTATGTGTCATAAAAGATTGGAGTCTGACAGAAGAATGAAGTGACAGAAGTGGAGTTCCTTGACTCTTAAGACATTATGTCCAGCTTTCCCAGAAAACAGAGAGAGCAAATTTTTCTTCTTTTTATGCCCTGCCCAAAATCTTCAGAAAGGATGAAAAAAGGACCTTATATTCAGTTCTAATGAACAACACTGTTGCAATTGCATTTGTTTAAAATTCACTTCACTGTTTCTTTCCTGGCAGACCTATGTTCGTGACATTTATCCTTTCCGGAGGTCAGTTTCTCCCCAGCTCAACCTGGTGCAGATGCATCCAGAAAAGGGTCAGGAGCTCATTCAGAAGCAGGTATCTTACTGTCACTACACTATCTGCTCATAAACAACTCCTGTAAATAAAACTTTCCTTCCCCTTTAAAGGCCTCCACTCATGCTGCATGCAGATAGAAAGCTCTGCTGGAGAAGCAGCAGTTGGCATGAAATCTGTCTTGGTGCTGTTTAACAGGTGTATGGTATTTTAAGAAGAGCCAAAAAATATGAATGTGAATTCCCTCCCCCGTCTCAATCCAACTTCTTTTAGGTGAATCATTTTGCATTCTCCTACACTTGGCCAGAACAACTTCAGTTGACTCAGCTTTAAAAGATGCTTATTGCCTTCTTAAACATGACCTCTGACTCTTTCGGAACCTTTTCTTCATGAGTGCATCTGGCTGAGGATCAGACAATATCTGTTCTACCTTGCTGTCTGTCCTCTCACTGCAAAGAATGTTCCTTGTCTCTCCTTGTCTTGCTCTCAGATACAAGTCTTTTAGTACAGCCACCGCTAGTGACACTGAAGCAGCAATTGTTTCCTCAGGGGAGTCTCTGCCCTTGGAAGGACACTGTCTTCCCCGTTTTACAGCCTCATGACCTGATAACGTGTCCGATCCTGCTAATGCTCTGCAGCTCCCAGGAGCTCTCTACAGGAACTAAAGGAGAGAACAGTGCTTTTAATGTGCTGCAGCCTCCTGAGAGTATCATTTCCTTAGACAGCAAGGCAGCAGTATTGAGTTCACTCCACATGTAGAAAGCCTCATGCTGTTTTTCTCCACAAAAGCAAAGTTTTCTCAGCAGTACACATCTGAATACTTAGGGAAAAGTTGTTCTAGCTGTATCTGCAAAGATGATACTAAGCAGGAAATAAAAAGGAAGGGGAATGTTGTTAAACTGTTAAAAGTTCTAATGGTCTTATAATTCTAGCCACAAAGCAGCTGCTGTAGTTGTGTAATTGGTAATATGAGCATGCAAACAGGAAAATATCATCAGGAATCATTATAAAAATTAAATATGAAGCTGCTTTAGAGAAACTAGCTTCTAAAATAATGGCAAACTTTGTTAATGCCATCTCATGTGTGTGTGTAGTACAGAACAGGGAAATATCTCACATGCTGTATCTGTCAGTAGAAAATCTATAAAAAATTTAAAAATCACATCAAATTGTTTTGGTTGCTTCACTGCCAGAAATTATTCTCACTGTGGTTCTAGAAGTTGTGTTCCGTACACCAGGGCTTTTTATGCCATGTGTGACCCAAAAACATTAGAATGGCCTTTCCAGATTTCTCAGGGCATTATTTTACATTCCGTAGTTTTCTATTTAGACCACTTGGAAGACAACATATTTCCAAGGTAAAATGTACATCAAGCATCTGCCAGCCTCTCTGTAGTCATGCAGCAAGGTGCTGGACAACATCTATCTCTGGGAAAGAAAGCAGCACTGTGGAATCTATGTACTAGGAGCAATCCACATAGAAGTTGTACTGTTTGAACACTCCGTTCTAGAATGAGTGCACATAAGAGCAAGGTCTTAGTGACTGCAGGATGTGGGAAGCTGAGCTTTGTCCCATGTTAAGCCATGTGCTCTAAATTTTGGCTTCAACCCAGAAGCTGAAAGCTGTCTTGAAACTGCTTCCAAAGACAGTTGCTTCTACTGCTGAGCACAGCTCTGCCTTATGGTTGCTATTAGAATCAAAATAAAATAGCTGCCTGATTAGTCCTACCCCTCAGAAGTTTAAAAGAGGCTGGTAGAATGGAACTCAGTTTCTCAGCTGGTGTAAACCAGAATTCATCATCAAAGTTGGCAGGACTTCGCTGGTTTATAGTAGCTGAGAATTTGATCTGCTTTGTTTTATGATTACTTTTTTTTTGGAACCCTACATACACTTGCAATAGCCAGACAAGTTCCAGCCTCAATCCAGAAGGAAAACAGTTGTCCCATCATAATGTTGCCTATTCTGTAAGACCTTGCAGAGAATAAGTACAACTGTATGGCTTTCAGTTTGGAGTTGTTTTGCCTCTGTTCACCTTGGGACTCACACAGGCAAAATTTACATTTACACTGATCTACGAAAGGCTGCATTGCAAATTTGCAGTGTTTGACAGCCACACGTGGTCCTCTACAACACTGGAATGGAAAGAGTTAAAACCTGTTTACAAACTCAGTCCTTCTGTGCTGAATGGAACTAAAAAACACTGGTCATACAAATTCTGCAGAAGGGCACAGTACTTGCACTTCGAATTTCATCAAATTCCTATCAACCATGACTGCTACTTCTCTCCCATCAGAGAAGGCTGTGCAAGCTAACCTAGAAAAGTGTATATACATATATACAAGAGTTTTTTTATTAGATTGATTCTGGTTCTTGTCTCTTTCTCAGGTGTTCACTCGCAAACTAGAAGAGGTGGGGCGGGTGTTGTTCCTCATATCATTGACACAGAAAATCCCTACTGCCCACAAGCAGTCACACGTATCAATGCTTCAGGAAGACCTCCTCCGCTTGCCTTCATTTCCCCGAAATGCCATTGATGCTGAGTTCTCACTCTTCAGTGATCCCCAAGGTATGGCTTTTTGATGGCTTTCTTTGGTGGTTGTGTACGGCTCAAAAGGTTTATGTGAGGCACTTCATTTGCCATAGAAACAGGCTTGTAGCTGGAAACTCATAAATCTTCTCCTAGAGAAAATGATACATAGCTGTTGGTATAAGCATAACAGTGGAAAGGGCTTTGCTGCCCTTAAACGCCTCCAGACAAAGGTACTTTCTTTGAACATAAACAGGAATATAATCATGTATTAAAATTATTCATGAGGTTACGGCTGGAACTGTGTCCAGCTGTGTACTCACCAGAACACAGAAGTTTTTCCACAGACTAGAGTGAGTCTAGGGGAGGGCCCCCGGTGGCAGTTAGGGAGCCGGGGGACTTGTCGTATGAGGAGAGGTGAAGGAACCTGAACTTCTTCAGTTTCAAGAACACCCATTAGTTTTGAAGTTCACCTTGCCTGAGAAAGGAATCTCTGTCTGTCTCATCTAGCCTAAGTTTTTCTGTGACTCTCATGGAAGTCGTTGCCCTGATTTCTCTGAATCTTGACTCTAGAGCTTTATTTGCCAGCATGCTCCACAGTAGCATCTTGTCATTGGGTCTGTGTCTTCAAACTGAAACATCAGAAAAATTGTGAGAGACCTCACAGAGCACAAAGTCCACATTGTGAAAGCAATGGGCATTAAATGAAGATTGGGCAAATTCTGCAACAGAGATATAAAGGCAGATCTCTCTTTAGGAACTTTGCTGTGAAAGTAGGGTTTCCAGGCTGACTTGAGAATTAGAAAGACCACAGTTTCAGAGTGATAAGTGCTGACCTGTTCTGTAACAGACCCTAAAGACACTTGCTTTCAGAAGCATTATTGTAAATACGCATCATTATCCTGTAATGTCTGGTACACCTAAAAGATTAAGATTCAGCTCAGATCTTCTTTCACATTTAAAGAAGAGAATTTCCAACTATGGGAAGCAAGTTTAATGAGCTGTGTGATAATCATTAATCAGTCTTCATGTGTCTTGTTTTCAGCTGAGATTGGTTCAAGCCCTGTAGGCACTTGCAGAAGTGCAGAATGGATTAACTCATTTCAAAAAGGCAGAACTAGGGTCATGTTTGTGGGAGGATTCTCTGGAAAAACCCTTAGCTTGTGTGAGTGTTGTGAGGCTGGCCATCGTAGATAGAGTTGATTGCTCTTGCCTTTTCTCCCCCACAGCTGGAAAAGAGCTCTTTGGTCTTGACACTCTTCAAAAAAGCTTGTGGATTAAGCTGCTGGAAGAGATGTTCCTTGGCATGCCTAGCGAGTTCCCCTGGGGGGATGAGATCATGCTGTTCTTGAATGTCTTCAATGGTGCCCTGATCCTGCACCCTGAAGACAGTGCCTTGTTGAGACAGTATGCTGCTACAGTCATCAACACAGCTGTGCACTTTAACCACCTCTTCTCCCTCAGTGGGTACCAGTGGGTGCTCCCCAGCATGTTGCAGGTGAGCTATTTCCATGAAAAATACAAGGGAAGACTTACAGAGTGAGCACTTCGTTATAGAACTGACTGTTAATGAACAAACTTTAAAATTTCCTTATGTTGTCACAGCTCTGTTAGAGCTGTTGCATTTATCCAAAAGAAGGTACAAGGAATTGTTATTTCCACCAGAGGTGCCTGCAGGTTCTTCCACTTTTCTTGGTGGAATTAACATATTGTTAGCCATTTCCCTTTTTTCAAGTAAATCAAATCTTTCAAGTGTAACAGGCCATGGTAATAAGCATGCTAGAGGCTTGTGGTTGTGCTAAAAATGGGGATATACTTCAGCCTACTAGCCCAGTAACAGAGTACATTTCTGCAGAGGTCTAACACAAACATTTTTAGAAACCTCCGAGAAACATGTGCTGTAATGTGAATTTTGCATTACCATAAAACTTCAGCATTATATCTGGCAAACCTCAAGAAAATTCTGACTTTCTCTGCTCCAAACCTCCCAAATATTTGTAGTAGCAGGGATGTGCAGACAGGCGATTGAAATGGGCAAAAGAGGGAAGCACAGTCAAACTGTTCCTAGCAATTTATGCTATATATATATCTCTCTGAGAGATAAATCCCACTTCTTTGGAATCATGTTCAGTGGCCAGCTCTGAAGGAAGTGCCACTCTAAAAAGCTTGAAATGTCTTTAAAGTGGGCAGAACTGTCAGTGTCTTGAATGATAGTTGAGGAGTTCAAATTGTTTTGGCAAACTGGAGATGCAGACTGAATATGGAAAAAGAAAAAGAACCAACAGATAATGTTGATCAAGCTGGACTGTTGTAGGTTCTTGATTAGGAATAATCAGCTTTGTGAATGTATAGAATGGAAGACAGCTGATTTAGTAGCACTTCTGCAGGACAGAATATTGGACTCGTTCTAGCTCTGAAGCTAAGTATGAATCAAATGTGTTTCTGTTGAAGGATAGAAAAGAAAAAGGAAACATATCATATGCCATTCTGGAGTTGATTATAGAGCACTGTATCTTGTGAAAGATACATGGAATAATTCTGTTTCTGCAGCAACACTCTTGACTTGTATCAGGCTGTAGTTGATGCAGTGTGAGGTTAGGAGTTGAAGAACCCTTCCACTGGAGTAATGTAGTACTTCCGTGTCATTTTATGTTTGCTTAGGTATATGCTGACTATGAAAGCAACCCACAGTTACGCCAAGCCATAGAGTTTGCATGCCGCCAGTTCTATGTTCTGCATCGCAAGCCCTTCATTCTGCAGCTGTTTGCAAGTGTCGCCCCTCTGCTGGAGTTCCCTGTGAGTAGAAACCATCCCCTAGGCTTGGTGTGGGGAAGTCTGTGTGTGCAGCCAGCCTTCCATCAGAGATCAGAAAGAGAAAACAGCTGGAGCAACAGCACCGTTCAGATTGAATGCATACTTACTGCAGTTCGTGCTATACAGAACCATTTCCTGATCTTATTCCTTCTCACTTCTGTTCGTCAGTTGATTGAGCAGCATATTGAGATAATGAGCCACGGGTGTCTAGGGTAGTAAATATAGTTTCACTTTAAATATCTGTGTATAAAAATATATATGTGTTATTAAAAAAAATATGTGTTATAAAAGGACAATAATGATTTGCAACTCTTTAAACAGATGTTTTCTTAGAATGCAGTAATATGAACAGAAAGCTTGTTGCCAAGTTTTAGTACATATGAGCTCTAAGATGGGATTAGCCATTTTTTGAAGTCCTCACTAATCAATTTTTAACATTTTAAAAATTATTAATGGAATTGTAATTTAAAGTGGAACTGTTAAATCTAACTACACATACACTATAAGCACACACAGTCCTTCTTAGTAGAGCAGCAAAGACCTGCTTTTTATGGCAAGTAAAGCTGTGTGCAGTGTTCACATTGTTTCCACTATAGCATCAATCTGTTGAATCAGGCAAGGCTTATTGCTTTAGAGCAGTAAGCTCCTGAACTCCATGTGGGCTCTTTGTCAAAAAACAAACAAACAAACAAACAAAATAACAAAAAGGGTTGCCAGTACTTCCTGTAAAGATTGTTAGGATGCACACAGGCCCTCAGAAAATCAGCCATGTGTCATTGAAACAGGATGCTACGAACAACGGAACCAGCAAAGGAGTGTCAGCTCAGTGCCTGTTTGACCTGCTGCAGTCCTTAGAGGGAGATACTCCAGACATTTTGGACATCTTAGAGCTGGTGAGAGCAGAAAAGCCTCTCAAGTCATTAGGTAACAACAAAGAATCCTTTATTCAGTAATTCTTTATTGCTGTTTATTGATCAAACATGTATCTGATGCAGCTTATTTTCTTTTTCTTTTCCTTCTTTTTCTACTCCCTGAGTGGAGTAATATCTGTTTCTTATGCCTCATGAATCTTTTAAGGATGACTTTATTACCACTATACACTAGATGTTTTCTGCAGGAAAGGAATTTTTCATTTATTTTATTCCAAAGCTCCTTTTTCTGCATTGAGCCTATTTGTCTGAAACTAGCCCCTGGCATTTTTAATTTTATCATGTGTGGATGAAGCATAAAGGTGGCTAATAAACTATATCATGCTGGCAAGATCAGTGTCATCCTCTCCTCTGTTCCATGCTGACAGGAAACTAAAACATCCTCTCCTGTGGGCAGACTATGACTAGTAACTGATGGATGCCATTCAGACAGTCAGTTGTCCTGATTACAAAGCAGAATATATATGGCTGTGTGATGTATTCAAGACACTGACTCTTTTGGCAGTCAGCCATATAATGCAGCATTTAAGAATTTGTCTGCTGTGTGTTCTGCAGGGAAATAATTCTGTCTGATTTTTATAAGGATCTTTGACTTTTTTTCCTATTTGCACATTCCTTAAATAAAGCTGATTTTGATCAACTAGTCTTAGTAATAAAGCTTTGTTTTATCCTGGAATTTTATGATGCTGTCATCAGTGGTGCATCAATGTCATTTTTAGTATGGTGGAAACATCTAGGAAAAAGCAGATAAAGGATAAAAAATTTTCTAAAGCTGACATGTGTCTTTGTCATATATAAGCTTAAGAATTTGCTTGTGGTGGGTAATGTTTGAAACATGACTGCAGTAGCAACTGTAGGCCTTTATGCTCAGCAGTGATTTGACCTACTAAGAATTGTTTCTCACTTACTGTGCTCTTGGATGTTGGTACAAGTAGGAATTCAGGACCATTGTATCTTACAGGCTTATTTTTGTCAAAAGTCATGAGCTTATTAGGGAGTGTAAACATGAGAAACAAGCAATGGAAAATGGGGGAAAGAAAGGAGTGTGCTAGTTCTTTTCATATTCGTTATGTCTGTGTGCTAATTTTCTCATTGTTTTATTCCCTCAGACTTCTGCTATGGGAATGAGGACTTGACCTTTTCGATCAGTGAAGCCATCAAACTATGTGTGACAGTGGTGGCCTATGCTCCTGAGTCATTCAGAAGGTGCTGGTCTGGTTTTTTTGTTCTGTGCAGTCTCAGAAAAGGCCTAAAAGTTGCATATGGCATGAGGAATCAAAACAGAGGACATAGAAATGCAACACAAGCACTATGCTTCTCTGTGAGGCCAAGCTTTTGCTCGCTGATGCATTTCCTAGGGCACCAGCTCCAATTCTAGCCAGCTACTGGAAGCAAAGCTGAGCTGGGTGGCAGGCCAAGCAGCAACAAGTAGGCTGTAATCCCAGATGGGGGCCATTTTGTTCTTAAGGTTACTGTTGCCATAGAGGTATCTGAGGGCAAAAACAGGCAGCTGGAAAGAACAGGAAGATGCAGAGAGATGGAAAAGCAAAAAGGATAGCGTGTAAGAAGAAACCAGAGAAGAAAGGAGTTTTTGGAAGGAAAAATGAACATCCGCAAATGGATGACTTATTCAGAGGATACCTGAGACTTCAAACATTTTCTATTATTGTTTCATTTTTTCCTGAAGTCCCTCATAGGAGAGTTTCTTTGCCCCAAAGCTGATTACCTAATGAGAAGCAATGAATTTACAGACCAATGGAAGGTCCAGGGGTCTTCAGGAAGAATCTGAAGCCTACACCTGATGAGAGTTTCAGGTTTGACAGTTTATAACAGACCAAGTAATGGTTATTTTTTCAGCCTCCAGATGCTGATGGTCTTGGAAGCGTTGGTTCCCTGTTACTTGCAGAAACTGAAGCAACAAACCTCTCAAGTGGAGACTGTGACAGCAGCTCGTGAGGAGATTGCTGCTATGGCTGCACTTGCCACCTCTTTGCAGGCCCTCTTATACAGTGTCGAAGTTCTCACCAGGTAACTCACACTTCACAGGTCCTAGAATGTTTTTGCTCATCAGTATGGGGAGAAGGAGTGAACAAGAGCTCACAATATTTGAGTTAGTATACAACCATTTGTATAATGGTTGAGGTTTAGACCTGGTAAAGTTAATGCTAGGTTTCACTAGACCACAAGCAGAATTTCAGTGCACTATTAGATACAGTTTCTAGCGTGTTACTCACCTTCCCTTTGCTAGGCCTATGACAGCCCCACAGATGAGTCGATGCGACCAAGGCCATAAAGGGACTACAGCAGCTAACCACACCATGTCAGCAGGTGTGAACACCAGGTAAGTCAGCGGATTTATCTTTTTTTCATGTGTTCTGAGCAGCTTTTCTGGGTTTTTTGGAGTGAGATAATGTCCGCGCTGAGTGCTTCCTCAGTTGTCCAAGGAGACGCTCTAGATATTGTGTGAGAAAGCAGTCAGATAAAAAGAGCACAGCCCAGAACTGAATTTCTGACAATAACCATAATCTTCAACACTGTAAATTCTTGTTTAAAACCATGTAACAAAATAGAAGACCAGAATATCAAAACAGAAGACATTCATCCTTAATAACTTTTTTTTGTTTTCCTCTTTGCACTCTAGCAGTACAGTTACAAATCAACGATGTCTTTCAGTTCACTGCTTTTCATCCTTTCAAGTCCACTGTCAAAGAGCCAATGGACAGAGGCCATTTGGGTAGCAGAAAGATTTGATCCTTCTGGCCTTGTTCTGAGTGACTGAGCAGCAATAAAACCTCAAACTGTATGTCTGTTGAGACTCACAGAAATTAGCACCTCCTCTAGTTTTCTTTTCATCCATTTATTTTGCCTTTTTTTCCTTTCCTGTGGTCTCTTTATATCGCTTTTGCCTCCATTTTGGCTTTTTTTTGGGGGGGGGAGGGGGGTTGTTTGTTCGTTTTTTTTGTTTTATTGGGGGCTACATCTAGCAAAAGAGAAGATGGCAGAGAATATGAGAAAAAGGGAAGAATGACTGGAAATATTTTTGTCTTTCTTTATAAGAATATAACAAGACAAAAAACTTTGCACAGAGAAAGGGAATAAGGAAGGAGATGCCAGCAGACTGTAATACTGCTCCTTTCATATTGGCTACTCCATTCAGCTCCATTCAGATTAGGCTACTGTGAGAACAAGGCCACTGGTCAATTTTATACCGCCATAGAACAAGGGCTTGAAACATCTTGTTACTGTTCTTTCAGAGCAGAGTATTCCTTCTTAAATTCTCTTTTATTGATAACAACAGATTATGGGTGTGTGCACAGTCAATAGGCCAGTAAAGTACCATGGGCTGTACTGGACTATAAATCAGGAATATATTTTTGGCAAGTCATGCTTTCCAAGTTGTTTCCTGTCTTCTTTTGTACTGAAGGGAGATAGACATCTCTTTCTATATGAATCATCGAAGGGTTATAATCACCTTATAGATGTGAAGTGTACACATGGTAACTCCTGGAATCAATTTGTTGCTCTTTAAGACTGTTTCGTGCAGGCTTGGAGTATCAGCAGTGCATCCAACACTGATTTGCATTTCAATCCAGGATATGAATGTTCCTGCTTGTAGTGGTGTAATGGAACATAGTGCCTTATTTATATTATTTTGTATACTGACTTTGGAAAGCAGTTAATATATATCTGCTGACAGTCAAAGTAGAGACTCCTGATGCTGTGTGACTTGAACATACTGGTTAAATTTCCAGATATTTATCATTATCAAGCATTCAGTCTCAGATCCAAAAACATTTCTGAGCTGCTCTAGTTTTCCTGCCCTTTTTTCTTCTGCTGTCATTGCAACAGACATCTGCTAGCAACAGCAGGAGTCTCACAATGATAGAATGGTTGCTGCTCCAGACTTGGTCATGTTAGCCTAGAGGTGCAGGGTTTGTTAGTGCTTTCTCAACAAAAGTAGCAAGAGAAAATGACAACAAAACAAAACTCTGAAGTACTCTTTCCACAGAATGAGCTCTGGCTTCATGAGAGAACAAACACAGGAGTGAAAATTATGAAGAGAAATTGCCTGAAAACCTTATTTTTTTCCTTTTATAATGAAGGCAGTAACTATGATAATCTTTTTTTTTGCTGCCAGATGGGAGGTAAAGGCTATTTACTGTCGTCACTAACCATGTGCAGTCATGGTTCCAGTGATCAGTTACCACCCTGTCCATGGGGAATGGCTAGAACATTGTCAGCCCCTTGCAGCAAGGCACAGTTGAGGCACTCCTAAGCTGCTGTTTTACAACTGCACTGTTTCTGTTTTCCCAGGTACCCAGAACAGGGAGCCAAACTACACTTTATCAGGTACAGTAAAATCTTCACTCAGCCTTCTCTGACGTGAGGAACTGTTCTACTATTCTACAGCACTTTCCAGGTTCACTGGGTCCCACCCACTGTTGCTGTGACAGGCAACCTTTTTCAAAAGAAGATAGCAAAGGATAGTTCATTTTTCTCATTCTTAAAAAGTCTTTGCAGATGGTAATTTTCTTTTCTTTTTTTTTTTTTTTTAGTTCCAGGTGCAACTATTTTTTATTTTCAATTGCAGGTGAAAGCATCTGCTGCAAAACAAACTGGGGAGGTTTTAGAATTTATACCTGTTCTTTTGCATGCAACACTTTTTTTTTTCATTTTGTATCTTCCAGGGAAAACCTTCATTTACTGGAGGAGGGCCAAGGTCTTCCCCGAGAGGAACTGGATGAACGAATTGCTAGAGAGGAGTTCAGGAGACCACGGGAGTCACTGCTGAATATCTGCACTGAGTTTTACAAGCACTGTGGTCCAAGGCTGAAGATTTTGCAGAACCTGGCTGGAGAGCCCAGAGTCACCTCTCTGGAACTGCTGGATGTGAAGTCACATATGAGGTATTCCACAGGCTTTCTGCTTTTACTTGTTCATTTCAAGGCAATTCACTTCTTTTAGCTCTTAACTTTTCACAATAGCAAGATGACTGAATCACTGTCTGTTAGTGTAGGCTTGCATGTTGCTTTCTGAACCATGCATGCCTTGGATGTTCTTCAGATTGTACCTGATGCTGCTTGCATGTAAAAAGGGCTCATAAGCTCTCCTTTGGTCTTGTTTAGTTCCCCATCTCCAGTGGATGAAACAAAAGTGGAGGCCCATCTGATACATCAGAATAAGTTATGATGAGAAGCAGAGTAGATAAGGCTGCCTCTCTAGCATAAGGGATGAGGAAGTTGCCTATCTGGCTGAGTGGAGCTTTTATCTTCTCCTGGGACACTGTGCACCAAAATATTCTGCCAACAAATATAGAGAAGAGGAAAATGATCTCTGCACCATTTGGCGTAAATGCCTGGAATATGGGGGAGGATAGGTCAGAAGGCATTTGCAGAACCACCACCTCATTGTGTGGTAAAGCAGTAGCACAAAATTTTTTTAAAGGTACAGCAGTGAGCCCAGAAGGCTGGTTGGGTGCTCACTGTAGATTGTTTTGTGGCACAGTGGCCTAGAAGGAGCTGAGTGAAGGCTTCTAATAGTTTGGACCTCATTCTGTGCTAACTATGTGCTTGCTGTTCATGGTAACCATAAAACAGGGGTAATTTGCTACTGAGAAGTTTTGTCCAGGTACTAAAGGGGGGAAAAAAAAAAAAGGCAGTGAGACAAGAGGGAGTGGACCTGATTCTGTTGATAGTTCAGTCATCTTCAGGGGAAGTTCCGTTGCCTGATCTTTATACCTTTTTCACCAGAAAAGCCTTGTGAAGCAAGCTGAAGGGAGTCAAATGCTAGCAGTGCACGGAACCAGTTTTGTTCCTTGTTCCTTTGTCCCTCCAGACCAAGGAAACCCTTGAAAAAACATTCCTGCCTTTTACATTCATGCTCTGAAAACAAATGACAAAGACCCTTATCTAAAAGATTCTGTCATAGTTAGAGATCTATGTTTTGTATTAATTTAGGTCTTGTTTAGCAAATGCCCAAATTTGCGGGGGAGCTGGGAGGGAGGTATTCCTTTGGTTGGTTTGTGTATTTGCATATTAACTGAACATTGCTTTCCTTCCTCTGACAAATACTTAGTAATTTAGAGGGTAATTTTAAACAGGAGATATCTGGTACTGCAAATGCATGTCATTCCTGTGTAGTACTTACCTGCAAACAAACTGAAAATCTGATGGATCTGGATGTTTTTCAGTGTCAAATACTGCCAAATACACATCCGATGAATGAATTTTCTTTGTTTCATATTGTAAAGGGTTTGATTGGTTTTTTTCCATATTACATTACTATCCTACTCTTACATTTGCATCTAACACTCTGAGCGTACTAAGAGTACTACTTGGAAGTATTTGCTAGTTAACAGAAATGTAGGAACTTCATTTCTGTATTTTTTTCATAATCAACATAGATCAGGCTTAATTGCTCTTTAACAATTTTGTGTCCCTCTCTTAAAAGATGAGTTTCACAAACTTAAATGAACTTGTACAGAAGGTGCTATTGGTGTATTTTCTGGAAGGATACTTTCTTAACATGAAATTTCAGTAAAACAGTTACAGAACACATTAGTAGCTGCATTGTTTGCAAGAGGCAAGTTCTTTCAAGGTCAAAGGTTACAGCAGTAAAGCTAAGGGTTTGATTTGCAGATGATGACAATTTGTGCTCTGATTCTCTCATGTCTCCTGGAAAGTGCTGGAAATGACTGCCTTATTGTGGTGGAACAAGAATTGCTTTATCATAGTTCCTAAATAAAAGGAACATAATCCATTTTCTTACATAAATTCATTTTCTAAGTGTCAGTTAAATGACTAACAGGATTTAGCTGCTGAAGGAAACAATCTTTTCTAACCAGACAGCAGATTTACCAGAACATGATGTGACAGCTATAGTCATTGAAGGCTGTCAGATGCCATCTCAGAGTCTTCACAAAACCAAATAATAGGCTATTCACTTCAGACAGGGTTCATCTCACCCAACTTTAGCCATTTAAAAGTAAAATATTTAGTATGAAGAAATCATAAAGATCTTTTTGGACCCAATGAAAAGGGCTGTTTATCTCAGTACTTCAGAAAGATCAGCATTTCCCAGGTTGCTTATTTCTTCCTGAACAGAGCCAGAATACTAATTGAGAGTGGCATCTCAAGTTGAATGAGATGGATCTTACAATTCATGATGCATAAGAAAATTGAATATACCATTACATACTATTAATATTAATTTACTGGAAAGAAACATGATTATATGATTTGAATTTTGTAGCGTTTAAGAAAACAGATTTATCCATAGTAGCACAAGTTTGTTTAATTTAACAAACTCATTGCCTTTGATTTTGCTAGGTGGATTTTAAAGACAAGGGGAATATGTTCCATTAGTTGAAGGCCTTTCAGAAGAAACCCCACAATATAAGTAGGATTTATCCCATAATTGTCCACTACAAAATCTAGTGACAGTTCAAGGAACATGCATTTTTCTACCTCTTTTATTAGTAATTACAAGTAATATGGCTTTATTACTTGAGGGTTTCTGGTAGACAAAGGCAAGTATTTCAGTAGCTACTTGTCCAACTGCAAGTGGAAGTTAAATGTTGCCGTGGCATTTCACAGTCTACAGAAAGTGCCATTGGCAAGGCCATCTGGGAGGGTTAGCAGGAACAAGAACAACACAATCTGTGGGAATGTTAAGAGAAAAAAATCAAAGCTGCAGGGAGTAATCATACAAAGCACATGTTATGTAAACCTAGGGGATGCCGCTTCATTTTTAAAAATTAATACCTGAAAGTTCCACAGTGGAGCCTCTTGAAGTGTGGTGATGAAGAAAAATAAGCACAAAACCAATTTCAGTATTTTAATGTTACTAACAGCTCAATTACTTTGTTTTTATCAATGTAAGTGGTTCTTGATATATTCCTTCAGTGTATTTAATATCACCATAAAAATACATAGGCCTACATACTCTTTAGACAATTTATTTCTTTTTACTAGGTTAGCAATCGTTTATCATTGGCACGTGTGAAGAAATGCAAGTTGTAGAGCATTAGATTTCTCTTGTAACAAGCTCTGGTTTTAGATTGGCAGAAATTGCACATTCCCTGCTGAAATTGGCACCTTATGACACGCAGACGATGGAGAGTCGAGGTCTCCGGCGCTACATCATGGAGATGTTACCCATCACTGACTGGACAGCTGAGGCGGTGAGACCTGCCCTTATCCTCATCTTAAAGAGATTGGATCGTATGTTCAATAAAATTCACAAGATGCCTACTCTGAGGTAAGCTGGTATAATGGAAACCCTCTGGGGTCCATTTCTGATGTTGCAAGCCTTGAAGTGTGGGTATGTCATCTAACTGAAACTGTTGTATTGCTGTGAACCTTTACATTATATTAAAAAATGAAGAGTTTTTCCTCTGTAAGTGTGCATTTATGTTGACGTTTTTGTTGTGGCTTCTGATAAAAAGAAAAGAAACTTGTGGTTATCAAGAGCTACAGAGAGTACTTACAGAAATCTTATGTTCTCTTTCTCCAAAACACATCATCAGATTTGTACCGTCTGCCATCTATTTATTTTAGCTGTGAGTTTAGGAGATTATTTTTTTTTTTCTTTAATGAAAAGTTAACTGAACTCTAGCAAGAGTATTTCAAGAATACCTTCTCACAAAAATGCTGTTATATTCTCTGTAAAGATAAAAGTAGTCTGGAGCTATGCAGCAGCTTCTCAGTGAGCCTTCATAAAGGGAGCAGAACTGCAGCAATTGAGTCTAGTCAGTGACTTGTGAAAACCCGGTGCTTCATGAAGTAGTGTTGTGGTACAGGCCTTGCTGAGTTCAAGAAGTATTCAAAATTGAACATTTCCACCTCGTAGGCAGTGATATAAATGCAGTCTGGGTAATGTAAAATCTCTCAACCATGCAGATTTTCCAATGATTTTAGTGAAAAGAGCTCTTGGTCTCAGTTAACCTTGTGGACAAATGTCCTCAACTGCTTCCATCAGTCATTTTGTTAGCAATATGAACTGGGAAACCAAATTACATTAGAGAACATCAGAATCTGGAATTTAGACACAAAATTTCAGGTCCTTGTGGGAATCATGTGTACACAATTAAGATGGAGCAAATAATAAGAGGGTGATTTCTTCTTTCTTCTTTCTGGCATCACTACATATCACTTCCCTTTGGCCTATCTTGTTTTAGCAACTGCTGCCCTTGTGGGAAATTTAGAGCTGGAAATATTGATGCTTCTCCTTTCTGATGGTTTGATTCTTCAATAGGCCTTGACTGCTTCTTGCCATTTCTTTATGTTCTTCCCTATACTTTCTTCTGCTTCAAAAGGCAGCTTAAGGATCTTCCTTGTTCTTGAGTAACATTCCTTTTGTCTAAGTGAAATGAATGCTTATAAATTAAAATTCCCCTCATATTCCCTTCATCTGTTCTTGAACCTGTGCTTAGATGAAACTGTTATTCCATATGCACAGGGACAGAGACAGCAAAGCCACTTGACCAGATGCGTAACTACATTTAAGTATTATTAAGCATCATTTAAACAGGAAGCCTCTTGGAGAGGGAAAAGAAATCACATGTTGCTGGATGGCAGACCCTAGAAGCCTTCAATTAGGATATTTACACCAGAATCTTGCGTACTGTCTCCCGTGGGCACCCTGCTCCAAAGCCATAGTCTGATGGGAGTACTGTAAGAACATGTATGAAGACAAACTACTGTTCTAGAGTAGGTTTAGGAACAGTAGTTGCTGAAAAATGAGGTGTATATTTGCATACTTTAGAATTTAGACAGCAAACACTTCATCTTACTTTCATCTGTAGGAAGTCTGAGCAAACTTGACAAGGGTATTGCTTATTCTTGGGCAAACAAGTTATTCAAGCCTTGTCCTTCCGTTCCAGTAAGTACTCAGTTAGATACTGGCTTCAGAACTGCTCCACCTCTGAAGAGTCTGGCCCTGAGATGAAAGGTGGGAACCGCTTTGTTGTTATTTCTGATGTATCTGCTTATGGTTTGGAGGGACTCCATTCAGAATCTGTCACGAGTCCTAAAAGCTATTTTGAAGAAAATCGAATTGTCAGGGAAGGATTCCTGAAATGAAGGACTTGGGTGCTGGTAAGTTGTCCTACATGGAGTGAGGACAGTGAAGTCTGCACTGCTGGGCAACTCTCTCAGACTGGATAGCAGAGTAGTTTACAGAGGATATGCACAAGGTTTATTGAACATCCAAAAGCCAAGAGATGGAGAAATCGCTCTCAGCTGGGACTGAGAGTCCCAGCAGAAATCTTCCCTCACACAGGCACACCTGAGACAGCTGTCTGCTGAATCTCTTTCATCCCCGGTCATAGGGAGAAGTGAATCACAGCCTATCTACTGTTGTTGTTGTCAGGGCTTTTTTTGTTGCTGATGCAGACATCTCTGCTACATTTTGGTCTCTCAGACACTCAGTGTGCTCTGTGCTTTCCTGAGCTGCGTGGATAAAACCTTCTCTCTGTCGTGCACTTTGTGCTCATCTCGGGCATCGTTGCTGTCTGAAACGTTTCCTCTGTGGGCATCACTGTGTGTCGGTCACCATGTTTGCGAGCGTCTGGTGGGGGGCAGGAGGCCAGCGGCTAACAGCACCTACTATTGTATTGCAGGCGCCAGGTTGAGTGGGAGCCTGCCAGCAATTTGATTGAAGGGGTTTGTTTGACACTTCAGAGGCAGCCAATCATATCCTTCCTGCCTCACCTTAGGTCTCTGATCAATGTGTGTGTCAATCTGGTGAGTAGCCAAGCGGCAACCCTGTGAACCTTTTGCTAAACCTCAGTCTGCTGTTGTCTTCTCTGCACCGAAGATGAGAGTTCATTCCCATTCCTGTCATTTTACCTGTCCCCTTTATCCCTCGCAAGGGGACTTCGCAAGTGACACTAGAGATAGCAAGGTTCATTTTTGAAGTGGTGCATGGGGAGATACAGTGACCAGTAGCAGTGGTCAAGTGATTTCTTTCCGTTGCTTCCCACGCACCACTTTGAAGATCCACCTTTGCCAGATTGAGCTGAGAGTTGAGGGCTGCAAGTTGGAGAGTGGGGTGGTGGAGACTGCACACACCTGGTAGAGGTGGGGAGGGGCTGATCCTGGAGATACCTACCGTCTCCAGTGGGGAAGGACCCTGATGGCTCTGTCAGAGGCCATCAGGTGTCTGGCTAGTTAGAAGGATTTACGTGGGTGGGTTCACTTCACTATTTGCAATGTCCCTGGCTTGATCTAGTACAGGTTTGCATGGTACAATGTTCAGATCCCACTCTCAGTAGACATTTTGCTCATAAGTGTGTTACAACAGAGAGGTGATAGAGACAGAGCCTGTTTAGTCATTCAGTAATAGATTGTATTTTCTGCAGCTGTTACAGTGGGAAAGTCTCCATTTGATTTCAGTGTAATTCCAGCTATTTGTAGAAATGCACATGCTCACATTTCATGTGGAAAAAATACAGATAAAGGGGGAAAGGTGGCACTAGTATTGTTGTTGTTGGATTTAATAACATTTTCTTCTGAGAATACAGATGTTGGAACTTTATCTAGCAGTATCAGAAAACCTCTCTGAGAAGATTTAAGAACAGTTATCACTAGTTAAAATGCAGTATCGGTGTTTATGAAGGCTCCTGTCCTTCAAGCCTCTGCAGCACTCCTAACTGCAAGGACATGGAAGTTCAAGCTGTCAGAGTCCATGAGACTTCTTCCTTGTTCACACAGAGGTGGCTACTCAGAGGCACTGCAAATCTGGACTCTCAGGCTAATCAAAGTGGTTTCACAGGGAAGCTGCTACAGAGTTAGCTAGAATACAAATTTAGAATGGACTTATAGTTTGATAAGCAGACAATACGGAGTGAATCACAACAGCAAGCTCTCTAAAGAGCCTGCATTAGGAATGAGCCAGTGCTCTAAAAAAAGCAGAAAGATCTGCAGTGCTAAACTGCAGTCATAGAGCTTACATTCAGCTGGCTGGGAATGTCAGAGAGAGGTACCAGGAAAAGATGTATTCTTCATGTTAAGAGGATCTTACCATTAGTTGTCAGAACTACGGCTGCTATGGGAGCACCCCTTACTACATACTAATATTCATGTGCAGACCAATTACATCACAAAGCCAAAAAGAGATTAGCTGGGAAGATGGGAAAATACCTCAGTGATAATCCATAGTGACAAAAAGAAAGGGCTCTCCCATTCTAAATTGCCCTTTGGTTTTCAGGAAGAAAACTGGTTACTACCTTTCTCCCTAAGCCAAATTTGGAAAACTGGCTTCTGCCTGTTTCTGTCATCTACATTTATCTAGTCATGGAGAGAAACAGGCAGATGCAGACCTGTGATTTAATTTTTATGAGGAAAATATCCAAAACGATTCAAATAACTCTTCCCTTGAACTGTTGTTTTCTTGTGCTGATATTTCATAGGGTTGCAGACAACCGAGTCACATGCAAGTGCCAACTTTAGAAGTCTTGTGTCAAGTGAGGTGAATCATACTTAGAATCCATAAGAATAGTGTCTGTTTGAGGGGAATCTGAACATTGTACAAAACCCGTCTTGGGTCAGACTTAGGACATTTTTTTTCCAGTAGATCAGCAAGAGAAGGGAAAAAGATCCAGTTTCAATGCAGACTTTTTGCTTTGGTGACATATTTAATTTGTTACAGTTGTTACATGACGTATCCTCCAACTCAAACTGTTCCACCAGTCCAGTGCTGGTCATTCAGAGCTGGTACTGGGTACATTTGTAAATGTACCAAGCTACCTGTGCACTCCTCCCACCCTTGCTGGTTCCCTCTTCCCCTCTCCCTTTCCCTGCTAGAACTCCTCTTCACTGGCCCCATCTCCCACAAGGACCACTGTGGATGGCTGGTTCTCCTAGAGCCACCCCAACCCAGTGCTCGAATGGAAGGCCCCTCCATTTCACTGATGTTGGAGGATATGGCATGGATTAAACTGTAAGCAGTCAGTTGTGGTGATGTGCTCTGTTTGTATTGCAGGTGATGGGAGTGGTAGGACCCTCCAGTGTGGCTGACGGATTACCCCTTCTTCATCTCAGCCCTTATCTCTCGCCACCTCTGCCCTTCAGCACAGCTGTTGTCCGGCTTGTAGCATTGCAGATACAGGTGTGTCTGCCCTGGCCTGTGGCTAGGCGTGTTTTAGCTTCTGGTTGAGACACCAACTCATCGGTGCTCTGTTTTGTTTCTGCAAAAGCTGGGCAAAAACTGTGGAACATACACCAAAAATCAAAGAGAAGCAACATGTAGATTCTTCCATCATTTGAACTGAGCTCAGAATTGACCTGCTGGGGCCAGCTCCACAGCAAGCATCCATCAGCTTAACACTGCCAATTCATGTCCAGGGAGTTCGGCTGATTGATGCTGTTTAAAGCTCTGACAAGCATATTAGGATTCTCTGCAGTATCTAAGAAGCTAGCATAAGTCTTCTGCCATGGGGGAATGTGCCTGGGTCACGTCCATGCAACCAATCTCCTTTCTTGTTGGGTGCATGTGCGTAACTGAGAGGTAAGAGCTGGTCACAATGTGCCAGCTCAAAGAGGCAGGGCAACTTAGGCTTTTCAGCTGCTGATTCAATAACATCCTTGTACAGAATAACGAACCCATCCTGTACTTTTGGAGAAATTCATCACTATTCCTTTCTCATGACAGTGCTACAAGTATTACAGAATCTTTCTGCCCTCATATCTCTTTCTCCCTCCTCATTGGCATGAGATCAGATAGAGTGGAGACAGTGGCAGCAACAGAATGAAGAGTCAAATTTTTCATAATTTAGCTCCAACTTGCATTTTTAAATATGCATTGATACATCCAGTTGGATACTTCAGCAGCTATTTCTGAGAAGTGGGGCTGCTTGGGAAGGGTTAGAGGGATGAAAGCATAGTGCTGTCTCTTAGAGCACGAGGCACTTTTGGACTTTTTGATACCAGCTCACACAGAGCACAGATTTCTTCCGGCTCTGAGGTAATGGTTCGTTAATCAGAAGCAAAAAATGGCCACTCTCAACTTCTCTGAAATCTTTTATCTTTTTTTAAAAACAGATACCAGAATAGTCATTTTAAAACCATATTGGGAGTTTTCATTTTTATTATCTTCTCCTCCCTGTTCACTCCGTCTTTTAATGGGTTTTAAGTGGAATGAAAACCAAACAGCAGGAAAACACAGGAGAAGCTGTTTTCCTAACACTTCCAGTAGGTTATGAAACAGAAATACTTCACGTCCCACCAGAAAGCATTTTCTGGAATTTCTCAGCCCAGATCTGTAAATTTGAGGGGTTGCAAAGTTCAGTTGCATTTCACAGCTAGGACTATAGCAACTGGGAAGTTGTAAATGTAAATGAGCATAGGTTCTACTAGCAGTCATTTGTGTTACCTCCTGTAAAGAATATGAAGAATCTTTCATATTAGGCTTCAGTAAATGTGCATTTTGCTTATTTTTCAGGAGTTCATTCTTTACGTTAGGAAAGGTGGTAGAGCAGTGAAAGTGAGGCAGAACAAGCAATGTGTTTGGGAGTAACCTCCACGTTCAAACAGCAAAATATTTAGATATATCATTTGTGCTGTTTCCTCTGTTCATTTTTTGTTATTCCCCATAATCAGGGTCAAATTTTGGTCCCATTTGCAGCAGTACAGAGTTTGGAACTAACACCCAGCCAACTCCTGTGGTATGCCTCTGATATTGTTAATATCTGTGGGTAAGGAATCTGAGCTTCTTACCTCTTGGTTATGACAAGAGCAGGTGACACTTAGGCTATTCTGTGAAATCCTTTTACTCCTAAGTGGTGTCAGGGCTTCTAATTCAATCGGGTCATCAGTGCCCGTGTTGTGCTGTGTAAACAGGGTGCCTGGGGGACCGCCATTCCCTACAGTAACTTGTGTGAGTTATCTGCTGATGAAATCGTTTAATCCTTTCTTATTATTACTGCACAGGCTTTGAAAGAAGATTTCCCCCTAAGCCATGTCGTCTCCCCATTCACCAATCAGGAAAGAAGGGAAGGAATGCTTTTAAACCTACTGATTCCATTTGTGCTCACAGTAGGATCTGGAAGCAAAGGTCTGACTAATTTAACAAAAGGAGTTTTTCTCCCTTTTTCTGACAACTGATGTTTGCACTTTCCCTGCTCTCTGTTGATTTTTTTTTTTTTTTTTTTAACTTTTGGATTTGTTTTCTTTTTTTTGTTTGTTTTCTTTTTTTTTTTTTCCTGTCACTTACAGTGTGTCAGCTAAGTGCCCTTTGGGTCTGAGACTGGAAAGAGTTCCACAGGGGGAAGTTGTTTCTCCTCTTTGTTTCAGCTGTGCCGTGGTTCTTGGGTCAGGTCTTTCACAGACATGCTCCCTTTATGAAACCGGAGTGCAAGGCAAGACAAAGCTGTTGTAGCAAAAGCCAAAGGAGAGCAGAGGTCACAGAAATTGCCTGCCCCTGTGGATTGCCCAGTCCATGCCACTTGTCTGGCACAAGTCCTGCTCCTTGCTTTCTTCTATAGAGGGTGATCACTGGTAAATTCCCAAAGAAAAGCAAAGAAGAAAGGGAAGGGGGAAATAAAAAAAAGAAAATGAGATCATCAGACCACTGAATGGGACATTTAGTTGTGCTGTGTAACTCTGTGTTTGTGCGTATTGGTGTTGGTGTTAAATAAACTTTGCCTTTGCTTGCAGGAGGAGAAACAGCATAACAAGGTGTGGGGGACGGAGTTGTGGCTTAGGGGACAATTGAGATTGCCTCACATTTTGGAACGGAACAGGGTCTGGATCTTTGGACATCCTTGAGATGTAGCCTGATGTTTCTCTCTCTCTCTTTCCCCTTCCAATGCATCTCAGATAGCCCCTGGCTGGAGCAGCCTGAGGTCCTACTGCTGCTCCAGACTGTTATCAATATCCTTCTGCCACCTCGCATCATCAGCACATCCCGCAGCAAGAACTTTATGCTGGAGAGCTCCCCTGCCCACTGTTCCACCCCAGGGGATGCAGGGAAGGACCTGCGGCGGGAAGGGCTTGCAGAGTCCACCAGCCAGGCTGCCTACCTGGGTGAGTGATGGCTTCTGCTCACAGCTGGGAAAAGACAGAGATAAAATGGAGCATTCAAAACTGTAGGAACACCAAAGAAAACCATCTCAGGCAGGAGCTAATTAAGCTTTTAGAGCTGCTTTAGATCTTGCCCTGAAATAGGGGTCCATGCCAGAGCGTGAAGCCAGAAGTAACTCTGGGAAATACTGCAACGTGAGCGGTGTCTGCACTGCAGATGGGGGAGACTGCAGCACAGATAGATGCCACCCAGTTTTCATACTGACACGATATAGCCACAAAAGGCAAGTCAGCCTGCCTGCCATCCCCTTGTGTCACAGTTTCACTGTCCTGAGGTTAGCTGGGGTAAAATGTGATGCAGTCTGCCTGCCTGCTGGCCCTGTGCACACAGTCCTTGTTGACTGATATTCCCCCTGCTCACTATAAGCTGCTGGAAGGGAATACTACATTTTCCTCACACGTGACCCTCAGGTGAAAGGAAAGAAATAATAATTGAAACGGAGCTTCAGCTGCAGTATAGGTTATCAGAACTATATGGGAAGCCCTCCTTCTACACAGCTTCAGTGTCTGGTTTTGTGAGAACTCTTACCCAAAGACGTACTTTGGTCTTTGTTAACCTGTATCTGAGGTATGGGGTGCCATTGATGGAAAAACTGGCAATTCATCCCTGATTTAGCTCCCTGTCCCAGAAAATGTGCATACTGATGTGTGATGCCTTGGCAATCCCATCAAGAAAGATAGTACAGTCGGCCATTACCAGGCCTGCTCTTTGTTCCAAGGGATAGATTCCTTGTTTCTTCTGAGGTGTTGGTCACAGTCCTCTTTAATAAAGAATATTGTTCTGAGCCTCATCTCCTCTCTTCATCCCCTAATTGTAATGCAGTGCTCTTGTGAATTATGGCCCTTGGCTTACTGAACTGTTTTTTTTTTGTTGTTGTTTAGATTATAGTTTGGCTGTGGCTCAAACAGCTGCACTGCTAAAAAGATTCTTTTCATTACCCTGTAAATAACCTGGAGGTTATTGTGCTCTGAGGGTGGCCCTTCACATGGTTGTGCTTGATGGAGATTTTTGAGGTTTTCTGATCAGCCAAGGCTGTGTTCCCTTCCTGAGTTGCTTTCACAATACCTGGGTTCCAGGAAGATAAACTAATTACGTTAGAAGAACTCTGCAGGGAGGGAGAGAGAAAACTGGAGCAAGAAAACAAAGAGGAACTTGGGTGTGAAGTAGGAAAATTTCCTGTTGGTAAAACTGGAAGTGGGCCTGCCAGTCCTGATCTGTAGGCCCTTTATCCTAACAAAGTTATTCCTCTACACTGAAGTGTTTGCAGACAGAAAAGACACTTGTAATTCTAAGGTGTGTAGGTGTGCAGTTTCACATGTGTGTGTGCGTGCATGCTTGTGTTGGTTTGTGCCCTTTGTGGCCTTCCCCTTTTTTCCCTCAGTAATTGTAATGGACACCGATAACATCTCTGATTGCCCTTTGCTGTTGTGTGTTTTCCTGTAGCCTTGAAGGTGATCCTTGTTTGCTTTGAACGCCAACTGGACAGCCAGTGGTACTGGTTGAGCCTGCAAGTCAAAGAGATGGCGCTGAGGAAGGTGGGAGGGCTGGCCCTGTGGGACTTCCTCGACTTTATCGTGCGAACACGGATTCCTATCTTTGTGCTCCTTCGGCCCTTCATCCAGTGCAAGGTAACAGGTGCTTTAGCTCCTGCTAGATCACTCCCTGAAGGCAAGATACCCCTTATTACCCTGCTGAGAACTGAGGTAACAGCGTGCCGGGGAGAATTGGATGTTCATGTATGGGGAGTGACTTTTCAGAAGTATTGATGTGTTAGTAAGCACATGAACCCTTTGAAACTAAATCACAAAGCTTTTTGCTAGACTGCAACAAAGAGTATGCCAATCATACAGGAGCTCTGATCCAAGAAGCCATAGAGAGGACAGCTAGACTTAGTACTAGTGGGCTTGACCAAGAGGGTTTTCATGCGATAGACATGTGATAGACATAGTTTTGCGATAGATGCTCAAAAGTAGCATGGATGCTCTGAGCCCAGGCATGGCTGGTAGAAATTTTCTGAAAATGCTTTTCTGAAAAGAGTTGGGCAATGCAGCGAACAGCCAGGAAGCACCGTTCTGCTTTGCATTCTGCTTTGATGGTTCTGATGGGGCTCATGTGGAAGAAGAGACAGCTGCTGGGCTAAGGCAGCCAGGGCTTAAGCTAATCACAGCTCTTCTCTGCTTACCAGGTAGACTGGCACGTGGCACTCACCTTATTTAGCCGCCTCTCTCTCACCATTTGGACAGAATAAGTCATATTGCAGGCTGTAGCTGTGTAAAATCTGAGGGTAGATCTTATCATAAGGAAGCCCTGATCTCCATGTACCATTATTAAGTGAGATTTTGTGTCCGTTCAGTCAGATACAAGGTTGTCCCTGAAAGACAGGTGGAAACTTCTCATAGCTGCAGTCAAAACCTCGTGCCAGCAAAGCAGACAGTTTGCTGACTGCAGGCTTGTCTGGAGACCAGACCCAGTTCCCTGGGCATCATTCCCCTCCAATGCTAATATGTCACCGTGTTGTTCATGCCTTAGCTGCTGGCCCAACCGGCTGAGAACCATGAGGAGCTGACTGCAAGACAACACATTGCTGACCAGCTGGAGAGACGGTTCATACCACGACCTCTCTGCAAGAGCTCCCTCATTGCAGAGTTCAACAATGAGTTGAAGATCCTGAAGGAGGCAGTGCACAGTGGATCTGGTAAGGAGAGGACAGCCCAGTCTATCCAGGTGGTTCACCCAAAAATTAAATTGTGGCAGATCTGCCCACTGTCTAGGAGGAGGGTGAGATAATCCACTTGCATCCTGGCAGCTTTTCCCTCAATTAGGCCCCATGCCCAGCCCAGCCTTGCCATTGGACAGCCACTCAAAGTGCAGGGCAGCTGTGAAAGGCACTTTGTGCCCATTTTTTTTCCAATAAGACCATTTCTCAGCAGGTGTCTCTCCATCACAGCTGGCCTGCACAGCCCCATCACGCAACACAGCAAGACCTCATTTTCATCTCCATACATCTGGAGCAGCTCATGTAGAAACATATATCCATTGTTCAGCAGCAGTTCTGTCTCCTCTGCTCTACTCTTCATCTTGCTTTGATTTTCTCTACTGTTACCTGTGAGCTCACAGCATAAGGACGCATCTCTCCATCTCTCTCTCTCTCCACAAGGGGACGCTTTTGTAACAGTTACCCTTCCTGCCACGAGATGGCAGCCAGTGCTTACAGACAGCAATAGATTTTACGTGCTTTGTTCTAAAGAAAGGAAAAGAAATTTAAAAGAAAATGCCTCCAGCTTTTTTTTTCCTTGGTAGTAAGCTGCCTCGTTCCTCAATGTCGAAGCTGATCCAGAAAATATGTCAGTAAGGTTGAAGGAGAAAAACAGACTGCATAAGAGAAAAACAAACACACCATAGTAGAGGTTTGGGAGAGATGATGTGAGCCAGGGCAGCTGTGTCTGCTTTACCTCTGGCTCAGCCACTGTTGCACTGGTGGGAGCAGAGCCAGGTGTCCAATGTGACATGAGTGCATGGTTGTTTGTTGATTTCCAGTCCCACCTCTGACTTAGGTTTGGTTTTCTCACTTTTGCAGCATACCAAGGGAAGACATCTGTGAGCACTGTGGGCACCTCCACCTCCGCTTACCGCCTGAGTTTGGCCACCATGTCCCGTTCCAACACTGGCACTGGCACAGTCTGGGAGCAGGACAGCGAGCCTTCCCAGCAGGCCTCTCAGGACACACTGAGCCGTACAGATGAGGAAGATGAAGAAAGTATGTGGCTACTGGATGGAGCAAAGCTCTCATTACTGAAAGGGTTTCTTGAATGTTCCGGAAGACAGATGGGAGGGGAAGATAGTTGTCCCAGTGTGAACAAAAAGCATGTGGGTGTACAAGGCTAAGAAACTGTTGTGGTTGCTACATCATCCATGATGTTAGAGCTTGGGTCATTCTATACCTCCATATTTCCTCCTGAGCTCTGTGTAGAGAAAAGGAAGGGTACAGGCAGGCTTTTATTGTGTGAGACCTAGGCTGATGTGCAGTCCCCACATTGCTGATAAGGCATTTAGCAATCAGACCCCTCTTTGACCTTCATCTGACTGCGTACTTCCGGCTCATCACTTGTACCCAGATGCTCTGGCATGGGATATGTTGTCCTTGTGCTGCATGGGATCTAGCTGTGGCTCTGCAGGGTAGAATGTTTGTGTGCTTGTGTCACTTGATTCACAAAGAGGAAATTAAGTGTTAAACCTTCTGACAACAAAAGCCTGATATCTCTCTTTTGGGCAGCTGACAGGTTCTGGGGCTGCCAAGCTTTCTGATATCTGTTCAAAAGGAATGGAATGGTGAATTTTTTGGGGAGTGATTCGCAATGACCTCAGTGTTGCTTTGTCATTTCAGCTGAGTTTCATGTTATTCTTGGAATTTCTCCTCCTCTCTGCTTCTCTGAGCTGTCCATCTGCTTCTGAGTTGTCCATGACTGAAAACCAGGGTAGAAAAATCTGCTTCTATGTTGTCAGGCTTGAGCTTCCCCCTTCTTTGGCAGGGATGTTGTCTTCTGGTGCTACAGCGGTTGGTTGCCATAATGCCTTGAAACTCAAGCACTTTGCTTTTTTATTGGAGGACTGCTGATTTTTCCCGAAAGATGTTAAGCAAAAGGGAAAAACAGTGGCTCAAAAAAAAAAAAAAAAAAAAAAAGCCAGTGCAGTTATGGCAGAATTGCCTTTGGAGAAAGAGCTCCTAGCCTGAAACTTCTCAGGCTCAGCTCAATTTTATTTTAGATGGGCTCATTACTAACCATTGCACAATCCACCTGTGTGGATACCATTGTGCTGCCCATACATTGCTCTGTTACACAGTGACAAACACTGTTTTCAGCCTCAGAATAGTTGTGAGCTGCTGTGTGGAATGGGGAATGCTATCTTCCTGTTTGCTGTTACCTCAGCTCTGCTTTGGTTTAAGGCTGCCATATAGTATTTCAATAAATCAGAATTGGACAAGGTCAAAAAGAAAAGAGAAAATGACACCAAACCTCCCCTGTGTTTTGTTTATTTATAATTAGAAGTTGTTGTGGTAAAAACCACAACAGAGTCATTTATTTCCAGATACTTTATGTAATTTGAAACAGCACTGAAAATCTCAAGCAGCCCTGAATGCAATCCAACTGTCTGCATAGCTCAGCTGCAGTATGATGTGCTTGAGTCAATTTATCCAATTTTTTGGTGACATTTAAAATGCATGTCCCAAGGGGTGTTAAGGGCTGTCAGCCCTGCATTTTGCTTTGTTATGTGTTTTATAAGAGTGCTTTGCAATACTGGTAGCAGCCATTTATTCCTACTGTAACATGGCCAGTTACAACATTTATGACAAAAATTGACTGAACAATTTTTTAATCACAGGATTAAGCTTTAAGGAAACAGAATTCTCAAAACACATTTTCCTGAAAGCTGTATAAGCTGAAGGCAGACATAAATCCCTGCCCCATGTACTCTGTGTTCCTCATCCTGCAGGGTTTTATGCCTGTGTCTTTCTGAACCATGATTGTAAAATCCAATGGAAATATTCAAAATTGCATACTTAGGAACTTGGTAAGTAAGTGCTGGGTACACCACTGACATCCTATTATCATTTGACAAGTGTAAATGCAGAGGCGGTGTTTGGGGGAGTTGTTTTCTTTCCTTTCTTGTTCTTTTTTCTTTTTTATCTTTCTTTCTAGATGACTCCTTGAGCATGCCCAGTGTGGTAAGTGAACAAGAAGCATACCTTATGGGTGCCATTGGGAGGAGGAGATTCTCCAGCCATCTCTCCAGCATGTCTGCACCTCAGGCTGAGGTGGGCATGTTGCCCAGCCAAAGGTAACAATGTGAGCTTTTCACCTTTCCCATTATATTAATGAGAGCAGAAGTGGTGCAGACATATTATGTGTAACTCAGGGATTTAAGACAGGAGAATCATCACCTGCATAGTGATGATACATTTATTCATCCTGAAATAGCATTGGACCAAGGATGCTGGTTTGGAAATAATGATTATCCAGGATAATTTGTGTTGTATAAGTTCAAGAAGAACAAGCTGTCATCTCTAGAAACCTTCCATTTAAGCAGTTTTGGTAATTTCCAGCAGTTATTTCCCTCTGCTACTACAGTAGATAGCAAAAATAGAAGATGTGATTCTGGGTTCTGCACTGAACTACAGCGCTATACACAATCTGTATAGGTGGTGGGGAGGAATCCCCAGAGCTGGACAGGAACAGAGGTAGCCTGTTTTACTTACTCTGTTTTCTTCCATCCAGACATTATCCTTTCTAGGATAGCAACTATCTCATGTCAGACACTGAATGTCAAGCTCAAAGATGAGATTTAACACTGTTTAAAATCAGAAATGTTCTTGCTGATGAGAATACCCCTGAATGCCTTATTCCTGGTTAACATGGAGTGGTGAGAAAGAGAGAAAATTGGGAAATGTGCATCTGTAGAAAGCGTTGAGAGGAGTTTTGCATTTAAATGTGACTATGTTGTTCTAAGTAAATAATACTTATTGTTCTCTTTTTCTGTGTCATAGTTATCTAAAGATATCTTTCAGTGGATAGATTAATTTATGCTACTTCCTTTGAACCTCTAAACAGTAAATTCTGCATTCTCTTGACCACCCTTAGAAAGTCAAATAATAATGTTCCCTCCCAGTCTTGCTTGGAAGCAAAGAAATAACCTTGATACATGAAGGAGAAGTAACAGCTGTGGTACATACCAGCAGAGATAGGAGAGGTGATTTACAGGAGAGGAATTGCACAGATTTTATCTGGGATTTTTCACAAATGGGCTTATAGAAAATTGTTTGACTTTTGAACCCAATTGATTCAAGCCCTTTGTTTCTTAAAAAATTAAAGTGTAGGACTGCATTGTCCCCAGTCCTTCATGACAATCCTGAATGTATAAACTTCATAAGAGTCACAGCTGACTGGCAGCAATGTTTGCTTTGTGCAATCCCAAGTCATGGTGATTCTGAGGAAAAAAAAAGGAAGACTTCAGTTACCAGTGAGCTTTATTCTCTACCTTTTGGTGTGCATGGTATGCTAGGAGAATCATTTTTCATCTGTAGAGGGAAAGTACAAGCTCAGCAAGTACAGCCATAGCCCACAGTATCATGCCCTTTTTAGTTAGAGGTGGTCTCTGGGCTTTCAGACTGCCTCACAAATTAAACTAATTAATGCTAAGTAATATTATTATTGCTTTCCTGCTGGTAACCCAGCAGATTGCTTTTTTTCTTTCATGTTTTCCTGATGGGCAGAGAAGGCTGCTTGTCCAAGAATGGCTGAAGTGTAGAAAAGCGATGCAATTGCATACTGGTTTGCCAGGATCACTCCAGCTGTTTACTTACAGGTTCATTGCACTACAAGATCTTGCTTTCCAGATGTTTGTCCATAGAGTTGTACCTGAATAAGAGTGGTCTGTAGCTCCTGGGAGACAGATTAGCCTTTCCTTTCACCCAGAAGAACTGGCTCGTGGGGAAGGGGGGAAAAAAAAAAAAAGCTTTCTATGAAGCTGGAAGTAAATAGAACAAAAATAAATGAAAATACCACAGAAAAATGGCTTTGAAAATAGTTCCATACCTTATTACCAGTGGAAACACATCCTTTTGAATCCCTCAGCTCCTTGATTCACGCCCAAGATGTAGAAGTCTCCATGTAGCGTAAACTCCCTCTAAAGGCTGCTCCTGTTATCAGATGTTCTTCCAGCTCCTCTGAGTCATATATGTGCTGCTGAGCGTGCGAGACCAATTAATGTTACCGTCCTTTTTTATTTTTTTATTCCGTTGATATTTTTTCCCTTGAAAACAGAGACAATCGCATGCTTTTTTTGCATTTTCTTTCCCTAAATTTTTAATCTCCCTGCCCCTCCTGCAGTGAACCTAATGTCCTCGATGACTCCCCGAGCCTGGCCACTGAGGGCAGCCTCTCTAGGTACAGTGTTAACACTACCTGTCTGTCAGTGTGTGTGCTGGGAAACAGACTGTTTCCAACCTTTGTCTCTTCCCCTCACTTTTTGTTGCTCTTCCATCTCTGTCTCTTGTGGCTCATTGATATTCAGGCCTGCGAGTCAAAGGTGTAGCAAATCACCTTCAGTTTTCAGCTTTGATTGCCAATACTTTGAGGAAGCTAAGGGGAAGGAGAAATGGCAAGTGAAATAGTGATCTGTCTGGCTAGCATGGGGATTTCCCCTTATTTAGCAATTGTGTGAAAGGCATGAGAAAGATTATCCACAAGGCATTAGCTGTAGCCTGTTATAAGTATTAGTCTGGAGGCTCATATAGAACAGAGACATCTGTTTTTCCATTCATCTCACAATGCTGTCACCACAAAATATTTAATACTAATATCAAGCTGTGTTCTTTAACATTCACTAATAAGACTAATTACAATAACTCCTGTGGAACTGAGTTCTCTGTGGATGCTCTACAGTAATTCTCAATATTTTTGCACTTCTCAAATGGTGGTTTTAGAAAGCTTTGCAGGCGAACACTATTATTCCATATGTAAAATTGCCACATCTGAGCTGGAGTTTGGGCCAAGCTGTTCAGCATTTCCTGTGGATAGAGGAATTTGTGTGCAAGCACTGATAGGGCCGTGCCTGTCAAATGCATCAGGAGAGAGCCTAGAAGGGAGGTCTGCACCTTTAAGACCCACCTTGGCTGTACTAGTCATCCTTACAGTCTCTGCTCACGCCTCTCAGCCCGTCCTCACAAGGTCAGGGAGCTCTCATGAGGCCCAAGAGCACCTCTCTTTCTTTCCAGAAGAACAAGACCCCTTACATTGGCTGCAGAGTAGAAAACACACTACTTCATTACTTGGCTGCACCAGCTGAAGATGTAGATGCACTGAGAGGCATTTGTGTGAACAGCTTTCATTTTGTTACTTAGATTTTACATGCCAGTAGTTGCTTTTTGGGGTGGGGACAGGCTGCTCTATTCATTTGTTCGTTCTTCTCGGGTGACAAGTGGAGAGTTTATCATTGGTTGTGTCACTAAGATCATCCTATGATTCACGCTGTTCTTTGTGTACTTGAATCCTGCTTTGGCAGATTGGCTTTTAAATGGTGCCACTCTAGGAACAGCATTAGGAAAAGACATCAGCTTGTCGGCAGAGGCAGGAAAGCGGTAATCTGTTTCCATGTTACAGCAAAATTGATTGCGTGTTCATCTGAGCTAGTTTTGGGGCTTAAAACAAAGTGATTCAACCAAAGAAGCTAAGGGCTATCTCAGATGTAGAACTAAAAGCTCATCCCAGTTGAGGAAGATGAGAAAAGAAGGTCCATATCTGAGTTGAAGCTATCATGTCCTGATACCAGGCTGTATCAGTGTTGAGTTTGAAATGTTTTGATCTTTTTAAGTGGGAGCCACTTCTAATAATGGTGACTGGGCCGAGCAATGTGAGACAACTAAATCAACAGATGAGTTCAAAAGCAGTAATTTACTTTAAACCCTGAAATATAATCAACTGTACAGTGGGTTCTTAGTAATTTGTCACACCAGATCTTGCTGGACACTGTATCTTCCACCCTGCTCTGTGATACAGGGCTTTTCTTGGATAAAGAGCTTAACAGATGTATTTAGGAGTCATTTCAGTAGAGGTTATTATTTATTTCAAGGAGCAGGCATCAGGGTTGCAAAACCTTAGAAATAAAGAGGACAAGGAAATACTGCAAGCTCATATGAAAAAGCTAGATTACATTTCTGTGAGCAAGAGAAGTCATTTCAAATGCACTGTTAAATTTGCAAATTGGATTCCTCCTCTAAAGCACAGAAGTAATGAAGCAGACAGTGTAGGAGATTATTGTGCTATGGGGATCACAGGATAGAATAAATGTGTTTTTACATTTAGGAACATTAGCTTTGAATAAAGTAGGCTTCAGTTTTTCTCACATAACTTTGATTGGAACACAGTGACAACTGTTGAGGATTGCCTTCTGAATTTAAGACCCAAATTTAATCGTAACTGACACAAAGAAATAAATCACATCGACATTAAACCCTTATAGAGAGTAGGTGTTTTAAATAAATTAAATAAATAGTGAGGAATAGAAGAACGAGTAGAGTCTTCCCCTTTGTTCTATAACAGTTATAGCCAGCTATGCAGAATAGCAGGGAAGACAGGAAGGGAATGGCATTTAAGTGCTCAGAAGTAAACAGATAGCATGGGCTGCAGGGCTGAGGAACGTTTGCACCCAGCATCATGAACCGTTGTGTTTGTAATCAGAGGAGAGCACATTTCCCCAGGTTCAGGAAAGGAAGAAAAATGAGAATTCACTGTAATGGAAATCCATTGCACAAAGGCATTGTCTGTTAATGTTTATAGCTATGCCTACCCTACCTTCATGGTACCTGACAGGGAAGATCAGAGCAAATCCATATTGTCAGGGCAAGCATAGCAAATCTAACACCAGCACCATGTGTCTGGGAATACAGGAGCTGGAGTTTATCTACATTTTCCATTGGTGTTTGTCCACTAACCCTCCTCACTCAGATGTCTTTTAGTGTGTAAATCCTACCGCAGTGGCTTGGCAAGCATGTACACCTTTTTAACAGACCTTTAAACTCCTTGCATCCTTTGTTTAGTTTTCCTCTTTTATCTTTTTTTTTTTTTTTGGCTGCATGGTTTCTTGTAATTTATGAACATCACTTATTAATTACCAGTGTGACGAAGTTTGTCTTAACCCCCACTGTGTGACTGGCTGTCATTTCTTGCAGTGCTGGTGGCACACTTCCATGAAGCTGGGTTTGTCTGATCTTTTGCTCACCTGTCTCTGCCATAACTATGAAATGGAAGTAACATTACTGCAAGGATAAAAACTCTGACAGAGTTACTCAGGGAGTGACAGAGCATCTTTGTGATGGGCAGGAAATTTTTCTGTTTTGTTATTCCCAAATAAATCTGACGTATGTCATGCAGCAAAACCTTTCTTATTGATCACGTTTCCACAGGAGGGAAAGGTACTGTCAGCTGAAACGCCATTTGATGTAGTGTTCTTTGATTGGGTCCCACAGGCTGCCTGAAAAACAGTGTGCTCCTGGTCAGGTCTGGTAAACAAGGAGAGACAGGAGAGGACGGAAGGCTGACGCAGAGTCAACAATCTGTCTGCCACGTTCATTTTCATGGAAATACGATCAGCAGAGCTTGCTTTGATGTGAAAACAGACTCACACAAAGTGAAAAGCTGTATCTGAAATTTCAGCCGCTCATGTGAAATTTGTGGTCTTTATGACTCTCCTTCTCCCTCCCTTCTCTTCCCTTCTTCAAAATTCGGGGACAAAAGGCAAAAAGGCAGAGCCACATCAGGACTGTGCTGTGCACAGACAGCTCTGCAAAACTGTGCTGCTCTCCAATCCAGCATTTGCCTGCAATAATTATCTGCAATTTCAGCTCATAAGATCATCCTGAATTATGTCAATTACTGTAATGATTCAGTACTGGAAATAAACATACACCAGCACTAAACTCATTTCACTTATGATTTTAGCTAGGCTGAAAATCCCAGACTCTAGCAGGAAGACAAGAAATCCAGCCTTTCTGTTGCTCACCTCTCTATTGTCTGTCTTCACTGCACAGATTACTCCATGGGTGTCTTTTTTTTCTTTATGTGTAACCTCTGTGCCTTCACGTGGTCCACGTGTTCTCTTTATCTAATGACCTTTTCAAAGTAGTTTCATGATGCACGTGAAGTGAGTTTGTCTCACCACTATAAACAGTGTTTTGTACTGTATAAGACTGTAGTCTTCCTGCTACAGACAAGTATGTCTCCTCACTCATCTAACTTAAGAGCTGCTGCTCCTTCATCAGACATTTTAACAGTGCTAGTCCAATAGAAAAAAATTCTTTCAAGGCCTTCTCCAGCCAATTCTTATTTAAGTCCCATACTGGCAATTACCCTTAAAACTTCTTAAAAGTCAGTGGAATAAGGTTTTGTGTAACTCTAGAAGCAGAAGATTAGGAAATTTCTACAAGCTGTACATTTTGATAGTCTGGAGCACAAATCAAAAGGCCCATTTAAGTGTAGTCTCTTTGCTTTAGTAAGGACAAGAACACAGTTCTGCTCACAGGAAGTAACTGAGGACTCTGCTTATTCATACGCAGGTGTTTGCATGTTGTTTAGGATGTTTTTGTATGTAAATCATGTCAATACCCTATGTAAAAGCTGGAAAATATGTTCCAGAGGCTGGTGATCTCATTTGGAGGAGCTGTCTGAGGGAGAAAAGGACTCAAATATATCTTTGTTTGTTCTGGCTTTGAGCTTGCAGAAGCTTTTCCTTTTTTCCAAACCAGCACAGCTGTGGTAAGATTGCCACAGGCATGGCTAGGATTATGACGTTGTGGTCAGACAATGAGAAGAGAAACAGCCTCAGGGACTGAAGGTAGTGTCTCTCTCGTGAAGTTGCCAGCTGTCTCACCACAAAGCTTTTGGAAATGCATACAGTTTAGTGCAAAGTCTGGCTTCGGTTTAAACTGATAAGGGAGCAAGGAAGAGGACTTTCAGCTCAGTTAACCAGACTTTGACCTGAAGCAGCTGGAAAGCTCACATGTTCCGTTCTACCAAACTTACAGAGAGCAGTGACTTCTGCCAAAGGGAGCAGTGAGCTGTTTAGGAGACAGAACTTCTTAAGCCTCTCCACAGACACCCTCCATGTCTTGTCTGACCACGTCAAACCTTAGTTTTGTCTTCTTCCTTTGCTCACATTAGGTCAGATAGTGAACCTTTACTCTGTTGGTGGTACTGAGCTCCTCTAGGGAAGATCCAAGGAAAACATGTAGAGAAAAGAATGTTGCTTTTCTTTAGATTAAGCCAGGCCAAAAGCAAAACAGATAAGCAAAACGGATTCTAATACCAAATCTTCTACAGTGCACACCAGCTATAGCTGGAGGTTGCTTAAATAGGACGTGTGGCTCAGTGGATTCCAGCCTCTCCCAAATAGGAAGCTGCCTTATTTAAAGAAAGCCCATCTAAATGTTAGTTGCTATTGTAACCATATGTCTTTCAGACATAGTTCATTCAGCTATTATGTTTTGTGACCACTGCCTGCTAAATGACCAACTTTTAATTGTTGGGAAGAATACAGTACTTGATAAAAATGAGGGGCGGGCGGTATTTTTATAGGAAGTAGATTTAATGATCAGTTGAATAGTAGAATGAGATGGTATGTAGCTGAGTCTGTTTTATTGCTAAAGATTGTTTTGTGCCAAGATATTAAAAACTAAAAATGTGCGCTTCTATGTATATATGAATTTTATGTTCACTTGTATTTTTCATCTGTTAGCCACAGAGACTCAAGGCTGCAAGTGTTGAGTGTGGGGCCTTGTTCACATAACTCATGCATCCATTATGTGAATAGATCCTTTGTCACTTTGTGTTTGTTTTTTGTTTGTTGACTTAAATTGAAATTAAAACCAGATGACAAAATTGTGATGAGGCTGTGGAGTCCCTTTGGGAGAAAAAAAAAAAAAAAAAAGCTTTTACAACATTGTCCATGGAAAAAAATGAAAAGCAAACAAGGTTTTAGAACTAGGAAGCTGATATTCTTGCCTTTGTTGACGAAGCCCATGTGGCAAAGGATGCAGAGAAGTGAGTGTTGCTCAGTGGGATGCATCAATCAATGACTGAAAACTGAAATTTGCAGTTATTTATAGTTGGATGCTACCTGTGCGTGGCCAAGTCCTGAATGCCATGACTCCACCTCCCACCCTCTCCTAAGCCTTGGAAGCCAAAACCCGACAGACACGTTCCCACCATCCTTCAAAGACAGTATGTGCTCTTTGAAGTGACCGTGCCATTAGTGGTTGATCTATCTATTTATTTATTTTAGTCACAATTGCCAGGATTCCTGCTAGTTATACAAGTTGCTTCTGTGCTTGACCTAATGCTGTCGATATCCAACAGGGTGGCAAGCGTGCAAAGTGAGCCAGGGCAGCAGAACCTCCTTCTGCAGCAACCCCTGGGGCGGAAGAGGGGTCTACGGCAGGTGAGTGAACAGGCCTTGGTTGTTTTTTCTAGTCTGTATCTGTTCTGAAATGATTTCTGGATGTGACATGTCCCTTTTACATAATTTGTGATACTCGAGTTAGCAAGTACTGCAAATCTGTAGCTGTGAGACCTGACAAACCCTCCAAAAGAAGCCGTACTTTGTGTTGAACTCTCTGAATCTTTCCTCTGCGGGTTTTTGTTGCTTTTACTGGTTGGTTAGTTTGTTTTCAAACTCAAAGGATGTTACCCAAAGTGCACTGATTGCATTTGATAGCGAAACTGAAAAGATAAACCACAGAAGTTTTAATATGAAGGGGATGTCTGAGACATAGAAACATTAAAGTATGTATCTGTATCCTTCCTGCAGGGGTTGTGTGTTATATGAACACACCTCACCCTAACATGGCTCTTTCTTCCAATATCTAGCTTCGACGACCACTGCTGTCACGTCAGAAAACTCAGACTGAACCTCGTAGCCGCCACGGAGCTCGACTTTCAACCACTCGACGGAGCATCCAGCCAAAACCAAAACCAAGTGGTAGGGCTGTACTGCATGTTCAGAACCAGCACTTCATATTCTAAAGTGGAAAATACTTGGTTGTTGCTCTAGATCAGAGGAAAAGTTAGTATATTTGAAGGGTATGTAAGCTGTTTTCAGCTACTTTGTGGAAATAAGGTGCCATTGTTAACTAGTTTATGTTCAATTCCATTTAGTAAGGGCTGGGAAATGTTACTAGAGTGAAGCATCACCAGGTTTATTCTTTTTTTTTAGCAAGTGGATTATCCTATCAGCTATGGTTGAATGGTTTCTCTAAAAGCCAGCAAGGTGAAGCTGGACTAGACAATGATCACGTTTCTTAAAGCTGTGGAGAATTTAGGGTACAGGTGTCCTTCATTCCTTGTCCAAAACCTCCAGATGTGCCTATTCTGAAGATGCTAGTGAGAGTGGAAGAAAAAAAATTTCCACCATTTGGAAGCTTTGCAGTTCAGAGTTTTAAGGGCTGTATATGAAAATGAATACGAGTCAGCGCTGTCAAGCAGAACATGTAGCTGCATTCTGCACATCTGAAGTAAGCAGTTAACTTTGGAGTAAACACCTGGAAGAGCAAAGGTTTATTGAGAACTTCCTGGGTTTCTAATTGCTTAGCCAGGACTGCTGGGCTAACAGTACTGTGGAGATGTTTGGAACATAAAACTTTAATGGAATAACAAAGGGTGAGAGCAAGGTTATTAGTTTCATGGTTGAGTTTTAGTCCAGGTAGTGGACTTAGTGAGTGGCAGGAATGAGAGGCAGTCAGCTCCTCGCTTTCTTTTTTCAAATTTCCTGCAACTTCCTTTTATATTTACGCCCTAGCCTTCCTTTCCCTTACATGGGAATCCAATACACTACATTCAGGGATGGAAAGATGTTTTGGGTGGCTCATTGAGCCATGACAAAGACAGGTAGGGTCAGTAGTCTTCAGGAGAACCATGACTCTTGCTATGGCTGCAGAGGAAGCCTATGAATTGGATGCCATTTAGACAGCTTATAAAGATGGAATGAATGAGGAATCCTATCTTGCTTGTAAAAATGCTAGGGATGCTGTCTGCTTTTGTTCTGTTTTCCTTCCCAAATTACAGTATCTTAATATTCAATTTTCTGGGCTTTGCACCTCTCAGCGGAGCAGAAGCGTTCGGTGACTTTCACTGAAGCCCAGCCGGAGGCAACACCACCATCCCCAGCCAAATCCCCAGGTTCAGCTGCCCAGCAGCAGGGCTGCAGCCACAGCAGCCCTCAGGAGAGCAGCAAGCAGGAAGCACCAAGTAAACCTGTGCTGACGTCCTCACCTGCCGTCGTTGTAGCTGATCTCCATAGCCAGACCACTGGCCAGGTAGCATATCCAACGATTTTATCGTGTGTGTCTGCCTGCTGCTTCATCTCAGCCTCAACAACTTAAGTTGCAGGGCAGATAGATATAGCTGTACTACAGCAGTATGATGAAAACCTGCTAATGAGTAAAGACTGTCTTTTTTTTTAGGCTGAATTTTATCAACCCCTCACCTCTCGACCTTTGCAACGATTCTTAGTTTGCAAATCCCTGCTTCTTCTCTTTACATCTTGCCATCAGACCCACAAGTCCTTGTGGACTGTGTGAGATTTTGACTGGTTCCTCATTTTATGAGCAGTGAGTCCTTCAGGAAGGATTCCTGCAAAAACTCAGGGGGGTTGTGTCGACAGCATCATGTTTCCAAAGGAGCTGCTTAGCTCAACCTTTCTGTGTTGGACACCACTGAGCACAGTGCAGATAATCATGATCACCATTTCAACACGCTGAGACTGCACTGTGACACTGAGATCTTTACACACCCAGACATCTCACATCTTTTGGGTGCATGGCCTTTGCCATGAATGAATATAAGAAGCTCTTGTTGAAAATATACTAAACAATGAAATGGCAAAGAGTTAAAAACTGAAAGCAGGCAACTTTTCTGGTTATTGCAGATAACAATATTACAAATTTGATTCACCAGCAAAAATTGTGAGGGTAGAACATTATGGACTTAAAATCTGCAATTACCTGACCCCTTAATGGCAAAACAGTAGTTCAGAATAAGAAAATATTTCACAAATGTTCCCTTGCTTTTTTTTCCTGCCCTCTCCCTCTTTCTCTGAGCCTAACCACTGGCTCTCCTCTCCTGCAGAGCGAGGCACTTTCTGCTGAGGAGAAAGAGGAGAGCGTGGAGTCCCGGCCAGCCACAGCACAAAGCACACCACCCACACAGCTCTCTGACACCGAGGACTATGCTGGCCTCGAGACCACCAGCTTGCTGCAGCACGGGGACACAGTCCTTCACATCAGTGAGGACAACGGGATGGAAAACCCCTTGCTGGCCACTCACTTCAGCTTCACACATGTGGAGCTTGGGGAGACGGACGTCGACCTGGATGAATCTCATGTTTAACTCTTGGGGAGGTACAGGAGTGGCAGGAGGAAGAGAAAACTGTACCTTCTCCTTTGAGTTCCCCGGTAACTAGTAACTAATTAAGAGCACTTTATTATCCAGAAGCAGAATAGAGCTAACAGCCTGTTGCTATAGACTGGCAAATTTCTGTATGAGGAATCTATTTATATCCAGGGCAAGACTGTAGGAGCAGAGAATTTGTACAAAATTCTCAGGGTATGGGTGTGTGGGCAAATGTGTGTGGTCTACAAAGCCCTGATGTGGCAGCCGTGCACTGTGATAGGCAGCCTCTCTGGGTAAGCAGGCTGAGGTACTGTGCAAGGAAAGAGAGTGAGAGACCTCTTTGGAGATTTATTTTTGTAGCTGTGTTGAGAAGAGGGCTGGTTATGCAGTAGCTGGATGCCAGGCTTTTACAGCTTAGTACCAACAGTGAAAACACTGACAAAAAGTACCAATCTAAAGCTTGACTTTTACGAGCCTGGGACCATTGTTTCTTACTTGCAGAGCAATGATAAGCACCGTGGAGCAATTAAACATTTTTGTTTCCTTTTTAATTTTTTTGGCACTGCAGACTTTAGTTGAGTTTACTTTTATCTGTTGGTGTCATTCCACTCTGTAAGATGCTGCCCTCCTGCTACAAAAATATTTGCTCTGTAAAACTAAATACAGTGCATACCATACAAAGGAATGCACGTGCTGTGCACAGAGAGAGATGGACAGGGGGTGAGTGGTCTGCAGATGGTATACATACTCCACGCTGTCCTGCTTTTGTGTACTGGGTGATACACAGCTTAAAAAGAAAACCACCTAGGGAACCACATCAGGAATGCGTGGACCTTTTGGTACCTTGCAGCTCCTCCACTGATGCTGTCTTACGTACTTAGATATAGGGATTTAAAGTAAATATTTATATATGGTATTTTCGTGTTCCTTATAGATGCAAACATACAAATATATATGTACTTTGCAAACAAAAGATGGATATTGCAGGGCAGAAACTTATGAAAGAATCTATTTTTGGCATGCTGAGATTCTATTTAAAAAGGTTCCATTTTATGTGTGTAACATTGATGGCTGCAAGTGCGAGATATGTTTGTATTGTATGTCTGTAGCAGAATTACTGGGACATGTGAATGTAGCCATTAGCTGCTTAGGGACAAACTGCAAACCAGCTGTGAATCAAGCCATGAAATCATAAGCAGTGCCCAAAGTCACCCTGTGCTTTGGGACTCCCATGCAGCCTTTTCCAGTGTCTGTGAGAAGGACTAGTTACTGCGGTTTGTGACTGTGGTGTTATTGTGCAGAGAAAAATGCTTCAGATCACTGTGAGAGTTTGCAAAATGTGCTCATTACCAGTTTGGCCCCTGGGGCTTGTAATTTGAACGTGTGCGTCATAAAGCAGCCTGACTGTGAAGATGGAGCGATATCCTCTCCATCTCCAAGGCAAGGACTCGTGTCTCTTGCCAGCATCTCCCTGGGAGCTGTTGAAATACCGCACTACAAACGCTTGTCTCACTGCTGTGGTGCAGCGTGCACATTTTACTGCGTTGTGAAGAACGATGTGCACACGTGGCAGCAGCAGGTTGCAGTCGTGTTCCAACCCGTGCAGCCCTGGGCCGTGCTGCCCGGCGTCTGCCAAAGGCTCACATTTGATGGGAGCTGTCAGGAGGGATTCTGTGCGCATCCAACTCCTGCAGCTGACAGCAAAAGCCATCCCAAGCGCAGGGGCACTGAGCACATGCTGCTTCCACTGCACGGGGGGCAAACTGTATCTCTTTATTAATCTGTCTGTCCATCCATCTGTAGGTGGTGCACTAATGCAGCTTTAAAGCTTACGTGGTTTGTAAGGGAGATGATGGGGTGGCAGCCTTAGAGCTGCTGCTCATTGGGCATCCCGAATGACAGGTGCTTGCTTTGCTGACCACACTGTGCTCTGCCCTTCTTATCTCCTCAGCATGCTGCAGCCAGCACCAGCCTCCTGTAGCAGAGCGCTCTGCATCAGCTCCTAGCTCAAATGCCAGTTGTAGAAGTGTTACTGCTAACAGTGATGCACAAGTGAGAGAAAACATAGCCTCACTTTGACAGCCCCAGGTAGGCTGGGTGCAAGTGGGCAGCAGGAGGAGAGCTTGGGTGCAGGCCGAGCAAACTGCTGCAGTGCAGCACAGAGCTCGGGGTGCATTGCATCCAGTGACCTTGTGTTGGAAACAAGAAGGGAGGACTGGCCTTAATGAGAGCGGGGGCCTCACTGTGTACTGCAGCAGCAATTAACAATCTGATTTATGTAAGTGTATGTCATACGAATTGCATTAAGGTCTCCCTCTGCCAGCAGTGACCCTGCAGCAGCAAGCCATAGGCAGGCCTAGAACGCCTGTTTCCCACGTGTCCCTGCCGGCACGCGGTGCAGCCGGCCGTGCAGCGCTGCGTCTCCGTGTGTTTCCCATCGGCCCGGTGCCTGCCGTGTGCTGCAGCCCGTTGGTGCTGCGCCGCGTTCCGCGCCGGTGCTCAGCTGTGCTTTGGCTTTTCTTCTGTATCTCTAACAGAACCGCCGCGTTTCTGCTGTGAGCGCAAACGGCGCCGCTCCCTTAGCGTTAGAGGCCTTAAGCGCGCGTGCTGTCGAACCCGTCCGTGTTTCCGTCGGTCCTGCCGCCTCGCCATTTTATGCACATGTTGTTCCGAGGCCTAAATACAGAGGCAGAAGGACAGAGCCGTGTCTGTGTTTGCTGCCGCGCCGCGCTGCCCGGGCCCGCAGAGCCGCCGGCCCGCGTGCCGTCCGACAGCCGCGGCCACCGCCGGGCCGCGCCGCGCTCGGGGCCGCGCCGTCCTAAGCGGCGTCTGGGTTCGTTCGGGCGGTTCGCTCGGTTGAGTCCCGCGCCCCGCCCGTCCCGCACGGGGCGAAGATGGCGCTGCTGGGGGCGGTGCCGCCCGTCCCGTGACGCCTCGCGGCGGCGGCGCACGCGCGGAGGCCCGGCGGCGGCCATGGCGTCGGGGTGCCGGATCGGGCCGTCCATCCTCAACAGCGACCTGGCGGCGCTGGGCGCCGAGTGCAGCCGCATGCTGGACTGCGGGGCCGACTACCTGCACCTGGATGTAATGGACGGGTAACGGCCGCGGCGCGAGGCGGGCGCGAGGCGGGGCGGCGCGGCGCGGCGCGCGGCGGTAACGTGCTGTGTGTTCGGCCCCAAGGCACTTCGTGCCGAACATCACCTTCGGGCACCCCGTGGTGGAGAGCCTGCGCAAGCGGCTGGGCCGGGAGCCCTTCTTCGGTAAGCGGGCGGGGGCGGCGCGGCGCGCGGCCCGGCGGGGCTCTCCCTGACGGCCCGCCGCCCGCAGACGTGCACATGATGGTGGCCCGGCCCGAGCAGTGGGTGCAGCCCATGGCCGTGGCCGGCGCCAGCCAGTACACCTTCCACCTGGAGGCCACCGACGGCCCCGGCGCGCTCATTAAGGACATCCGCGAGAACGGCATGAAGGTGAGTGCGGGGCCGGGAGCCGCGCGGGGCCGGGAGCCGCGCGTTCCCCGACCGTTCTTCTCCTGTCGGCAGGTGGGGCTGGCCGTCAAACCCGGCACCGCGGTGGAGCAGCTGGCGCCGTGGGCCGGCCAGATCGACGTGGCCCTGGTGATGACGGTGGAGCCGGGCTTCGGGGGGCAGAAGTTCATGGAAGACATGATGCCGAAGGTGAGCCCGGCGTCCGCCTCGTGCCGGGCTCCCGGCGCTCGCTCGGCCCGGAGTGACGCCGCGCCTCCCTCGCTGTGTGCCCTCAGGTGCAGTGGCTGAGGACGCAGTTCCCGTCGCTGGACATCGAGGTGGACGGAGGAGTCGGGCCTGACACCATCCACAAGTGTGCCGAGGTGAGGAGCTGCGCTCGGGCGGCCCGGGGGCGTCGCCGCCCCTGGGAAATGGCGTGCGGGAGGAGCCGCCTTCGGGTGCTTTGTGGTCAGAGCGAACGGCGAGGCAGGCGATGGCGGCGTCGCGCGGGGTCTGAGCTCGCGCTCGTTTTAGCTGTGGCTCCCGGAGCCTCTCCTAAGCGAAAGCCGCGTTCCTCGTATGCTCGGGTAGCAGCGGGACGAGGAAGTTACTGCCGGGGAGGCGCAGCTGCGGCAGGGAGAGGCGCCGTACCTGCGCCTGCAAGCGGTGCTCCTTTGTCCTTCGGCCTGGCGTCGGGCGCTGCCCTTACTCGTGTCCCATGTCACTGAGCGGGTGTTTAATGTCTTCCAGGCGGGTGCAAATATGATTGTGTCTGGCAGTGCCATTATGAAGAGCGCAGATCCGAGATCTGTGATCAATCTGCTAAGGAATGTGTGTTCAGAAGCTGCTCAGAAGCGGTGTCTGGATCGGTGAGACCTACCCGAGCAGTGCTCCAGAAGGCTCTGGGCGCACAGGAAAACCCTTGTTTCTCGTGCTAAGGGAGGGCTGGATGAACATTAATCGTGGAAACTTGTTGCTGCTGAACAGAGGAATCATTCCTTCGCTGCAATGAAGCAAGCAGCAGTGAAAAACTGTCTGGCTGTCTTTCAGGGTTGGAAATGCAATGGTTTGAACCTGTTTCTTGATTCTGTGGAGGCTAATTGTGTGGCACAACTTGTAATGCTGGCTGAACTGCAGTTCAGTTGATCTTTGCTTGCTAGAAGAGTGTAGCACCGCTACAGGCCGTTACCTTGTGGGAGACTAATGAACCTGCCTTTCGCTGTCTGTGTTTGTCATTTGGTCTGTGCATTCCTGCAAAACTTTTCCATTGTCTGCATTAAACACACTTCTGCTGTGGTAAGTCTCCCTTAAGCTATTAAAAATGAATAGTTTGGGAAAAGTGCACTTAGTTAGGTGTAGGAATCCCGTGCGTGATTGTCAGAAACACTTCTGTGTTTTGCTTTTACTGCATGGAACCACTTGATTTACATAAGTGGTTCAAATACCAAACAAGTCGGTGAAACATCTTTACCAGGTCCCAAAAACTGGGGAGTACTTTTTACCTTTCAAATATTAATTCAAGCGACAGGATTCTGTAGAAGAATGTTAAAATGCATTATCTTGACCTATGCCCTCTTTAGTTCATGCATTTACCCAAGTCAGTGATTTAGAAGCAATTTTGTTGCATGTAGGTTGAAATGCAGGTGATAGAGTTTATTTCTTTAGCTGCTAAATAGCTTAACTCTCCTCTTGGTAACTAACCTGAACAGTTCTCATACTTTCCAGTTGTTTGCTCTATCATGTCTGGTTTGGACACATGAAGTAGGAGAGCTCAAAACTGGAGGAAGACCTTAGCAGGGCATTTTAGCTAAGACTTTCCTCCTGTGGCTCTAATTAGCCTTGCTCCCCCCTTTAAATTTTCATGGTATTCTGTGCGGTATTTTTTCCTGGACTAATGACAGAAGGGTTGCAAACTGTCTGCTGCTCTGGGGGAACACAGCAGAAGGCTCAGCAGCCGCAGCCTGGCTAAGCAAGATGATAGTCTGTGTGGCTGGTGCATGCCAGAAAGAAGCTGGGTAGAGTCTATATGCATTGTGCGTATAGAAATAGAGCTCTGGTACCTGAAATGTAGGCTGAGCAGCCAACAAACAGCTATGCAGAGTTAGTGCGGGAGTTGGAAGTGTGACTTCTTGTGCTTTTGAAAGCAGTATTTGTGTCCTACAGCTGCTCTGAAGCTGGGATGACCATTCCGTTGTTTTAGAAAAAAATAGGCCCGAAGTCATGCTGTTTAACTGAAGGCACTGTGCTGTGTTCTGAGCATACAACAATGCGGTATGTTTTCTTTACATGCTGTAGTCACTTTGTCACTGTTTAAATCTTCAAGTTCCTACTTGCACTGAGTCTTGGCTTAGCAGTGCTGTGAGATACACTACACACACAGGAACATTGCTCAATTGTTTCTTTCCCTGTAAATCCACCCAGAATGCACTGTGCAGCTGGTTGCTGTGGCAGTGTCCTCTTATAAACCTCAGGTTAAAGCTAATTGTAACCACAGAGCTGAACAATCTGTAGCAGTAACAGTAGCAATGGTTGTTCTTCTGCCTATAGCACTTGTCTGGTTTAGTGCCTTGACACATACTGGAAAGTTGTATGTTAGGCTGCATTTAAGCCTCTCCTCCTGTATTCGGTGATGTATTCCTACTGCAGAGGCACTCCAATAGCAGGACTGAGCACCAACAGGACAGCTGGTAGTCTTACTGAGTATCCACAGGGCTCAGCAAACACCAGAACTGTTACAGTGCTCTGACAGATCAGAATTTTGGCAACAGTGGAAGGAGGAAACTGAGGGCAAGTCACCCACACTCAGCAGCCAGGGGAGCTGAGGAGCAGAGGCACTGTCAGCACTGAGGACAGGGTAAAGACACTTGGACACATCCTGAGCAAGGCTGGGACTGGACGTGTGGTTCAAGCACAGCTTCAGAAAAAATGGTTTAATTTTAATGGGTTTTAGAAGCTTGTATTGGTGCTTACATTCTGCTAAGGTGCCTGGATGCAGAGGTGAAGTACTTTAACCCCCATAGCAGCAGGGAGCAGAATATGTCTATTGAAAATGGTGACAGGGAAACTGCATTCTTTATGTGGCTGCAACACCTGAGTTTTGGGAGAGGGGGTTGTTGCTTATGTTTAAGTTTGTATTTAACAGTCAGCCTTTGTAAGAGCTGCTAGCACTGCTTCTAGTGCTGTGGTTGAAGGTGTTCTTGCAGTGACATGAGAAAAGCAACTGCCACTTCCTCTTGGCCACCCTCCCTCCCCGGCCTTTGCCCGCTGTGCCTGCACATGCTGCTCACCCTGGGAGGCTCTGTGCACTGCTGGAGCTCTCCAGCCCGTGGCTGCTTGGGCAGCTCTCTGTGCAAGGCGAGTGGTTGCAGCTCACTGCTGCAGGTGGAGTGAGCTGAGAGCCAGAGGGTAAGAGAAAAGGCTTTGGACAGGATAGGGTGGGATAGGACCAGACATGCACTTTTATGGTTTGTCCAGTATGTTTTTCAGTCTCCTGGCTGCTCAGCCTGTCTTTGCCTAGCTGTTTTGTTGTGAGGCACTATTTCCCACAATGGCTGAGCAAATGCATATGAAGAGAGGACAAAAGGAATTCTGCTTATGCTGACTTGCATCTGGCAAGCTAACAAACAGCTGCTTTAGAGCAGCACGGTGGAGGCTGACCCTTAAAGCAGCACAATGGTTCAGTGGGACACTACAGCTGGGTACTGTACAGCCATGCAGAGCAGCTTTACAGCCTGCGAGTCTGACCAAACTTGGGTCATCTGTCTCTTTTCTCACATTTCAACTCTCTTCACCTCCCTCTCCTTGAATAGATCTGGAAAACCCCTCTCCTCTTGCTTCTTCCCATGCAATGCTGGGAATGTGTTTCCATTTCCTGACTGCATCTTCAGGACACATCAGGGAGCGAGCAGGCTGCCTTACTTGCTGTGGCTCTGTCCCAGCTCTGAACTGCAGAACTGCTCACATATGTCAGGAATCACACGGCAGGAAGCCCTGACCTTACAGTGAAGTGGGTAAGGAGGGACACCCACTTACTGAAGGGCTGCACGTAGTGGAAGAGCCCTGCAAACACTGGTGGCATACAGCTTTCTGAAGGCTTTTCCTAGCAGCAGATACGCATGCAGGATGAGATGAAATGGTCACTTCTGTAGGTAGATGCTGGGGGCAACCTTGGCCTCAGGGCACCAGTGCAGCTTTGGTATGGCAGCACAGCTTTGTGCCACTGGCATTTGTGTGCTTGCAGAGCCCTTCCTTGGCTGAGCAGGTCTCTGTGCCAAGAGGAAGCATCACTATGGATTCATCGCTTCTAGAAGGCCAGCAAATTCAG